GAGGGGTTTTTTCATTGGGTGGGGATTGAATCAGGTTGGTGAGTTTGAGAGAGACTTTTCCGTCAGCGAAAGGATCTCCGAGGCTTTCTTTTGAAGGTCATTTTCATGTGAAATGCAAGGTCAATAGGTGTACACACTCAGGGGCTAGGGGAGAGTGGCCCTTTGTGAAGTGCAGACTGCGGGTGTGCAGGAATAAAGAGAGGCACAAAGGGAAGATCATAGGACAAAAGTGAACGCAGATGGCACTTTGTCGATGCAAGATGCAAACCCCTGGTCTCACATCCCGAGGCGGCGGCCCGAGAGCCAGGGGTAGGCTTTTGGAGGCCGGTTTTCTTTCAGTGCAACGCCAACAATCTGGTTGCTGTGGTGGTGGGTGGTGGAGGTGGGGAGTTGTTAGTGGTCAGTTGATAGAGTTGGCCGTTTTTAAGACCGTCAGCAAGGTGAAAGAGGGGTATAAACATGGTGGTGCAAAGAGGATTTTGGATTGGTTGAGGGGTTCTATGGCGTTTTGTTTCTGATGTTGCCGTTGGTTGTGTTTTGTTTGATTCTTATTTTCCTCTGAGGTGCCCTGGAGAATTAATGGTTAACTGAACCCCCATGTTGATAACCATATTACAGCCTTGCCAATTGCACACTAGACGCTAATTGCCAAGAGGAAAGAAAACATCCAATTGGTACCTCTGCTCATGCGACGACATCTCTCCTTCCCTTCGTTGCTGCCCGCTTCATATCTTCTTCTCTTGAGCAACTCAAACGTAGCACTTTTCTATTTGCTTTGAAGTTAACTGCGACAGTCTTTTTGACAGACAACAACCTTACCTACTCACATACACGCGCGCGGTAATAGAGATCCGGTCTTATTTGCAATTGAAAACCAGCAAACAAGCACCCAGCCTGCTGAACACCACCTAGGCAATTCGAAACACCCACAGGCGTCGGCTTTCCAAACCAGCGGCGGGCCTCCCACTCCCCAACCCGCTATGAGAGTGGAAACAAACGCCCGACATACTGCTACTACCAACTAGAGATAACTTACAATTAACGTCCGTTTTCTTTTCCCCTGAACAAGAAAATGCGCAACAAGCTTGTGAAAGCGAGGCCGAATTCCACAACTGCAAAGGCATTGGGTTTTTTTAACATACATCAGGATCGTGGTGACGGTGACGAACGCAGTATGTCTCTTCCGCCCCCTTTTCATCCTCCCCTCCTGGAATGCTTGTCCATGGAAAAAAGGTGGTTCCTTTTGTGCCCGAGACACATGTCCCGGAGGTTGTGCGCAAGGTGTCGGCCTGCAGACAAGGATGGAGGCACTTGTGGGCTTTTCGGATAGCTGCAGGTTCGTTGTCTGTGTGGACGTGGTTGTTCAGGAAGAACAGAACTAGCTTATGCTAGTTGGGTTTAAAAAGTTGGAAGAAAACATACCGGACTGTGGAAGCTAATTTGGAGTGTGCATTTGGTTTATTTCCAAACAGAAGCCTCCCCTTCATCATCTACGCGAAATTCCGTCGACGCACCGCTATCTTCCCCACGAACAGCAATCACAGTACCAGCCCTGAATCAACAAGCACAAGCCGCCATCACCTCTCCACCTACTTCACCAAGCCCAACAAGCCGCACCAGATACCCGTTGCCACCACCACAATCCCCTTCAAGCAATAATAACAAGGCCGCGAGGCAACAGCAGGAAGACCCGCGCCCCTCGTTCCGAGCGACTCTGACCCCGGCGTCGGAAGCCACAATCAACTCTGCCATGTCACGAACGGCCGCAGGATCAACAGCACCAAATACAAACGGAGTAAACGGCAAGGCAGCGCCACCAGCGCCGTCACCCTCGGCGGCCGCAACAACATCCTCTTCCTCCCTCTCCCCAAGCCGCATGAATTCCACCATCCGCGCGGTACCAAGTTTTGATCGTTCCTCCGCCGAAGACTCGAGCAGCGACGGCACAAACGCGACAACGTCGAGGAACTCTGCGCTTTCGAGCTCGATCAACAGCACGGCGAGCATGTCTTCTTCCGAGTCGGCGGCGAACCTGACGCCCAACGGCGGTGGGCTCCACAAGATTCCGTCGGTGGGAAGGCTGCGACCTGGCCCGTCGGGGCCTTCGATTGGCGAGAATAGTTACAGTAACAGTGATCAGAACAGCACGCCAGGGACGAGAACGCTGCGGTCATTTCCTAGCATGGGTGACATTCCGCAGCGGGGGAGCAGTATTAGCGCTACCGGTTACCCCTCGGCGGCTGACAACCCCGGCCCCAACGGTGGAGGAAGCCCGACTCCTAATGAGATGTCGCTTGCTGCTGGGGAGGCGCATCTCTCGGGGGGGTGGGACAACTCGGTGGGCAAGGCTGGGTTGGGGAAGACGGGGAGGGTGATCAACCGGTTGGTGTCGGACAACGAGTCGTTGAAGAGGGACATCAAAATTGAGAGGTTGAGGGCGGAGGATGCGAGGCAGCAGGCGCAGCTGCTGAAGGACCAGCTGGACAGGACGACGCGGGAGCACGAGAGCCAGATGCTGGATGTCAATGTCACCAAGACTTTGCTGGCGCGTAAGGAGCGGCAGGTGGAGGCGCTGCAGCAGACGGTGGAGCTGGAGCGGACGAGGGCTGTGTCGGCGACGGACAGGGAGAGGATCTGGAAGGAGGAGCTGGAGAAGGTCAAGGCCGAGTGCAAACGGCAGGTGGAGGAGGCGAACAATCAGGTTTTGCTGACGGACGGGCGGTATAACGCGCTTGCGAGCCACTGGGGCGGGGAGGGGGAGAGGTACAGGAAGAGGACGGACAAGATGAGGAAGGAGTTTGAGGAGCTGAGCGAGAAGAGGAGGGAGGATGACGAGAAGATTAGGAGGCACGAGCAGATGATTGATCAGATGTATGTGGAGATTGATGATTTGGAGAAGCAGAACAGGGCGCTGTGGGAGATGTTTGAGCGGTACAAGAAGGAGAAGGACGAGAGCTTGAGGGGGATGACGGAGGATAATTTGAGGCAGGCGGAGGAGCTGCAGAGGACGATTGAGGAGGCGAAGGAGGCGAGGGATAAGTTGAGGTGGGCGTTGAATGTGAAGGAGAATGTCAAGGGGGCGAAATAAGGGGTATCGACAGCCCAGCAACCCTCCCAGGTCGTTACTCTCAACTCTATTTCCGCTGCTCCGGGGCCTTTTTCTCTTTCAACACCACCCTTCTTATGACAATCTCGAAGTACATCACCTCGCAGCAAATACATTGTTCAACCCAAAAGACAGCCACCAGTTATCGACGGGCAAGCCAGACCGCATCTTCCTTCAGCTCATCAAGTGACCAAGCTCATTCATCGTCCAGCAAAGTTATTCCGGCAGAAAGGCGTTTCATTTGTTTTTATTTTTCGTTTTCTTTTCTTACAACATCTTCACGTTTCGAGTGTCTGGATACCCTAGAGAGAGAGAGAGAGAGAGAGAGAAAACACGAGCAGAGAAACGGGACCAGTATCATTTGTACCATCATAACCTCGACCATAGGTTTGCAGCTTTTTCTTGTTACTTTAGTGTGTTGTTGTACAATTGGAGTTTGGTGGGTGGGAAAGGTTCGGGGGGGGTAATGGATTCTAAACTTCTTTTATTATTATATCTTATTTGTGCGTGTGCGCTTTTCAACCCTGGACAGGAGTTTCGGGAGGGAAAGGGGTATCAGGGAAGGGAAACACACTTTTGGGAAATTCTTAATTTAAACTTTCTGAAGCGGGCAAAGCACACATTGACACTTTACATACGTGGCATATGGGGGGCCATAGTTGTTGGTTTTGGGTGATATGTGAGTGATGCAGTGATTGGGCCAAAGGTGACTGGTGTACCTAATGGGGTTGGTGACAGTGTGGTACTGGATTTCTTGATGTTGACTTTGGTGGGGCAAGTCGAAAGGGGGGGGTTGTCAAGGCAACAAATTTGGGAAGAGGTGGCCAGCGACCAACGTTCGTTAAGGATGGAGTAGAAGGCTATCTGGAAGTGATTCTGGAACATATACTTGAGATGCTGAAGCCAGGAGAAGCGTTTGCGCACGTCAACTGCGGGTATCCGAGCCGTTCCTGCCGCGTTTGGCTGCTTGATATACGTGCCTGCCTGTGACAAACCTGGTTCCCCTGCGCTACGGCAGTCATGGGAGCCTGATGGCTTCCAAACTGTTTTGGTCACTGGTTGGCGCCGAGGGGTAGTGAGTGAATACTGCTTACTCTCTCGCCCTCCTTTTGTTTTTGTGGCTCAGCAGCCCCTCGTCAAGGTGTGTGCATTGCTCTTTCCGCGCGTCGCAACTCCCTTTGCCTACCTCGAACTGTTATTTTCGCTCTTTCCACTTTTAATCTGGGGCCTTGAGAGCAAAATCGACCTGACCTGACCTTTTCTTGTACGAGTCAACCAACTAACTTGGCACCTCCCCAGCTCACCAGCCGAAGCCTGGACAATGGAGGAATACGTCGAGTTCTACCAGACCTCGTGCTGGTCCTATAAGCCCAAAGCGATCAAAAAGGTCATCGAGAAACTTGCTGCACAGCCAGTGGTGAGTTTTGTCCTTCATCATTCTTTCTGTAACCTAGCACTAATTGCATATGCAGCACAATGGGAGAGTAGAGGTCCTGTACGACCTCGAGCAACGATGGTTCAAGATCACCTGCCATCAAGATGACGCCGAGACTCTCCGCCGGCGATTTGCGGCTGTGGCTGCAGAGATCGAAGAGGATGCTCTTGGCTCCGACTACGAGAAGGTTCTAGGTCCAAGCTGCTACTTTGACGTATGATTTTTCTTGTCGCAGTCCTACCGGAACCGTGTCGAAAAGTTGCTAATGATCGTAGACCGACATCGACAATGAATGGATTGCCGGTGAACAAGAGTACCTGAACCTTCTCCGGTCCCATGAGGCTGAATTCAAGACGTATGCCTTCCCAACTGCGCTTGCCAGTTTCCAGTTCAAGACCTGTTGGGACTCCCTCGAGAAGCGAGACGACGGACTTACCCTCGATCATGTCGTGTCCGACGATAAACTGTCACAGATGGAACAAGAAACCAACGTGCGCATCGTGACAGACCTGGGCAAGTCACTGGTCTTCATCGGATCGCACACCAAGGATTGCATCCACAAGGCCAAGGGAAAGCTGGACGTCCTGCTGGCCAGTAAAGTCAGCACCATTGTCCTCCCCCTCCTTTAGCCAGGAGATCGTCTGCTCACAATTATCGATAGAACATGGCCCTCCTCTCTTTTCGAAATGACCATGTCCTTTTTACTGACAACTACGTCGATGAGAAACTCCGTCCAGGTTTCATGGTTGATCTCCGATACATGACCAATATTCACCCAAGACTTACCTCGTCGACATTGCTCGATCCAGCGACTGTCAGAAGGCTGGACGGGGCTTATTCGCGCATGTATGAACAAGGAGTTTCTCTGCGGCTATGCCCCTACAGTCACAAGAAAAAGTGGCATGTCTCCCTTCTTGGCCCTCACATTCCGGAGCCAAAGACACAGCAGAGATACGTTTTGAGCAGCCGTCCGACCATGCTTGAGAAGGACTCAGATGAGCGCCCTATTACAGCGCCGGTGTCACAAGTACAAGCGAGAGCCACAACTACTGAGAGCCGGGTGGTTAGCTGGATGGAAGGTCTCTCGATAGCGCCCAGCTCTGAGCTTCGCAACAATGATCTCTCAGCTGAGCCCTGTGTGCACCCATTCGACCTTGAGCAAGATATTTTGGGTCCTCTAGTCGACGTTCCTGCGATATCCACTACCGCCAGTGCAACGGAACTCATAGATATGGACAGTCCTAGTGGTCTCGATGAGGCGGCTCTGAATACACCTGTTCGTCCGCCTCAGGATATTGTGGAAGTCCCAGCTCCACCGCTTATTACCGTCGCTCCTAGTGGTGAAAGTGGCCATTCTCAGCATTCTGGGTCGACTACAAGCTCCTTGATGGAATTCAGCGGCAAGTCCCCCTCCCCCCATAACTAGGTAACATAACTAACAGGCACCTGTAGATGATGATGTACCTACCCCGACACCTTTTAAATATCACGATGACTTCAGCACCAAACGCTTCCACGCCATGAAACAGCAGTCTGGTCACACTGCCAAGAAGGCAACCCCTGCGCCATCTGTCGTTTCGAAACCTGCGTCGAAGGCAACGCAGAAGACCTCAAACGCGGTGGGCATGGCAGCTCCAAGCTGGACATACGGCACTGTGCCTTTTGACGAGAAGCTCAACATGGCTATCGCAAAGCTCCTTCACAAGGCGCCTTACCGACGAGGCTGGGTTGAAGTGCGGGTAGAGTTTGGTCGTATCCTTCTGGGAGACTGTGATGAGAGCGCTCTGTCGTTCAATTCTGGACAGTCTGCTGCCGACGGCTGGGATAACCAAGTTGTTGTGTATATGTTGGAACAAGCCTCCCGGAAACTCGACACGGACAAGAGGCGCAAGGATCTTCGATTCACCAAAATCCTCACCACCCATGGATGCGATGCTGAGGCGCTTCTCAACATGTGGAATGATGGCAAGCAGATTTGGAATCCGGAGCAGCGCAAGGTTGACATCACATACGTTATTCATTGCGAGATGAAGCGCAAAGGGGAAGAAGAGTCGTATCGATTTGCTATTGAGGCACGCCAGAACGATACCGACTGTTCTGTGATGGTCAAGCCTTTCCACCCTATACATGATGGCGATGGAATTGCGCCCGTTTATGTCCATGGCTTGAGGCACAACTGGGATATGCGGGTCATGTTATCACATGTTGACCATGATGAGGTCGACAAGCGTGTCAGCCGCTTCGCCATGGTTGTTTTTAACAGTCTTCAGATTCGGTATGCTGCCTCTCCTTGACGCTTGTATAACTCGCTGACTAAACTGGCCAGCAGGGATAACAACGGCCCAAACCTCACCTTCTGCGTTCCCAACTACTCGGCGACTGTCACAGCTGTTAGAGCTCTCACCCGATGGTACTACCCGAGTATTGACAGACAAAACGAGCTTCAGATTACCGAGGTTGAGCAGCTTGACATGGATACGATCGAGGATATCCCCAACGCCGCTCCAGGAGAGAAAACCAAGAGGATTCATGCCCACCCACGCCTTCCAAAAGCCTGTCAAATCAAGCAGCGCCAGGGTGACTTTGAGCGCTGGTACGAGGCCGCAGTGCTCTCGACCCAACTACAAGAATCTTGTCAGATGAACTCTGGGCTCAAACTTGGAGATGCGGCCGCGTGGAGTCCAGAGGAGATGTATCGATATGGTGGTTTTACCACCCTGTATGGTCCTGCTATTGCCATGCTCAAACAAATGGACAAGATTGGTCAAAATGAAGACAACAATCTCTCAGGGGTGTTTGGAGACCTGCTGAAGCGGGCGAACGACCCCCCGCCTGGTGTTCCTGGGTCTTCTGGGCCTTCCAATCAGCACTTGCGACCGTACCCCCACAGCCGTGGTAGCAACACTGGTTTTTTATCTCGAGACGTGCGGTCTGCTTCGACCAATGCGGCCTCGAGAACAACGACTGTGAGGAGCGAGAAGGGAGAGGCGGGTGAGATATGGTGAAGATGGGTATTTGGACTTTGTAAATTTGAGCTCAATGTTGAGATGGAGGCTGATACTATGCGAGTAAGCTGTGCATGTAAGATTGTTAGCTATGGAAGGTATCAATAAAATGGAGCAATACTTTTCGGACACCTCATTTCTACTTGCCGGATACTCCACCCACAGAAGGAAAAGCCTTTTAACTACATTTCTTGTACTTTTTAAAGAGAAGAAATATATTGGGGTATTTTTTGACGTTTAATTTATATATTCAGTGTAAGATTTTGTATAAAAGTAGTGTGAAAGTATGAAAGTAGTGTGAAAATGTATTATTTATATACTAGTAAGATCTTAATAACGAAGAGAAGACTACATTAATGTGATAGTTTTAAAAGATAAATAAATCCTTAAAAGATGGTCACGGTTTTGGAAGACAGTGGAGACGTAAGGAACAGACCAATGAGATTGGGACCGGGGACCGCGGCGGGGCTCACGGTCCACGGTCCACTATCGGCCAATAGGGAGAGGACCGAGGACCGTCTGGGAGTCAACGGTCCACGGTCTCTAGGTCTATATGTACGGAGGAACTGGCTGGTGTAGATAGACAGTTCCGCAGTATGCAATACAAGTCACAATCGTTGGTATCTAGACTGTTGTGATTGAGACAAGCCATTTATTGTACACTGTTTAGCTGTACCGAACCAGGATTGTTCAGAAGTGCCTTTAGCCAGTATCCTTTTCAGAGGTTCCGGATAGGGGTTCGTTACACTGGGTAGATATCTATAGTAATAGTAGCGGGGATTTTAGAAGCTAAATTTCTTAAGATTTTCACGTATTAAATCCTAACTCCGGGATAGGAGGTACGTATAAGATAAGAGAGAACTAGGTATAAGACCGGGAGGGCATATATAAGATATTGGGGGAGGCACCTTGATTAAGTCTCATTTATATATATATATATATATTTAAATATCTTTATAATTTTATTTAAATCTAAAGATTATGGGTGAAAGTGCTGTGGATGGGGGTCCGACAAGTTGAAATAGAGGTCCCGAAAAGTATTGCGCATAAAATGTTTTGACGTTTGTACTTTTTTACCATGGCCTACCAGCTTGCCTTGGGGAAAGTAGCCCCCAAAGCAAGGGAGCACGTGCTCAATCTGTGGTCTTCATTCCTTGGCAACTTTCTGGAATGTTCACCAGTTGCAGGGTAATATTGAAACTGTGCATTTCCTTCCCCGGATTCTGATCGCCGGAACCATTCTAGCTGCAGGACATCCAACCGGTGAAGCTATGGCGTCATTGGGCTTTGGTGCCACAGAGGCACAGAAAAGCCAATTAGCTCAGTTCTGAATCAAGCTTTTTCGGCATCGGGAACGGGCACTGGGGGAGATGGCGCGATTGGAGTGCGTTTAGACGTTTTCCTCCGGATCTTGAGGGTGGGAAGACCCGGATTGGGGGTGGGATCGTCGTTTAACAATTGAGGTTACGGTTACGGTAGGACGACTGCACAAGTTGACAGCTGGTTTAAGGGCGGGGGAGGGAGGAAATGGGATATGAAACTGGCCTTTTTTTCATCTTTTCAATTTGTTTGTTACTATTTACATGGTTCTTGTGTTGTTGTTTGCGAGTTCTGAGGTGAAGTGAGTTAGCATGGTGGACAACAACGGTGCCATCACCGCAGCAAGCGGAAACAGCGACGGTGACGACAAGAAGGTTGGGGCTGGTGTAAACGGTGGGGGAGAAAACGAAAGAGACCACAACTCCTCCCTCTCTTCTGGCTCGGGCTCGGAGGAGTTCGACGACGCGATCCTACCTAGGGGGCAGGTCGATCCTGTGTATGAGGAGAAGGCGAGGATTCTAAACCGGGCGGTAATGTTTCCCCCCCCACTCTTCCCAATCATAATCATTACTAACTGAGAAAGCAGATCCAAGAAATAGGCATAGGACCCTACCAATACCTCCTCTTCCTCGTCGTCGGCTTCGGCTGGGCGAGCGACAACCTCTGGCCCATCGCCACGTCCCTCATCCTGCCCCCCGTCGCATTGGAATTCCTCCCTTCCCGCCCGGCATACCTCACCCTCGCGCAAAACATTGGGCTTTTGGCAGGGGCGATATTCTGGGGGTTTGGGTGTGATGTTTTTGGGAGGAAGTGGGCATTTAACCTCACGCTTGGGATCACGGCCGTGTTTGGGATGTGTGCTGCCTCCAGCCCAAACTTTGCGGCCATAGGGGTCTTTGCGAGCTTGTGGAGTTTTGGGGTGGGGGGAAACTTACCGGTGGACAGTGCGATCTTTTTGGAGTTTCTGCCGGGGAGTCATCAGTGGTTGTTGACTGTGTTAAGTGTGGACTGGGCGGTTGCGCAGGTGGTGGCTACGTTGGTTGCGTGGCCGCTTTTGGGCGGGATGACTTGTCAGGAGGGAGGAAACGGGGGTTGTGAGAGGGGGGAGAATATGGGGTGGAGGTGGTTTTTGATTGCGCTCGGGGGGTTGACGTTGTTGATGTTTGGGTTGAGGTTTGCGGCGTTCAAGATTTTCGAGAGTCCCAAGTTTTTGATGGGGCAGGGAAGGGACGAGGAGGCTGTGAGCGTGGTTCACGAGGTGGCGAGACGGAATGGGAGGGAGAGCGGGTTGACGGTGGAGGACTTGAGGAGGGCTGAGCCGGAGGGGTATGTGGCGAGGACAAATGTCAAGGTTGCCGTGAAGAGGAGGTTGGAGAATGTCAAGATGGAAAGGGTGAGGGTGTTGTTTTCGACGAGGAAGCTGGCGTGGTCGACGGGGTTGATTATGGCTATTTGGGCGTTTATTGGGTTGGGATATCCCCTTTACAATGCCTTCTTGCCGTATATTCAGGCCACCAGAGGAGCCGACTTTGGAGACGGGTCTACTTACCTGACATATCGTAACTCCCTCATCATTGCCACTGTTGGCATCCCCGGAGCGCTTCTGGGAGGATATCTGGTCGAGCTGCCTCGCTTCGGCCGAAAAGGGACGCTGTCTTTGTCGACAGTCTTGACCGGAGTGTTTTTGTATTGCTCGACAACGGCACTTGACTCCCAATCGCTACTCGGCTGGAACTGCGCGTTCAACTTTACGAGCAATGTGATGTACGCTGTTTTGTACAGTTTCACGCCAGAACTGTTTCCAACACCCCAGAGAGGGACGGGGAACGCTTTGACGGCTACGTGCAATCGCATTTTTGGCATCATGGCGGTGAGTCTTTCGTCATTGTTGATTGTGTGGATGGAATTGACTGACAATCTGTAGCCTATTGTGGCCATGTTTGCGGATCTACGAACTGCTGCGCCGGTCTACACCAGCGGCGCTCTTTTTATCGCTGCCGGAGTTTTGGTTCTTTTGTTGCCATTTGAGTCAAGGGGGAAAGCGGCGTTATGAGCGGTTCTGAGGGGTAGCTTAGCCTCGTGATGTTGGACTTGACCGGCGTATTGGTTGAGGGGTAATGGACTTGGATATTATGATTGTAATGGCGAAAAGCAATGACATCTTGACTTTCTGAACCGAAGACTTGAGAGTAAAGGGTAGTTCTGTTAACCTTGTGGCTGCCTCGTGTTCCGTTATGCCCTTCCAGCTACCTAAATATACACATAATCGTCACATTCTTCTCCAAGATCCTACATCAGCCTTGCTTTCTCATTTTGTGCCATCATCCGTGATCTCATTCCATCCATTTGCTCCCCGTCACCCATCACCTTCATCCCTCGCACAATAACCAGTCCTTAATGCAATGAAGTCCAAGCCCCGACCCCCAAAGCCCCCAACAGCATCCCCGTCCTTCCCAGATTCAACACCCCCCACCAATCCACCAGCTCCTTCGCTCCCTTCTCCTCACTCTCACTCACCACCACCGCACCACTCGTCTTCACCCTCGCAGTCAGATCCGCCTCTCTCTTCAGCAGCGCGTTATTAGTTCCCATCATCAGAGCCAAGGTATAAGGAATAACCCCCACGCTCAAACCTCCAGCTGTCGTCCAGAGGTTTCGATGAGCAGGTGACTTTGCAGCAAGGTAGAAAAACCCGATCGCCGAGAGGATGGACAAAGGCGGCATGTGGGATTTACCGGTTAGGAACACCTTCTTCCACTGCTGGAGCATGAGCGGGGTTGGGGAGGTAAGCAGCAAGGGGGTAATGAGGGTGGAGAAGGTGAGGGAGAGGCCGGTTGTGAAGGCTGTTAGGAGGAGGGTGGAGGTTTTGATGAGGGGGAGGGAAGGTTTGGAGAGGGACATTTTGATGGGTTTTGAAAGAGGTCAACTTTGGGAAAAGTAATGGTTTTTGGAGGAGATGTAACGGAGATGGTTGGTGATGTTAACTGATAATTGTCGGACAAAGCGTTCAAAGTGGGGCACAAAGGTCCGGGCGGGATTGTCGGGATCGGCTGCTTTGGCTCCGGATGGCGGGACTCGGTGACCAATTCCCGATCCGCCCGAAAGTGTTGGTGACATCAGCACAGGTGCTCTCATGTTGTGTGCGTTCAGCCCAGCAGCACTGCGCTAGTGTATACATTTGGATCAGGCGCCGCACCTGCAGTGTTGGGTCCTGTGTCATTCTTCAAGAAGCAATAATGTCCGGCTGGTCGGCAGATTGTTAGCAAGGCTTTTTCTTGGAGAAGTTAAGAGCCCAAACCTACGCCTTTTCACCAACGACACAGCTTGACGAAGACTATCCCCTGGGGTAGGAACATTTTCAGCCAACGCAACACGGTATGAAAGATTGTACTCGGCGCAAATCTGGATGCACTGGTCCAGGCTCTCCACGCGGACTCGCAAAATATCGTGTGACCCGATAAGATAGGATCACATCGGAAAAGTCTGTTGAGCACAACTTCATAAAGCTTGCGTTTGAATAGGGCTTCCCGTTACCCTCGCGAGGTGTATATATCGTTACGTTAAAGCTCTGGGCAGCCGCCGTCTGTAGCCACAGTACCGACCCTGAGATTGCTGGGAACTGTACTAGATGGGATTACACCACTCGATGTTACTGTTGCCATAGTTTCACTTGTGTTGCTTTTGGGGGGTATCGTGGTTGTTGGTTCTGATTGCGATGTGCTGTTACAGTCAAGTCAGTCATCGAATGCTTTGCCAGCCGGGGTTTGCATACCTTGGTTGATGACTCGCCGCCAACCCTCCAGCAAGACCGCCTCCATTTTCCGCCTGCCAGTATCACCACCAACCCGACCATGACTACCCAAAATACCTTCACCGGGAGCCCAAGGACCTTCGGCTGGTTTACCGGAGACTTTTCTTTGGTGGTGGATGTAATTTCATGGCCAAACGAAGCCCCGGAATATGGCCCATGATCTTGATGCTGCGGGTGTTCATGTGGTATTGCCTCCAGCCCAGGACAATGGAGCGATTGTGTTGTTGGGCTCTTGACTAGGCTTGATACGTGTAGTTTGTCAGAGAATGGAACACAGAATTTATCCGAAGGAGTGGATGGGAGCATTTTGTCTGCCGCACGTTGAAAAAAAGAAACAGAGGGTTATCAGACTTGAAGGGCTGGGGCAGTTCTGACCACTTAAAGCCTGTTGATCAAGGCTCCCATCTTGTTCTTAGGTTCGGCGACCTAAAGTCGGCGATGTGGCCAAGTGCTACTCTAGCTGCTGCTGTGCCGTATGGTTTGATGGAAAATAGATGAATTAAGATTCGCCATCGGCTCAGTCATAGTCTTCTGCACATATGCTTTGGCTTTGCCATGATGATCAGCATGACGGTTGTGCCGTAGCAGCCCGGTCGACCATCTGGCGCGGCTGGTTGAACTTGGTGTAACAGTAATATGGCCAGAATCAAGGGGCACTCAAGCTAAAATGAAGTCAATGGTAAGTAATGCTGTATTGAGCCCCCAAGTCCAGGGATAAACCGTTTGACAACCTGGAGAAGTTGCCTTCTACGACCTCAAAACCCACCCTCCCTTGTGATAGACATCAGGTTGCGATGACAGCCTGCGGTAGAAGCAGATTTTTAAAAAGAGTGTTCATAAGAGTCCGTTGTTATTCAATAGAAATTATGCGTAAATAGAACAGAATGTTAAGAAGTCGGAACTCAGCATCAGCTTTGAGAAATGAGATGAATATGAAGCTGAACCCACAGAAGCAGGTGTGAGCGCACAGACCATCCATCAAAATGCCAAGCTGCAGGGGTGTAACAGAAAAACTGGAGAAGACACGAACTGTGCACGGACAGCGTCAGCACGAAAACATCAGAAAAAAATTGAGGCGGTTGTGATGCACTATAAGTGCAAACATCGCGGATTGAAAATGAGTTTTTTGGCCTTGTGTGCTTGTCGCCAACCATGATTCACTAGATGGCTTCTTCTCAATCAAGGTGATAAAGTCCTTGCCCATCTACCAGCATTCTCCCCACTCCATTTTTGCCTCTGTGGCTGCCCGGCAAGAGCTGTTGTGAAAAAAACTTACAATGGCGCATCACACCAAGCGCTCTCACAACAATAGACTTGTTGTCAATGGCACTGCCATTGTCAACCACCCATCATCGACGGGTGTTGCTGATGCCACGCTTGCCCAACAAACTGCCTCCTTTTCTCACACCCTACTTGCTCGCAGAACCAATTCTTCCTGCAACAAGTCGAAAGCAACAACCACCAACTCTTACATCAAAACATCTGCCAAAGCATTTATTCCTCTTCTATCTTCCTTGTCCTCAATAGCTGCTGCTCACACGACCAGTCTCAAAAAGTCCCGACTTTCATCTGGGCCCCAGACCTTGTCTTCTGCGACCACTAAGTTCCTGTACAAGAGACTCCGCAAGCACGACCGCGCGACCTCCTCCTATTTTCAGAAAAGAAAGCAGTGGAAGCGCACTCACCGCCGTGTTGCTGTCAGAATAATGACTTCTCCTAGCCAACCCGGCCTCCCTGCGGCCTATGAGCCTTTGTCAGATGAAGAGACGGTCAACCAGCCCATTTCAAGCAGCGCCAATTCTTCCAGGAGCACCTCGCCTTCGGATAGCAGCAGTAGTCGCCAGCAATCAGAGTCTGTCACCTCAGTGTCTAGCTTTGCGTCTTCGCAAAAGAGTACCGATGGCAAGTCTGAGGAGGTAGAGGAGAAGGAAAGAGTCAAAACCAAAGTCGAAATTAAGGTTGAGGCTGCCAGCATCAGCACTCAAGCCACCGAGGCAGCTGCCATCACTACCAGCGACACCAGAACCAACCCGGCCAAGAGGAAACATGAAGAGACTGAGGATGACCCGACGCCTCAGCCGAAGAAGGTTGTGAAGTCAATCAGGCTGGTTATTAAGAAACCCACTGTCGCTATCTTGCCGCCGCCCTCTGCGATAGGCGCCGCCACCGAGGAGTCCCCTCTGACGTCTGGAGCTCGGGCTAGCCCACCATCTCCCATGGCAACTGCTGTCGCTAAGCCTACCACCAAAATCATCCTCAAGCGGCCTTCTTCCAGCGTTGCCCCCCCAGTCATGACCACAGCCGTTGGCAATAACGGGGATCACGGGGAAACGGCCAAGCAGAAGAAGTTGGATAAGGGGAAGCGCAAGCTCATCGAACAAGAGGATGACGATGACGAAGAGACCATTCCCGCCCCAAAGAAGGCCAGATACACCAAAAACACCTACCAGGGTCCAGACAAGCCCTTGCAAAAGATGGAGTATTTTGAGCGCCGTCGTCACGAAATGCTTGCTGATCCTCTTGGGTATGACGACCTCGTTCGGGACACGAATAAGCAGCCTGATGCCTACACCCGAAAGAAGTTCTTGCGATGGGAGAAACATTACCGACACCCCAAGCCTGAGAAGTTTGAGATGAGCGGTGCGCTCAATCCGCCAGACATGACTTCTGCACTTGCTGGCACCCCCAAGAAGAAGGGGGGAGAGAGCCTCTCCAGGAATGCCCGGAAGCGCGCTCACAGGAAGAGAGCTGAGGAGGAAGCCAATGCTTTGCGTCGGGAGAAGTCACGGGAAAGGACCACATCTGGCGGGGAGACAGAGGGCGAGGAGAAGCTCACTGGGAAGGGAAAAGGGGTCGCCAGGATTGGGCAGGGCAAAGACACCAGTATAGGTTATAACAAGCAACAACAACAGCGCATGAAGAGCACCGGTAGACAATACAATGGCGGCTCAGATTATTGATCATCTTTTATTTTTATTTTCTCCCACTGTGGGAGGAGCATCGTGGCGTGGGAGGAGCATCGTGGCGTGGGAGGAGCATCGTGGCGTGGAAGCTTTGGCCAAGGGCTGGTTCTTGGCTGGTGCCATGGGGAATCGATCCTTTTTATTCACCTTACCCGCGTTCAATGTATCTTTGAACGACAGCACTGTCGATGTCGATGTCGATGTCGATGTCAACGATCACAACACCATCTTGTTAAGCCTATGCACTTGCTTACGTGTCTCCCCCCGTCTGTACTGTCTTCAGTTTGAGTTCGTCCATTTTGCTAACAGTATGGTCGGCCACGCGAGTTCGTAACAAGCCTCCGCCATGATGGAGCCACCTCTCAAGCCGCTATCTGAGTGAAACCCTTTCTCTCCTGTCCCATGGTCGCGTGATAAGCTTTCCTCCTCTCACCACTAGCCTCATCAAAAATTTGCAACGCAAGACATACAGTTAACAATATGGATCCGGGGTACGTGGCCCTCTTCATCTATCCCGACACCCGTGTGCCATCGATCGAGGGCCCAGACGAATTTGCGGTCACCATGACATATCCGTTCGGAATATCCTGTAAGTTCCAAGATCCCATATGCGAGAGGACGACTGACCATCTGTGGTAGTGGCGAATCCCCAGCTCAGGGGTCGATATGAGACCGAAGATGAAGAGACCTCCCCACAAGCCCAGGTCACGGAACGACAGGCTGTTTTCCCAACTGATGAGCTCGGTTCTCGAGGCCGGAAAAGAGGCTACACCCTCGCGCACCAAGACGATTAACAACCGGCTCCCATTCTCCCAGGACACTTGGAAGGTTTTCTCCACAACGAGGAGGAATACGCTCGGCTCACCAAGAGGGGGCGATACGAGTTTGCCAGGTCTGGAAAGGAGCCTCGCTTCGAGGATATTATGGCAAACTTGGAGGATTTCATGGCAAGCTTAGAAGATCACTTGCCCGAGCCTCAGACCACTGAAAACAGATACACCCCAGCAATCTGTCCGTGTGGCGTTGAGTACTGACTGATTCCGTATTGGGAGAGGGATAAGAAAAACTGGATCTGTCGATGGGCTGCGTTGATCTAGGATGATGACGGGGACGGGAGATATGATCACGATTGTTCGTTGGGACCTATATGGACGACATTCAAGCTCGATTTCTGGAAGTTGGTCTTACCAAGCGAATGATAGCCCCTTTCTTGGGGTGGAACCCATGGGACAAGTGCTGGCGGGCGGGCGGGGACTCTATTCACTGAGTTTACTGATCATTGATTGATAACCCTATCTCCTCCGCCATCAGACTCGCCACGGAGCCGTCTACCAGTTTTGTTCCCGCCAACTATACCGGCTTCGACGTTGAGTCGGTGCTCATGGAGAAGTTGCCCAGCATTGAGCAAGCGACTACTGCCACAATTTGCGACCCCGACATCCCGCTTCCCCCGGTCGAGCTTGAGGATGCAATCGCCCCCAACTATATCTATCGAGAGCTGAAGGACTTGGTAGGTTCAAGACCGCGTAATACATATCATGATGAACGTACGGTGTTTACAGGTCCTGATCTCGCGGGGTTTATACCTTTGACTCCGTTCATTGGAGAAATGTTCGAAACCAGCTGCCCAAGAGGTGACGCCGCCGTTATCTGGAGGCTTTCTACCAGCTCACGAGCCGGCCCTTCACAGTTGCAAGAGAAAGCGTTACAACAAAACGCCATACCCTCGCAGAGACCCTAAGACCGGCTACGTGGCTCCCATCCTTCTGAGAGGGCAGCTCAAAGTCGAAGATGATGAAGAAGATGGCCGAGAGCTGAAGAAGCCAAGAGATTGATTCACTCCTGTGGGGGCAAAGAACCTCGATTTCAGAATGGGACGACAGAAGTGTTACTCTTGAATATCATTCAGGGATCAGGCAAACCTCGGGTTGGGATGATTGTAACAGCACGCTCGAGCTGAGTCTGTTGCCTCGAGTGGATGAGGACTTTGCCTGGGATGGCTATAAATATAAACATTTGTTGCTTGTACTGTTTCGTTGCCGCCATGACTACCACTTCTCTGACCCGTGAACACTGGTGGAAGTTCATGGTCTGCGTGGAATTTCCATATTCACGTGATTGTTTATTTTATGTTGCCATTGCTTCCCTCCCACGCTCAAACTTCGAGTGTCGTCCCAGCCCTCAGGCAGACGCGCGTGGTCCGCGTCAGGTTGCTCCTTCCTCAAGTTACTCCGTGCCATTCAGAAGAATATCTTGCTATTGTTCATCTGAATAATAATAGGGCAATGACGGCAGGGGTCGACGGAGCCGATGAACTTTTTTCCTGTTGCAGGAAGAACAGTCTCTTCCCACCACCGCTCTCCTCTCACAGATCTATTCCCAGATCTCTGCCCAGCTCTCTCTTCCCACCGACTTTTCCATTCACTGCCTCCTTTAACCAGATCTTGTCGACAATATACGTCGAGCTTCACTCTCATTATTCGTCATCGCCAGGGTTGAGACCAGTGTCTTCACACCGACCAATTCTCGGAATACTCCATCCTTGCCGCAGTCGCAACCAGCACCTCTTCAAAAGTCGCTACCATGAGATTCGCCGGCTGCTACGGTGATAACCCCCGTACCGCGCTGTTCCCCTGGTACAAAGCGCTTGGAGACCTGATAATTCCTGTTCCTTCGATCGCCTGTGACGAGCGCGATGTGCCCATCCGGTCGATGGAGCACGAAGGAGACCATGCCTTCAAACCACGCGCGGGAGCCGGGCGATTTGGTAGGCTCGGGATATTCAGTATCAGAAAAAGCCATACTGACAATATTAACAGCTGAGTTGGTTGCTTCACAGTTCGATTCTTCTCCAGCTCAGAAGCACGATACCCCGTGGGCTGGATCGTGGACGGAGGCGGCCAAGAATGCGTCTGAAGCCATCAAGACAGGGTTTATTTCTACGACTCAGTCTCGGAATAATTACAGCCAGAAAAGAGGCTTCAGGAATAGCTCTTATCCTCGATAAACCCGAGGGACTGATCATGTGCCTGTTCTTTTGGGAGGGTCCATCGACAACACCAGCGAGAGCGATGAGGAGGAGCATTTTCGTCCGACCAAAAATATGCGTTTCCAAGCGACTTAGATTTCCCATGATGACCATCAGGACCAGGAAGGCAATGAAGGAATCGAGTCAGGAGACAATATTGAGGAAGATGACGGCCAGTATGCCGATTCGCTGTCTTTCTCGCCACCCAACAGGTTTGGCCCCCCCCCCCCCCCTGTTTATATATTGCTGAGTACCTATCATAAACAGCCTTTACTAACTAGAAACCGTAATAGTGACGACAAAATCCTCACCGATGCCTGGCTGGAGTCCATTGTCGATCTGAACCCAGCCGATCACGAAGCCGACACTGATGACCGAAACTTCATTAAGGCCTCGCTGGAATCCGTTGTCGGCTTGAGACCAGCCGATTATGAAGCCCAGAATGACGACAACGCCTTTGATAGGTTTGTCTTTTCCTATTCACATACTGCTCAGCTACTATCATGAACACCCTTCGCTGACTAGAGACTGTGGTAGCGACGAGAGTAGCCTCATTGGGGCCTGGTTAAATTCCATTGTCGACCTGAGCCCAGCCGATCACGAAGTCTGGAACCACGATACCGTTTTGGGCGGCCCTGTCTTCCATAGCCGTTATACAACCGCCAGCCGTTCTGTGTCTTGCAGATCATGCGCCAGTCTTGGCCGTTCTGTCTCTTGCGGCTCGTCCGCTATTCATAGCCGTTCCGTTTCTGACGGCTCGTCAGTAGCTCTTGGCCGCTAGAGAAAGCTTTATGGGGGGCCTTCTGGGATTTTATACAGAATGCGGTCGCACAGCCGTTTGGCTTGCCCTAGCTCATAGAGTTTTCTCAACTGGTAGGAGGAACCAAGATAGATAAACGTACTGAATATCATATTTTGTGTCAGAACGTGTGTCCCCCAGATTACTTCGGGTACCTATAAGACAGATCAAGACGATTAAAATGGAAGTATTCTGGATATATATCCTCTAACTCTGAGCTATGGTCCGTCATCAAAAGATGACTTTTACATTGAGGACGTTGTAATTGTTGACAATTCTTGGCATCTCTGTACCTCCCTCCAGCTTTGACCTGAGAGAGTGGAGGACGGACTTTGAGTAGATAGTTTGTGATTCCTAAGCTCAAGCCTCCACCTTCAGAATTGAAGAGATTCGGCTCAGGTAATAACGGGAGTGAGGATATATAAATACGGATTTGAGATCACCCATAGGGCAATGTCAGGCTACTTCGTCGTGTAAGCGTCGTAGGGAAGTCAGCTAGACCAGAAGTTAAAGCACGTGGTTGATGAATTCTTCATAGATTTCAACTTGCTCCGCGCTATCCACTTGAGCATCTTGCTATTGTAGGCTGGAGCAACAATAAGAGCAATACTTATTGAAGGGTGGGCCGTGGCCGACTGCTCCTCTCAAGTGAATCGGGACAGTACCTTTTCTCTTGAAATATTTTCTTTTGTCACCTCTCATCTTCGACCTTCTCTTCACAGAGCATCCGTCCTCAGAATCTGGGCCCGCTGCTTGTATCGATCGGTTCGCACCTTTCAACCTTCAATCGACATCCCCAACCATAACAACAGCTCGAGATCCTTCAGCACGACCAGCATGGAGTCTACATCCAACTATTATACGGGCAGCTTTTGTGGCGAATCGCCATCTCTGAATCGCAGGTAGTTTAGCCATGAAGGTGAGCTCGAAATGAAAGCCAATGAATTCTTGATGATCTACCACTTAACACACCTACAAGTCATGGAAGCCATGAGGATCGAGAGACTGCCCCGTTGGAAGGGTTCCTTATGTCATGTGGCTCCCTTGCCTTCCCACTCGGATGCTTTAATGAGCCAGACTCCTGCCGAGCGCGGGCAAAAGCGACAGAGACGTTCATCGACGCCATACTACCCCAAGGAGGGGCCTCAAGCCAGTCACACCAGGGAGGACCCTGACAACCAAGACGGGAACAACGACGAGAATTCCCGCCCGACCAAAAGACAGCGGGTGACCCACGACGACGCCGTGCCTGTGGCGCCCTCCAGGACTCTTGACTTTGAGGATATTCGTTGTTCAGCTTCGTCAGAGACCCTCGACTTCGAGAAGATTGATTCTTCGGCCTCTTCAGAAACTCTCGACTTTGAGAGACATGATTCTTCGACCGCTTATGAGCCCACGCGTTCTTCCTCTGGCCATCCTACCGCCATTGTTGATCAATTGTTTGATTCCGATATTGCAGCCCCTTCTCCCGAGGCTGTCGAGTCTGTGATGAAGTCAGTTGAAACCGACGACGATTGCGAGGAGTATTCTGAGCTTCTATCGTTCTTGCCACTGACCAGATCCGTTCTTCCCCCTGAATTCATTCCAAGCTTTTATCTTTCTGAATCTTACTAACGGGCTATGGCAGTCACGCTGATCCAACAATCTTGGATCACTGGACGGAATCTATTGTGGGAATAGACCCAACAGAGCTCGAGAACGAAGCGGTTGAGTCGGCAGATCTTGGTGTTTGGACCACTCATCTAACTTTTGGAAGGAGGGTGTCCAACTGGCTGGAATCAATCGTCGAGGTCGGGGAGAACTGGGAAGATGACACGCCCAGCTCAGTTATTCCATTTTCAAGGAACGACCAACGCAACACCATTAATAGGGGGAGCGTTCATGATCGGTACCCACGAAGTCCCAGCTCAATCCCAAGACGCCGTCAGTTTGGTTTCGTACTAGTATCATGTATGTTAGAGTCTGGAGTGTACTAAATAAATGGACAGAAGGGGTCAATTAGCTCTTTACTTCATATTTTGTGCTGGGAATGCCTGAAGACTATGACTAGTTCCAGCAAGAGCGGAAGAAGATGCTCACATAAGCGTTTCCAGAAACCCACAACAGATATAGGACGGTTTATAGAAAACACTGCTTACATACTTCCCATCGTTAAATGAAGTTTCCCCCTTAGTTTCCCTGTTCTAAACCTACTACTTTGAGAAAGTTTACCTTGATAACAAACTATAATAGCGCTGATAAAAACCTTTACGAAGATATGTAGAAGTTTATTGCCCATGAGCACAGCAAATCAAGCCGCCTGGGAATGGTAAGTAGTGCCCTGGATAAGACAATCTCGGTTGTTTACCTTTCCCATATTCTTTCTCCTCACTGGAAAACCAGTCAAACTCTCATCTTCCATTACACCAAGACTTTGAAACTTCAACAACATCTCTTTACATACCTTCATACCGATTTTCTCCAATGCCACTGCTCCCAGCCGCTGGTCCTGTTCCTGCCCGGGTCTCATCCAACATGGGCCAGAAAACTAACACCACGCTTCCTGACCCAGATATGCCTCTTCCGTCCACAGCTGTGACTTGAAAACGAAAGACTTACCACCCTAGATGAGGAAGGGGGAGACTGAAGCGGGGAGTGTCAAATGAAAATGTACAAATTAGTTCTTCTTCAGCGACACCTTCTTGCAATGTAGTCATTTTTGTTGTTTTCAAAGTTGCTCCCGGCGTTCTGGTGGACCACTACTTTTGCGTAAGCTGATCTCTTCTGTCCACCACTTTTGGCGAAAAGCTCTCCCGAACTTTTTTCTACTGTCCGTCCCAGATTGCCTCCATCGATAACCTTCATCGGCCACCCTCATCGCACAAACCATGAATACTACCCTCAACGGGTTGGTGGCTGGCCGACAAGCGCACCGCAGGCAGAGCCTGTCGCGCCCAAGCCCAGGAAAATCAGTACGATGTTATGATGCCATTCTTGCCACTTCGCAGGTTCGTTCCTTTCCTAATAACGACTTTGCTTCTCACGTCCCAAATGAGGCCACTCAGAAGCAGTGATAGTAGCGATCGGGATGTTGTGGATGAGTGGCTTGATGATGAAGTCAGTATCACTCCTGATGATAGTGAGATGTGGGACGAGAGCACAGCTGTGGATAATTCCGTCTCACCCAGCTCGTCACCTGTAACGGAGGACTATTTCGAAAGCGAGAAGGATTTCGAAAGTGAGGAGGAGTTTGGTGATGATGAGGAGTATGAGTATGTCGAGAATCTCGAGAATGACGACACCAGAGACCCTCATTCAGCCCGGGGTTGTCGTTCGGTCACACCCGAATACCGTCCGGCAACGCCCGATCATCGCCAGGCCACTCCCCACTTTCGTCCGGACACGCCCAGCTACCGCCTGGCTACTCCCAAGAGTTCCAGCATCGGCACGCGCAGTCCCAGCGTTGACTTGAGCAGTCCAAAGTTCCATTCGGTTCAGCCCGAGCACTTACCCAGCCAGCCCGAGCTATAGTCCTAGGCCTTAAGGAATACGCCCTTTGCTCGGCGTCTGGACTCTCTTCCAGCATTCCAGAACCCCTGTTAGAGAAGAAGCGGAAGGAGCATGACGACGGAATCAACGAGATATCGGACATACCTAATGTATGTCTGAGTGCCCAAGTTGGTCAAGGTGAAGGGGGGCAGGACTATTCACGATGGTAGGGGAAGCTATTCGCGTAGCTTCACACCTTTGTACTCACTTGTAAAGACACGTGTAACAACGCACAGTGGCCAGCGGCCTATCCCTTCCATTGAGCACGAGGAAGACTTCGTCTCCCAAACATCCCCCAGAACCACTCAACTCAGTAAGTTTGAGAATCCGACTGTGGGTTACCAAGAAAGCTGACAAGACCGACAGCCAAAAGAGCTGCAACTTCTGAGTTGGACTTCTCAGTTTCGCAATCACAGCTTGATGCTCCTCAGCCATACCCCCAGTGGACTGGTGGGTGGGTGGTACAAGGGAATGGACCAAGTAGAAGCTGCCACGCCCAGGACCCGATTTTCGTTGCCCAAGCAAGCTGTTCACATAAGAGGGCAGAAGAAAAAGAGAATCATCTACACCCTGTAACCACGTCAAGATCCTCAGGCCGGATAGATCGCCCAATCATGTTGCGAGATCATCATGATGCTAGCAGTGATGAGGAGAGCTCTCCGGGACAGCACCCAACCAAAAGAAGGCGACTGGATATCACACCAGGGCCTCGGCGGTGTGTCGAAACTGCCATTGGCAACCGAAGATCACCATGATGTGGTGTCGAGATTCTCGCCCTTCAATCTGTTCGTTATCCTCCTGTGTCCAAGACCTGAAGGATGGAAGACTCGAGACTTGCGAGGTTAGGATAAGGAATCAGAAAGGGGTCAGCAGCAATACTGTATATTAGTTTACTTCTGGGGTGGTTCCTTCTGTAGTCGAAGAATAGGAACAGTCACAAACGGACTCTTATCTATCAGTGAGTAGTGCCTGTCTTGGCCTCAAGCTCGATGGATTTTTTATGCAAGACCCAATATTGATCAAACAATGAGACGATTGTGTATGCCCCGGTCTGGATCCAGTTATCACCCCAAGAATGATGATGGGGAGAGTCCATCGAAATCCATGTAGGCCTTTTGCGCTGGAGAAACTTGTCAGATAGATGGCCTTGCCGACGTACCTTTGCCTCCCGAGGCAGAAAGCCACTCTTCCTTGATGAAAAACAACACAAGCCTCGGGTCAAATTCGGTGGAGATAGGCGCATCGTCGATGCTGTTTTGAACCTTACCATGGCCTCTGATAGGCATTAATGTTCAGCCTCAACCCGTAATCTGCAGCCCTTTCAACGGCGCTCGAAAGAGTCAACGGCTCTCGAAAGAGTCAACGGCTCTCGAAAGAGTCAACGGCTCTCGAAAGAGTCAACGGCTGTTGCCAGACGAAACAGACCTCGAACTCCAGACAAAGCCACAAGAAACTCTTCGTCCTCAACGCCCGGTTTCCCACCACCACAGCCAATCGAGAGGTACCGTGTCCAAAGCCCCAAAGCCAGAAGCCCAGAGATGAACACAGTGAAACCTAGATTTTTCGTTGGTCAATTTCCTCCCATGAAAAGATAGTACAACCGCTCAACCACAAGCATGCCCGTACATCAACCCCCCAACCTAGCCGCCCTCGCAGACGCAACCTCAACCGCCCTCCACACGCGCCGACGAACCCCTCCGTACCAAATTTTCAAGTTCGACATCCCCAATTACAAACCCCCATCCTCTCCCGCCGCTGTCCTCCCACCAGCAATCCAAAAACTGGTTTCCCACCCCAAGAAACCACCATTCAACTACCCCCCCAGAAACCCGACCCAACCCACTCATCCCCAGCCTCCCAACCCCTCCCCATTCCCTTTCGGCTCGACACCCCAAGAGATTGACACCTTCTTCCTCTCTCCCAGCCCCGGGCAAGACCCCCAAGAGGAATACGTCCTTAGCCCACCACCACAAGGGGAACCACCCAGGCCCGACGCCGCAAAAGTCAAGATGGGGAAAATGAAATGGTTGGCTGGGTACGCCGTCACCTCTCCCTGTGAGCTTCCCGGTCCGGTCAAGCAGACAGTCGTGGAGGAGGAGAGTGGTGAGGTGGTAGGGACGAGGTGGGTTGGGGTGAAGGTTGACAAGGAGATGGTGGACTTGTATGTACCAGAGTGGGAAGACTTTGACTCTGATTGTGAGGGGTACAGCGAGAGGGAGGGGGGTGTCACTCCAAAGGGGAAGGGGAAAGGGGTGGGGGGTGACGAGGTTGGATCAGAGGCTGAGGGGATTGTGAGACAGAGGGGAAGCAGAAAAAAGATGATGGGGACGATCAAGAGGTTTGGGAGGAGTTCGGCTGGTGGGAGGAAGCCAAGGGCGGGGGAGGGGAGGGAGCAGACTCGTGTACGTGGCGGGAAAATAGATAGGGACCAGACTCCTGGGCCCCATGGGGCAAGAGGATACAAAGGGAGAGGTACCCGGTGATTTTGGGCGTCTCAGAGGCACATGACACCCACCGATTTGGGCGTTAAAAGCCTGGAATGCACGGGTTGGCTTGGTTGGAAGCGTTTGGGGAACCAGTGTTTCAAGACTTTACGATGGTAACGATGGATGATATTCATGGAATTTGGTGTGATTTTGATATGTAGAGGAATACAGCAATACATGTTGGTGCCTGACCTTGATATCAAGACTTGATACTTGACAACCCGGTATTCCGGAATCACAAGGTGTCCGCGGTGGAATAACATCATTCCAGAGTGGCAGAATATATCAAAACGGCGTCAACCTTGATGAGGCTGAATGTCTCTGCGGGAAAAACACAGGCTGGCAACGGCCGTCGAGGACCCCCCAGCAGCCGCTAACACACCCCTGCCAGCAGTTCTTTGCGGGGTACAGCTCCCCCGGGCCCCGTGGCTGCCCACTTGGAGGAACCTCGGCTGGCGGTATCGGCCCCCGCAAGACGCTGTCGCCAGCGCAAATCCGTCGGTTGCCATGAGACCCGGACCTTGGCGTCGCCATAAATGGTATATCAGGGCCGAGTCCCATCTGGTCTGATCTGATAAGTTTCTGATCGTCAATTGACTGACTCTGTATCTTTGCTGTTTACTTTGTTTCTGTTCAACATATACCCTCCATATAATATCCAAAATGTCTGGCCCTGGTGTTGGTTTCGAGTATCCCTCTCGCGAGGTGAGCTGGCTCAAGCGTGATGCTCTCCTCTTTGCCAACTCGATTGGCTGCACCTCGGAGGAGCTTCACTTCCTCTACGTATGCATACTCACCCTCATATGGCCATTGAATCGCTACTAACAGCACATAGGAGCTCGACCCCAACTTCGCTGTTTTCCCCACCTACCCTGTCATTCTCAGTACGTTTGAGCTGCCATTAACAGCCTCGTGGTGCATGGAAACTAACAAACAGCAAAACAGTGTTCAAGGAGACGCACCCCGAAGTAGTCGACTTCTACGCCGCCCAAAAGTCGGTCACCATCCCCGGCGTCCCCGTCTTCGACCCCACCCGCGTCGTCGACGGCCAGCGCCTCCTCGAGTTCCTCAAGCCCCTCCCTACCTCCTCCGCCGGCCGGAAATTCGAGGTCCGCACCAAGGTCCTCGGTGTCTACGACAAGGGCAAGCCCGGGACCGTCGTCGAGACCCAGACCGACCTCGTCGACGCCGAGAAGAACGAGTCCTACGCCCGCGTTACCACCTCTTCCTTTTACGTTGGCCAGGGCAACTGGGGCGGTCCCAAGGGCCCTGCCACCGTCAACTTCCCCCCTCCCGAGGGCAAGAAGCCCGACCTGGTGCTTGAGAACCAGACCACCAACGAAACCCCGTTGCTGTACAGACTCAATGGCGACTACAACCCCCTCCATGCCCACCCGGAGCCTGGTGCCAAGATGGGCTTCGGTGGTGTGATCATCCACGGCTTGTACTCATGGAACTGGGCGTGCCATGGCTTGCTGCAGCACCTCGGTGGCAGCAACCCTGCCAACTTCAAGGAGTACCAGGCTAGATTTGCGTCGCCGGTTAGACCCGGTGACAAGCTCATTTTGGAGGCGTGGAAGACTGGCGAGTTTAAGGGCGAGTGGGAGGAGATCAGGTTCTTGGTGAAGAACAGCCACGGCAAGGTTGTGCTGAGCAACGGCCGGGCGCTCATCAAGACTGGCGCCAAGGGCAAGTTGTAAAGTTATGATGTTGTGTATAATTTTGGATAAAAAGCGTAATGAGATATGTTGGACAACCAAAACTTGTTATGATGATGATGCTTGTCTCGTGTGAGGTGCCCAGAGATGATGCTCTGGCAGCTCAACTTGCATGTTGCTGCCTGACTGTCCTTTCCAGTTTCAATTGAACCCACTCACCAAATTCACTCCATTTTCACAACAAATCAAAGACCAGTCCCGCGGAAAAAGCAGCTCAAGCCGATTAAAAAAAATGACAGAAGCGACAATTGGCCAGCGCAGGTCTTACGATGGCGCTCTTTGCACTGTGAGATATATCGGTGAAGTGGCCGGCACGACAGGATCATGGCTGGGTGTTGAGTGGGACGACCCATCGCGGGGCAAGCATGATGGTCAGCACAAGGGCGTCCGCTACTTTACATGTGAGTCTCTGAACTGATTTCGTCCATCATGGCGACGCGAGGCACGATTGACTGACATTCTTGATCAGGCAAAAGTCAAGCTCTCACATCGGCCTCTTTTGTCCGCCCGACCAGACCGGTGGACCCACCTCGGACCTTCCTCTCTGCGCTGCAATACAAATATGCACCCCCTGAGGAACAGCAGAAGCCTGGGCAACCTGCTCCGAGGCCGATTGTTTTCTCAGGGAAGGTAGCGGAAGAGGTTGGGTTTGAGAAGATCAGGAGACAGCAGGCTCAGTTGGGAGAGCTGCTGTATGTCATCTTGGACAGCACCAAGGTTGCAACAGCATACTCGGACGATGAGAAAGCAAAGGGACAGCAGATTAGGGAGGTTTGCCCCAAAATCAGAGAGCTGGATCTGAGTCGGAATTTGCTGGAACACTTTGATCCTGTTGTGGACATCTGCGCTGAGCTGCTTCTACTGAGGAGCCTCAAGGTCAACTGGAACCGCTTCCGCAACGTGCTTGAAGACAAGAAACTCGAAAGAGCAGGCGATGCCTTTGAAGGCGTGAAGGAGCTGGCTCTCGAAGACACGTTACTCACCTGGCACGAAATATGCCACATCGCCGCTCGATTCCCAACGCTGATCACCCTACACGCCGGCTCAAACCAGCTATCCTCTCTCTCACCCCTCCCGCCATCAGCTCCCTTTACCTCCAACCTCGTCACCCTCGATCTCGAATTCAACCAGTTCACCTCCCTATCCGATCTTGCTCCCTTATCATCACTCACCTCTCTCAAAAGCCTCATCCTCAAAAAGAACAAAATCACCACCCTCACCACCCCCACTGCCCCTCTCCCAACCTTCTCCCCCACCCTCAACTACGTCGACCTCTCCTACAACCTCATCTCCACCTGGTCCACCGTCGACTCCCTCCCTTCCTCCTTCCCCGGCCTCACCTCCCTGAGATTCACCCACAACCCCCTCTACGACAACCCCGACCTCGACACCCCAGGCTCTCTTCCTCCACCCCCCCAACAAACAACCACCACCAGCACCTCAACCAGCGCCGCCAGCACCCTAGGCAAAACAGAAGAAGCCTACATGCTCCTCGTCGCCCGCCTCCCCCCAACCCTCAAAACCCTCAACTTCTCCACCATCACCACGGCCGACCGCTCCGACGCGGAAATGTTTTACCTCTCCCGCATCACCAAACAGCTGTCCTCCGTCCCGGAAACGGAAGAGCATTTAATACGGGAGAAACACCCCAAGTGGAAGTACTTGTGTGATAGTTACGGTGAACCGACAATCACTCGTCGGCAGGAGGTGAACCCAAACTTTTTGGAGGCCAGGTTGATAGATGTCAAGTTTTGGGCGGTGTTTGATGGGGAGGAGACAACAGCAAAGAGTGTGAGGGTGCCGAGGGCGTTTGATATTTATGCTGTTAAAGGGATTGCGGGGAGGTTGTTTGGGCTGAGGGCTTGGGAGGTGAGGTTGGTGTGGGAGACGGGGGAGTGGGATCCTGTTGGGGGGTTTGAGGTTGAGGGTGGGGATGGGGAGGAGAGTGATGATGGGGGGGAAGAGGAGACCAAGGAGGGGGCGGGGGGAGAGAACAAAAAGGGACGGTGGGTGAAGAGGGAGGTTGAGTTGAAGGATGGGCCTAGACAGTTTGGGTATTGCGTTGATGGGACGGAGGTTACTGTGAGGGTTGAGAAGAGGTGATGAGATTTGTTTGGCGGTTGTTGTCTGGAGCTGGGGTGGGAAACTGCAGGTTGTTTTACGGGATACTACAGGTTTCGTTTGTTGCAGTCACGATACTGGCGGCGGTTATTTTTAGTTATAAAACTCGGTTTCTTGCCTTTTCTATTCCAGACTCTCTTCATCTATTCTTCCTCGAGTGCTGGCTGCCTATTATCAATCATCAGTGCACCGCCATGGCTCCCCGTCCCTTTTGCTACATCGTCAGACCTGACACCCAACGCAGGACCAAGACTGGCCAGATTCAGGCTGTTCGTGGGCCCAATGTCCCGCTCATCGCTGTTGACGAACTTCCCGACTGGATTGAAATCTATGGGGTGCCCCGTGAAATCCCCAGCGAGCAGACGATTGGGCTTCAGAACCTGGGGCTAATGTCCAAGAACTCGGAGCCCTATCTGGTGCAGCTTCACCAGAAAGTCTTTGCCGCCCGCCGTGAGCAATACCAGGGAGACGATTCAAGAGGTCAGGCTACCGCGGTGCCTTCAAGCAGTCCTGCTGTTCCTTCAAGCCGTCCCGCCGTTCCTTCAAACCGTCCTGCTGCTCCTTCAAGCAGTCCTACTGCGTCTCCTACAAGCCATCAGGCGACACTTTCGCCCCAAGCTCAACCCCAGGTTCCAGTCGCCAACACAGCACCTGCTACCAACTCGCCACGGCAACCACCTCAGGCCATGTCCACAGCTATTCCTCAGACACAGGCTGCCCCGGCTGCTCAACCGGTACAGACCTCTGTTCCCGCCCACGCATCTGTCACCCAAGCGCCACCACCGACATCTACTGTCCCGGCGGGACTCCTGACCTCGCGACACGCGCCCAAACCCCCGACAGCTAAACCGGCACAATCAGCACCGCAACCTACTACCGTTCAATCCCCCGCTACTCCCTGTCCCCCTCCACCTCCCCCAGAAACCCCATCATCAGCCCCAGCGCCTGCCCCTCCAGCAGCAGCCTCCCAGCCCGGAGCCCCTGCTCAGCAAACTGTCTCTATCACCACCACCACCGCCACCACCACTCAACCCCAACCCCCGCTCCAACCCGCTCCCCCAGGAACATCAACCTCCTCCCCCATCACCATCACCCCAGCACCCCAAGAACCCTGCCTCCACTACCTAAAATGGGGCAAATGCAAGTTCCAACCCCACTGTAAACACTCTCACCTCATCACCCCCGCCTCCCTTGTCCTAGCCGGCTTCCCCTCCGGTTCTTTTCCTCCTTGGATCAAAAAACGAGTCTCCCGACTAAACAACAACAACCCCAACCCCCCCTCTCAACCCTCCCGCCCCCCTTACTACCCCCAGTGTCACTACCCCTACTCCTCCTCCTCCTCCACCACCACCACCACCACCACCTCATCCGACACCCACTCCCTCACCTCCTCCTCCTCTTCCTCCAGCCCCCGGGTGAAGGTGGCCAAAAGAGGAACGGCAACCAAAAAAGTGAAAAAGCAGGAGAGACTGCTGCAGGAGATGCAACTCCGGCTTGAGAATCTAACTCTCAAGCAGAAGGAACGGGAGCTCAAAGTTGCGTTGATGAGGCAGCAGCAGCAATTGGGGTTGGGGTTGTCGGGGGGGAGTGGGGGTGGGTATGCAATCAACTCTCTCGGGGGGGTCGTCACCGCGACGACAACAAACAGTAAAAAGAGGCTGAGGTTGCCCAGACGGGGGAACACGCCTCTTGATCGGCAGAGGAAGCGGGTTAGAGAGGAAACACCGGAAGGGGGGAAGGTCGGGGTTGTTGGTGTGATGGAGGAGGGAAAGGGGAAGGAGGTTGTTGAGGAGGTCAGGAAGGAGGAAAGCACGGAAACCGAAAAGGGGGTGGTGCTGGTTGAGATTTAGTTGTTTGACGAGATGGGTGGTCACAGGAATGAGCATGAGGAGAGGCGAAAAATGGCATCATATTGTATTTCTTGTTGGCTACTGAGTTGAATCTAAATGCGATAGAGCTATCAATCTCAGTTAGCCATTGCCCTCGCCCAATGAACAGAAAGTGAGTGACAAAGTCGAGAAAAGAGGCATGTCAGGAATAAGTGTAATGTGAGATAGTCCACACCGATGTCCCGAGGGGAATCTTGAGAATTGCAGAATTCTTGGAAGAATCATTCATCATGTTGCCTGGAGATAACGACAGAAAGGGAGAATAACTTACATCTTTATTCTTGATTGTGCCGCCGCATCAATTCCATGTTTCCAATTGGTCGTGTCAAGTTGAAAAAAGAATGGCAAAAATCGAAGGCTTTAAAATTTCTTAGTGGGCGGGGAGAAAAATTGCTGCCAGGATTACGTAAGCGCTCTTCCATGCACCTTGACCAGGGTTAGGGTCACGACAGTGCCCCTATTTCTGCTATGCGTGTATGCTCAGTTCACATACATGTGTGCAATCTTTATCACAGAACCATACTTCACCACAAACCCATATTCTCTCATTCACCTCATACAGATAAGATACTACCACATACCCCATCCCTCATTAATAAGTGATACTAACCTCAAACAGCAGTAACCCCATTCACCCCCACCGCCTCGATCCTGTTCACCAACTTCTTCACACTCGTCCACTCTTCATTCCTCAGATTCTCCTTCCCGCCCAGGTCCGGCCCAACCTCAAACACCGTAACCTGCCCATCAATCCCACCAGTCGCCAACCTCTTGCCTTCTGACGGCTCCCAAGCAACCTTGTTCAAACTCTTGCTCAACATCGTCCTCCCGTCCTTCCTCGCGCTCGGGCTGATCCTCGCCACCGGTTCCTCCGTCTCAACAGTGATGTCCCACAGCTCCAACCACCCGGCACCATCCACAAGAGAGAAAACCCCCGGCTTCACCGGCGACCAGGCCGCATCATACACCACATCCTCCCTGACAAAGTCCAACAGCGGCGTAACCTGTGACTCGGTCCCCACAGCAGATCCCAGAGCGGCCACAACCGCAGAGGTGGCAGCCGGCGCCCTCACCTTCCAGAGCTTGACACTCCAGTCCAAACTAGCAGACAAGACCAAATCGCCCAGATCCACCGGGCCCTTGGAAGGGTGAAAGTCAACCGACATGACCGGCGCCGCGTGGCCCTTGTAGCTAACCCTCGCATCAACACCCGCCTTGGCCCCGGCGCGATCATACCGATGGCAGGGATAAATCGTCCCTTCTTCTGATCCCACAAGAAAGAACGTCGGGTCTGCTTGCGGGAACGCAAGGCAGGTCGGGCTGAGATCCTCGTACTTGGCGGGCGCGGGAGTGACCAGTGTCATTGCCTCCTGTGGCTGCGTGAGCATATCGACACTCCATCCGCAGACGGCACCGTCAGTAGAGCATGAGATGATGTTGTTTGCGTTTTGGGTGCCGACAATGTCGACTGAATACACTGGGTGGGTGTGGCCGAGGCCGGTGAGTGGTGTCTTCTGGACAGGCGCTGATCTAGCGCGCGTATCCCATAAAAGCACCTGGCCGCTGTAGGCACCACCGATGATCAGATTCGGGTGGAAAGGCGAGAATTTGGCGGTAAGAATGTCAGACTGAGCGTGAAAGACGAATTCAGGGCGGTCATGAAGGTGCATGTTCCAGACCTGCACAATGCCATCCGGGTCGTGGGGGGCGGTGGGGTTCTTGGTGTAAGATGCCAAAAGGAGTTCTGGGAATTTTGGAGAAAAGTCGATGGAGCTGATCATGCGTTTCTTGGACCAGCGTTCGTCATAGAATTGGGCAATTTCTCTGACCTTTCGCCGGCCTTTTCCTCCAGTGTTGCCGCTTTGTTCATCGTCATCGTCGAGGTTTGCAGCCTGAAGGGTGTAGTCGGTGAGGATATCGTACTCTTCGTCTAGCGCTTTCTCGATAACCTTGGTTGATCTTTCGACAAAGTCCATGAAATCGTCAGACTGTGTAACCGCCTTCAATTCCTCGGCCGTCAAGGCCCGGACAGGAAAGTTCTCCTTGGCTGAAGCTTTCAGCGTCCCATCCGTCACAAGCTCTCTCGCCGCTTTCAACTCCTCCTCGATTTCTTTCCGAATATTTTCTCTTAGTTCCTCCTCTCGGTCTCGTTCCCTCCTGCTTAATCGCTTGTTGGGCGTAGCTGGCACTGTATCTTCGAGGTCCGAGTCTGAAGCAGCTCGTGCTCTGGTTGGTGGTATCCATTCCTCTGTCGTTTGCACACCTTTGCTGTAAGAGAACACCTCCTTCACCGGCGACGGAGGACACTCGTAGACTGTTTTTAACGAAACCGTCGAAAGAATCTGGGGCTGGGTTGGTGCAGGAACAACCTGGGCATTCGCAGGAACCTGAAATTCGGAAGTGGCCGCATTGCTGAGCTCGCCTCCGCTCAAAACACTGTTCGGTCTGCTCCCGCGGCGGGCGGGCGAGTTCATTCCTGTCGAGACAGACACGGAGCGGCTGTCGCCCACCAGGCTATTAATCAGGTTTTCGATATCATGTCGCGAGGTGTGCCGACCGGGCATGGGCGAAACAAGCTACAGTGGTGTCAGCCAGCTACTTTGGACCCTAACTGCAGGACAGGACGCACCTCGCTGGGGGTTATGCTGCCACGACCAGCTGACTGGCTTGCCCGAAGCTCCCTCTGGCGCTTGAGCTCGGCCAGCTTGGCCTTCTTTGCGAGAATCTCCTCTCTTCGTTGTTGCATGATTGCTGATTTCTATCCGCATCCCACGGCCAAGCCTAGGTTCAAGTTTGTTGAACTGCCAATTCGAGATATCTATCGTTCGTCTCGCAGTGGTCAGGAGGATCGAGAAAGAAGATAACGGAAAGTAAACAAAGCACGCCGTTGCTGCTGTGCTGTCTCCTATTTCGTTTGTTGTATGTACACAGTAGATAGCTGCTCTTTCATCCTTCATTGCGCGTCGCCCGCCTTTGCCCAGTTCGAACGCCTGCCCGCCCGCCCGCCGCGACCCTCCAGGCATGGACCAGGGGCCCGCCTACAATTACGCCCGGGAGTGCGCTAAATCACCTGATCTGCTCAAACTCTTGGCAAATGGCATTTGCTACCGCCCGCTGTGAGAGCTTCTTCCAGGCGGGTAGGAGGGACTTGTGGGGCTCCACGTCAAGCAAGCAACCTGCCGCTTCGCCTTAACCAAAAAAACCGCGAAAACTCCCGAGCTTCCCAAAACTTGTTCCAACCTCACCACACCCAACCCGCGCAAATCGACGACAAGCTCCGGCCACGGCCAATTCCTTTCTCCTCGACACCGAGTGCTTCCTCCCGCCCAGATCGAATTTCGAACCCCAGCCAATTCGATTGCCCCCAGATTCCTCAAAATGGCCTCTTCCGGAGTCAACGTGAGTGGACACTGTTACCCCCCATCTGGCTCCCTCCACCCATTGCATAAGAGGAGGCTATAGACACAGGGCCACCTACCTTCCTACAAGTAATTGGCATGGCCCATACTTGGTATTCGGCTTCACAAGACCCAAAGCTCGAGACATAGCGCAAAATCCGCATCATGTGAAAGTATGGTCTTTCCACAATCAAACTAACATGCACACCCAGGTCCTCCGGTACTCCGCCCTCGGCCTCGGTGTCGTCTACGGCTTCTACCACCAGCGCCAGATCTATGCTTCCGACCGCGCCGCCGCCGCCCAGCGCGAGTATGAGCACAAGCAGCAATTAATAGCCCAGGCCAAGAAGGCCTACGCTGCCAAGCACAAGCCCGCTGTCTCCGCGTCGTCTTCCGCCAGCCGTATGTTGATCTGAGGGTAGAGACATGAAACTCGGTAACTGACGCAGAACCTACAGAAGACATCAACAGCTCAAGCTTCGACCTCGAGAGCTTCATCGCCCAGCTGGACAAGGCCTAAACTGTCCGTCGACGAACTTGACGGATAGTGGTGGAAAAGGGAGGGGGATAATAGAGGTGGTAGATTTGGAATGAGCGAACCGAATCTTTTCCGACCAGCGCACAACCAGCCCCTCTTGACTCGACTCGAACTCGCCCTTTGTGGATGTGGGAGGACGGTGGGAAAGACGAGGGAAGGGACGGAAAACCGAACGAAATGGATGGGACGAATGACATCAGCGCCGGAAATACCCTCACACAACCGGCCAATGTCACATCGTTGAGGTTTTGGGGGAAAGGGAACAAAACCCCAGAAAAACGGACAGGGCGAGCAAGGCGCGAAAGGAAGGGACGGCAGGGGGGTTTAAAGGCAAAATGGTGTTGTATTATTACTGTCGCGGTTAAAAGCGCACAACTACCCACACGGCATTAAAGAGGCTTTTTTTTCGATCATCACACATACACACACACACACGCACTTACTTCTTTCTTTTTCACAAAAGGTTCCTGTGTACAATTGTTTTGTACATTATACTGATCTAGACAAGAGACGGGGGTAATAAAGGAACTGGAACAGAAGTAACTTGGGTCATATTCGGTGAAACTCGTTTGGGTGTACTCAGGGGGCAGGGGACACGAATATAGGTACGTGAATAGGGGCGGCCAGCCTAGCACTTGGAAGTCTGGACCAACAAGCTCATGAGATTCAGCATGTCCAGACTCTGCATATTGGACTGTTCCACACCATATTCAGCAGACCAAGCTTGTTTACCACGCCAAACCCCTCCACCAAACTTAGCATATTAAACTCACCATATCAAACTCAGGCCGCAAGCTCACCACACCATCATAACGGCATCTTCATCATCGTAGTCATTTGTCTCCGTCAAAGCAATCACTACTTATACAGTGACAGCAATCATCATGACAAGTCAGGGTTTGAATACTCCACAAAAAGCCCCTTGTAAAACGCCCTCCTAAAACCGCCATACCATCGCACTTAAATCATCATTTGAGTAAGGTATCCTAACATGCGTCATAGTGTTCAACTCCAGTTACTCCCCCTCTACCAAACGCCTACTCTAACCCCTATGCTACCCCCCCTAATGAGGAAAAATAAACCCTCCCGCCCCTTCAAACCCCCCCGGCGTAACAGGCGTAAACCCCGTGCTCCCTTCCACACCACCACCACCACCACCAGTCCACAATTTCCCCTCAAGGACAGTCCTCTCAATCCGATCAGCAACCTCCATCAAACCCGCCGTCAACCCCCCACCACAACTCCCACCCATCAAACCCCGTAAACACCCCTCCGCGACCGCCAAACTAATATACTCATCATAATGACTAGGGGAACGACACGCCCTCTCCCTAAAGTCTTCCAGCTGCGTCTGCACCAACCTGACAATCTCCGCTTGGCTTGTTGCGTGTTGTTGCCTCCCATCCGTGGGTGGTAACTGAATCACATTCAGCGATAGTCTTCGACAGGACGTAACAAGATATAACATTGCAGCGCCAAAGCTGTCACGGCATATATCCAGCAGCGTGGCTGTTGAGCGGTGGGCGGCCCCCTCTGGTAGAGCTATGCTGCTGCTTGGGTAGTCGAGGCCATGACTTGGTTGATACCACGACTGGTGGACACTCAGAATCTCGAGAGACGAGTTGATTACGGCTTGGGAAGAGGCCGGGAATTGTCGGAACCTCGGTGCAGAAATATAGTGATGGTGGAGGGCTAGCAGGGAGCGGTTGACGAGGACTCTGAGGAATTCAAGTTGTATCCGAGGTCTGAAGGAGTAGTTTGCTTGCGATTGAGCTGCCATAAGCAACACGGATGCCGCTTCTCGAACTTTGCGACGGAGTTGCTCGTCCCAGGATTGGATTTTGTCATATTTGAGGGCCGTCTGAGCCGTGGTTTGGTTCACGGCGGTGGTGATTTCCGAGAGTATCGGAATGAGGTCGGATAGCCTTGTCTGGAAGGTGCCATCGGTCAAAGCAAGGTCTGATTTGGCGGCACCTTGCTCCAGGACCCAGCCTTGTCCGGTGTGGTAGATGCTGGTGTCGTTAATGTTTAATGGTGGCTCGGCGTCGTAGTCTTGATGTGTACATGATGTTCCTGTCCTCATGGCCACTTGCAGCTCCAGAAGCTGAATAGTAAGCCACAGTCTGCGGCGGATCTCGACTTCGTATGGCAAGAGTTCTGGGAACAAAGCAGATGTTCGGTTGAGATGCAGGGAGACCGCCATTCGACCGAGGTATCCCATGAGGCTGGCCAGCTGCGACGTCTCGCCACCCTTTACAATGTCCATTATTCTCGCGAGAACCCCAAGGCAAAGTGTTCGAGCCGAAGTAAGAGTAGGTGTCGAAACAAACGGTGACCGGCAAAGAAAGTACTGAGAACTGTTCAGGAACTGGTCCGTCCAAGAACTTGGCCGTCTTCCCGTACTGGCAAATACTTGTGCGGGGGCTGCTTGGCATCCCAACGCCAGTATCATAAAGAACTGAGCAAGCCATTCCTCGGAGAAATGGTTGACGTTCATCCAAAAGGCCTGGAGCTCAAACTCGTACTCGGCAGGGTGCAAAAGCCGGTATATCGGGTGGATAACCTCGAAATAACACCGTACCAATGTGTCGACAACAGGTCTTGGTGGTAAACTTTGAAGCGCATTTTCTCGGCTTTCTGAACAGTGGCATATTTCGCCAAACGGAAAGTGGTGAACCGGAAGCGCGGCGACCAAATACTTTAAGCTCTGTAGGTGTCTGTATCTCGGCCCCCATTCGGGATCAAGGCCCGCTATGTATGGCCAGCCTTCCTGAAACTAAAATGTTTCCTGTTAGCAAACATGCATGCTTCAGCGGAATCTGGTTCGTCTGTACCTCGGAAGCAACGGTGCTCCAGTGTGTGACACCGTGAAGTCTGGGTCTTGCTTCACTACCACTCGGGCCCGGTGTTGTTTGGGGGCTATCTCGTGCTGGACTTTGCGGTGTCTCTCCTGACTCGCCACTTCCAGACTCATGCTTCGAACTGAAGGGGAATTTCTGGTATACACATTCATCGGCAGCGTCGGCCTGGATACAACGGGAGCAAGGCTGCCCTTTGTCGCATCTGAGCTTCCGTCGATGACATGGTATGCAAACGTAGACTCGTCTGTTTCGTTTTTGGGGTTTCCCTGTGCCTTCTGGGTTGGGCCGGTTTGGATCGAGGATAGAAAAGGTCGAAAAGTAACCTGCTGGCTGCTCTGATTCCATAGTCGATGGGTTCTTCTTGGTGTGTCTTGATGATGGTGAAGCACACACAATGTGGCATTTCCAACCTTGGGCAAGTAGACCCCTTGATTCCAAAAGGGGTGCCATCACAACTGTCCTGCTGATATGGGTCTCGGCAACCTAGGGTGTGGCGGGTGAGGTGGCTTCGCCAGCCTGAGGACAAGCAAAACAAATCTTCAAAAACCGATCAGGCAACAGTAGAATGTGAAGCAGGAGTGACGATATGTTTCCCATTCATGTTCCTCCTTGTGGTACTTGAACTGGCGGCTCAGACGCCAGGGGGGGCTCGAAACGAGTGCCATCGCCATGCGCCAGGCCCTGTTAGGTTATGCCGAAAGGCACATCGCCAAGCCATTTTTTCCTTGTATTGCTGGATATCTCGACGCTCATAACTGAAGCTGTGATAGGGCTAATGATAGCCTGACGTCGAGATATTTCCTGTAATACCCGGTTTGGAAGGTTCTGTTGCACAGGTGGGCAGGCCCAGGATCACGGTTCGGGTCCGGGGCTCGGAATGAGCTCGCACTTGGAAGATTCGAGAGGTTGTTGAGATCATCTCGTCCAATCCGAAGAAAAGAATGGTCTCATACGGTGAGAAGCAGCAAGAAAAAAAGCCGCGCGGGTGTCACCAATGAACCGATGGTGGTGGGAAGGAACCGTCTCCTTGGGTGCCTGGCTCCTGCCGTGTAACCACATGTCGCCCCTCGAGTGACTTTAGTGTAAAGTTTTGACAGGTTCATCAAGTGGAAAACCGAGCAGGGGTGTTTCGCTTTGGTCCAATATGTCTCCGTGTTTGAACGTTGAGGTTGTTGTTGGACCTGCCGAAGGATGGATCCCCCCTGCCAACGACCGCTCAGTGACCAACCTTATTCTGTGGCTTACACAACAAACACCTAAACGTACCTACAAACAAGCCGAACTGAATATTATATCCACTGCAAGGCAAACTTCAATATCATAAGGCTTAGGATTCTCAGTCAAAAGCATCTCAAGTCCACTCCTACCATGGGCAGTTCATCAAGACAATGTTGCTGGATTCCGCGGCAGTGACAAGCTGCTGACAGAAAAGCAGCCTTATACTAGTATTCAATTAGTATCGGACCTGTGCTCTTGATTCCGAGAGTGTATGAATTATTGACCTCGAATCCGACCCTCCCCCCAAAATATCCACGCCCTTTGGTTGTCATGTTGATGCCTTGCTCACTGCTTTAGTTGCAGTGCCAATTTCTCACCGCCTCGGCTTCTTGTGCAACAGGGAAAGTCCGTTTTTGTATATTTCGTTATCATCGTCCTTTCGCACATCTCAGGTTTGGCGTGGTTGTGCCTCTCAAGACAACCACCAACGTGTAACATCGCGCTTACATGTGCCGCATCTCGATTGCATGCTATTCTCTTTTCACTTTGTGCTACAACCCAAATTCGTCATCTTCCACCGCCGGCCGGCGGGGGACCAAAACCCCGCACTTTCCATAAACCAGGAGGTATTTCACAGCATCTTAACAACCTGAAGATCAGCAAGGTCACTCCGACTCCGAGTGCCCTGATATGCTTCCTGAACTACAGCGAATTGTCCGAGATCACAGGGGTGGAATGTCGCGCTTAGACCTAGGTAATGGCTCATTCTCCATGCATCTCGTGTAACCCCAGATGGTTTATCTACCAGTTGACGTCTGACACCTCACAAGTAGCCTGCAGTCTGTTGACTAATCTAAAAGTCATATAAGTTCAAATGGCCCCCACAGTGAGAGAAGAAGAAAAAAAGGTCAATTATGGGCATTACTACTCTGCACTATCACCAAACCAAAGTCCGAGCAGGGCGTCCGCCACGCCCTCAGAATCCCGTCTGAAGCAAAGACACCTCCTATTCTCACTAAAAGGCTTGTTACAAGCCGTGACGGGGTCGGATGATTTGCATTCTCGTAAGATATCCAATAACAGCAGCTGGTATAAACCGTCTACATTCCAACCCCTGCAGTTCCATCTCCCGAGTTACACACGGGAAAATCAAAAGACGAGAATATCAGCTCGCACACCATCAAGAGAAAAAGCGGATTAGAGAACAGGTATCCTATCCTACTTCAACCCTTCAGTCCCCGGAATATGACCCCCCTCTACTTCTTCCATCATGACTGAAACAGATCTTTGTATCAGTTCCCACCTTACCTGTGTCCTTATAAGAAGAAAGCAGACCACTACATTCTCACATGGCCCCTTTTGCATTCCACCCTCCCCCCCACCCCTCCCCCTTTTCCTCTCCCCATTCTCCCCAGTCACCTACCTACCTAACCCCAAACCACTCCCAACCATCCTTCCAGCTTCCCCCCAGCTTCATCCTCCTTCTGTACCTATATCCAGCCAACCAACCCACCCCCCTTCATCCAAAGTCCACAACAACCCCCTTCTCTCCCAGAGCCCCATCACTTACTCTCTCAATCACATATACGTACCTAGGTATGTAATAATAAATCAAGACCATCTTCGATACCAACCCAGCTCATCAGATAGCCACACCGTGCCACAAAAGAAGAGAGAACCTCCACGGAGCCCACTATTTATCCAACCGACGGCCACCCCCCAACCCCCTCAATAAAGAATATAACTAATACTTCGAAGGGATACTTGTTGAGCGTTAAAGATATTTAACAAGCCTTAAAAGATAATTAAAAGACCTGAAAAGATAATTAAAAGGCCTTGAAAGATAGTTTAAACGCTTTAAAAGATAGTTTAACGGCCTTGTATAGGCAGGGTAAGTAAATAGACATGGATGGGCGGCGCTGGTAAGACAAATCGGGGGCTCGGTAGAGGTTCTCTCCAAAAGAATGCCATCTAACATGTTAGAGGATGAATTCGACCCAGATTCATTTTAACAAAAGTACTCTTGCGAAACCTAGCAGCAGTCAAGCAGCATCTTCACCTTGCCAAATTCCACTCCACGTTAGAAAGAAAGTTGCATGAAGCTAAGTAAGTAGGTGACAACCAGACAACCTCTCCTCATTTTCTTGTTTACATAGGTACCTATCAGACGAAACACAAGAACCATAAACCAAAACCAATAACTAACTCTGATCATGTCTCTTCTTCAAATATGTACTTTCCGATATGGTATTCGCTATCTATTGCTTCTTTTTTAACATTCCATGTTTCCACACACACACACAAAACTTGTGCTCTTGTCATCATAAACTCTGATATTCGGTGCTGTGCTGTGGCTGCTTTGCTACTGGGTATTTATTTTCCTTCCTCCATGTTTGTTTTCCCTTCTCTTCCCTCCTCAAACTCATCGCGTCTTCTCAAATGCCATTGCTTGCCAACGCAACGCTCTCCAACTCAAGGCTCTCCCAAAATGCTACAATCGCATTGTGCATGTTCCCCGCTACCACCCTCCCATTACCTCGGATCAGCCATAGGTAACTGCTGGCTGCCGCTTGGCTTTTCTCTCATCACCGGCAATATTCCGCTTCGGGGCTTGAAAGCACGGCATAAAAATGTCTTGGTCGGTATGCCGTTTCTCCCCGTCGCAAAATCAGGCGTGTGCAAAATATCTCCCGCCTTTCAAGTAATATCAAACATGGGCGGGAAAAGGCAAGGCTGTGAATACGAGAACCTCTCGGCCCTAGACGTCGGATTTGCGCGCAAAGGGATTACCGGGTCCACCAAATGTGCAAGTTGAAAAGAAATCAACGTAACTCTCGTAAAACCAGCGTGGTGCTGGCACTTCAGGCCCCTTGCTGGGCGGTTCTGGCGGCTCTCGTCGCTCTGGCAGCTGCGTTGGGATACCGAGACGGGTCGATCCGAGAGTGGAGAGGCCCAGGACCATACACGGCGACTCTGGCGTTGTGGTACCTAACAGATGGTCGCGAAGGAGCTGTTGCTGGCTGTGCCTGGGGTGGTCTCTGTTCCGCGTCGATGGCCTGGCGAATGATGTTGTGAACAAAATCGGGAATGCCCTCCCAATGGCCTGCTCTCGCAGCAGCCATCATCCTTGGCGGAAACACATCGTCGGCGGTAAGGGAGTGGGGACCAGGGAAACGGGCAATTTGATCGGCAACATGCAATTCTCCCGACTCGATGGCATTTTTTAGCCAGTTTTCCCATTCCTCGTCCAGCGGCATCGAATTGTCTCCGGATATGTTGCGAAGAGCCACTCGCTCGCGTAGCCTTTCGTTAAGCGCCACTCCGACACTTTCCAACTCCTCATCGCTTTCTTCCTCGATCATCCCATCCTCTGGCGTGGTTACCGGCTCGTCCGACACCTCGGAGGCGCGGCGGTAATATCCGTCTTGTCGGTGCCGAGGCTCCACCCATTCGGGGAATCCATCGGCGGTCGTGTCCCGGATGGCAGTTCCCTGTTCCCGCTCAAACCGTTCCTTTGCCCACCGTGTGCCCTCCCACTTTGTGAGGCCTTGGATTTCGGCGTATGTAAGGCGAAGGCCGTCAAAGGCGCGGAATAACCGCCGGTGCCACTGCCATCGACTGAGGCGGATTCGGTGGATGCGATTTGTGTAGTCGAGACCGGGGTATTTAGCTTCGGGTGTGTCCAAGTGGCCGTAGAACGAGTGGACTTCTTGCCGAACCTCAAGGACGAGATATCTTTGGAGAAGTTGAGTGAAGTTTTGAGGGTCTGTCTGTCGCGGCTTCGGAAACATGTACTCGTAGACGAGTTGGTCTACTGGGCGGCCCTTCATCTTGACCGGCTTCTCTCAGCACTGCGTGGCTCTCGCGAGGCAGGTCAAATGTCAGAAGCGATGGTGTTTATGTGCTGTTATCGTAGTGTGATGATGCTGAGCTGTACGGAATTGTGCTGTCTTGCTGAAGATGTCGTGTCTTGTTGAAGAGGAAAGCGTGTGAAATAAAGCCAAAGGTGTTTGACAAAGATCGGCACCGAAACAGGCAGGTGATGATATATGGTGGGCAAGAAGAGAGGGAAGAAGGAAATTGGGGTCCACGGGGCCGGTGTGGATCCCGGGGCACTTAAGTACAGCACGGCAGGAGGGCGTGCGGATGGTGCGGATGCAGATGGCTTTGGTCCCTGGAACGGCTGGACGGGGGGAACAGGCTGTCGGGTGGGTCGGGGGGGGGCGTCTTGGTCAGTCGCAGTCAGAAGTCAGGAATACTTGGTGCCCGGAATCTGCAGAGCGTGAATCGCTCTCGGTGTATCGGAAGGTCTGGGTATGAGAACCTGACGTGGACGGCAAACGAGAGGACGGGAAGAATGGAAGAAGCTCTGCCTAGGTGGCTGTAAAGCACGGCCCGAAGAAAGAGAGAGAGAGAGACAGCTCACAGCGGAGGCAAGTCGAGAGGCCCAAACAGTTTCCATGTGGGCGGGAAGTCGGTGGTGGTAGGTGGTGGTGCGTGGTGCGACCTTGGGTCAGGAACACGCCTGCCAGCCACTGATAGCCACTGCTAGCCACGGAGCAGCCAGCTGGGACTTACAGGAGAGTGCCACGAGTGCTCCGGAAAGGGAGAGTCATAGAGGTGTGGTGGCACACTTGCATGTGCCTCTGCCGCCATCTGACTGGCAGCCATCGTATCCAACTCCGATATTCCGTCAGGGGCGAACAGTTTGCGCCGACCAAACACCAAGCAACGCACGCACGCAACCATCGGGCTGGCCGCCTCAGCTGCATCCCATTATCTGCCAATAACGTCGCCTCGTTGTTTCCCTCGCCCGCTTTGGAATTCCTTTTTTCTGCTTCCGGACCTTTTCCAACAGCGCATCTCCCTGTGTGGGGAGCACCATGGACAGCTCACCAACTAAACTTGCTGTCCAAAGTAGATTCGCCCGAATGGGCCATAGCGCACCGTTGGACTCTCCATGCATCTGGATGACTCGCTGGCTCGCTGGGCTGAGCTCAGCTTGAACCCAATGCCCACCTCCTTCTCATGGAATCGTGGAATCGTGGTGATCATCATGGCATTGGTTTGATCTTCAACCGCAGACCCAGACAGGCACGTTGTGTTTATTCCCCCGGCCGCTTTCGCCGACGCCCACGCCCAGGTGTCTGACCTCAGCTGCGAACATCAGCAGCGACTGCGGAATCACCCAGTCCGACTCTGCACTGCAGTGTGATAAAATGTCGGCCTCCTCAACGGGCCTCGACCGGAGGAATTCTGCTAACTTCCCCATTCCCACCCAGCCATCAAATCCAACAAAGCATCTCATGATCCTCAAAAGACAACCCCCTCCTCGGCCCCCCGCTCTCACTGACCGCCAGATCCCAGCCAAGGAGACCCGCAGAGCCCTGGGCTTCCAAAGTGGAGAGATCTGAGGATGACGTCGGAGTTCATCAAGGGACACCGACTCTGAAAATCTATTTTTTCTCTTCTTTTCAAGTCACTTGAGCAGCCAAATCCCGACTCGTTTGTTTTGTTTGGCGCCACGCTCGCACAAAACACCCGCTAATCTAGCATGTCCCCATCGACCGCAACCGACTCTCAGTTTTCACACGTAACAACAAGACAGGGCTCACCGGGCGGGATGGCATGTGGGTAGGTGGTGGTGGTGGTGGTCGTCCTCGTTTTGGCCAGATATCTGCTCTGTTCCTTCTTTCTCCAGCTACTATTGATTGATATATCTGCAGCTGCCCGACAACATGCCTAGAAGGTCGACAGTGGTCAGGTAATATGGGCTCGGCTGGCGGTGAACATGGCGTCTACCCAACCGCCTATCCAATCAAGGCCGCCACGGAGCCTGTCTAAGTCATCCACCGGCCGGGTCTCGGTCACGGCGACCGCCCTCCAACGGCAAGCGAGCCCTTTGACTATCGGCGAATGGGATGACGCAACCTTCGGGATAGGAAGCTTTCCCCACGCCTGGATGTTTCTTCCTTACTACCCTCCTTATCCTTCAGGATCGGTAGCTGTGCCCGAGAAACACATGTGTGGTGCCGCATCCCATCTGCACGTTTGTTGGCGCAAACCGCATCTCCGCCCTGCACTTGGGGCAATGTTTCTTGTCTTGTGTGTTGTGTAAACCATTCTCCCCGGCCCTAATCCTAACGGGGCGCATGTCGCCGTGCGCTGCTCGAGAGTTGTTAGCGAGACCGGAGCGGGGCCCGGTCGGGCAGTTTGATGCCGATGTAGTGACCGGTCCTGGGCATTCCCGACCCGCGGCCGATATATATTACATATGCCACCGGCGACAAAAGCAGCCCTTGTGATGTGGTCTCTTGACACCCTGTAATTTCATCCCGCTGTCTCCGGAGCCAGGAAAAGGGAGATCTGGAACAATACCGCCAGAGCGCTTTTCTCTCCTCAGACGGGTGGTTGGTGGTGAGGCGTGAGCGAGTATCAGTAAGATGAGAGGGGATGGTTCTCCCGGCCAGTTGATGCGGCCCCGCTGGGCCATCACCCTGGGCTGTTACTCGCCGCTCACCATCATGATCATCCATGATCCAACCGAAGGGTTCGGCAGCTCTGTCAGTTTCCCTGGCACGAAAAAAAAACATTGGCCGGTTATCAAGGCCCAAGATGTTTGCAGAGAGCCCAGAGGATTACGCAATCGTTCAGTCTCTTTTTGAGGAACTGGTGATGGTGGTTGCATCTTGTGGCCGCATGGAAGAGGCGAGCTCTCCTCTTCGGAATTTGCACAACGTTGCGATCTCGTGTGAATTTTGTTACCTGGGCACCCTCACCACAAAATAGTTGACACACAAAAGTAAGTTAACCTATACAACCCTGTGAACTGCTTTACACCTTAAAAGTAACTTAATAGGCCTTTAAATAATCTTTCAAAGCCTGTTAACTATCTTTGAAGACCCATTGATTATCTTCAAAGGCCTATGGACTATCATTCAAGGCATGTTAGCCTACTTTAGCATCTCAATAATTTTGTGGCAAGGGTGCTGGGATGGGGTGGTGCACAGACTGACCCGTGATGGAATTTCTTGGTGTTGAGGAATGGTTGGTTCTCCCGATTTACACAGGTGCATATCTTGTGATATGAGTCTTCTTTTTACGTCAACCTCGTACACACGGCTTGACATTCCTTTGCTATCATTCAATTCGATAGCCGAGGAGGGTAGAGCAATTTATCAATGGTTTGCAACATGCTACCAGTGGTGGTTGCCATCCACCTCTCACTTCACACCACCTCATAACCACGAAACCCAACCTTACCTTTCACATACGACCATACCCAGTTGAAAATACGGCATCCCGTCCGCTCTGCCCGAGTCAAACAGCTGAGGGCCGAACTAGTACTCAGGTGGGTGACCACTGGGGAATCCTCGGTGTTGTATGTATTTTTCCTGTTTTTTGCCTCAGTCTCATTGTCCACACATGAACCCATCTCCTGACCCAAACCGTCACATACGACCACACCCAGCTGAAAATACGGCATCCCGTCCGCTCTGCCCGAGTCAAACAGCTGAGGGCCGAACTAGTACTCAGGTGGGTGACCACTGGGGAATCCTCGGTGTTGTATGTTTTTGCTCCACTCTTCAAGATCCACTTTTGAACTTTTGAGGCTTTGTAGAACTGTTTCGAAGTCTTTTTTCCTTCTTTTTCCCCCCATCTTACCCAACACTATGTTGGTTGGAGCAAGTACGAGTCTATGGGTGAGACTGATTTTTTTTTTTTGGGGGGGGGGGGGGGGGCTTTGTCTTATTTGGACACATGTCTCTTCGTAAACATCGTCACACGGTTGGGTTGCCAACATCTTGAGACTGACAGAAACCATCAATACCTTTGAACTTGGAACTCAAGTCAGTAAATATCTAGACACCATCAGCATATCTATGTCATTGGTTGATAGGGGCCTCACAGCGGCTGAAGACTCTTGATTCACATCTCGGTAATTAGAGCGCTGATCAACAGTTTTGTTCCCAAAAAAGTCTTCAAAAAAGAAAATGGCTGATAATTCGGGTAATCTTCACCAGCTGACTGACTCAACGCCATGCCTATAGTACTTGGTGCTAGTTCAAAGCCGTTGAGGAATGGATCATCATCGGTGGTGGGTTGACCAGCTGAAGAGAGACATTATAGCCGTTCCGGCGAAATAAAATATCTCAAGCGGTGTAACAAGGGTTGCTTTCTAGTCATATATAAGATAGATCATAAATGAAAAGGTCTTCTTCATCTCTACTATCAACAACTTTTGTCAAGCCAGATCTTTTCCCTGCTTATCACGGGCCAGCACAACCAGAGATATAAACATCATAACTTGTGCCAATACGTCAACACCCGGCACAATGAAGGTACTCCTTCCCCTCGTCCTCATTTAAACCATGAAAGCAAGATCAATAACAACAATTCAGTTCACCCCCCTCCTCACTCTAGCAGCAACCACCACCGCCGTCGCCTATCCCTTAATCGACATCTCCCTCGGCACCCCAAGGTTCGTCTGCCCCAGCCGGGTCCAGGCCTTCTGCAGCGCGAGCAGCATCCACAACGGCTGCACTGCAGCGGGCGAGTTCCGGAGTGATGCCATGGATACCTTTGGGCAGTGTGTTTGTGTCTGAGGTCCCCCGACACTATAGAAATCTGGAATATGACGGAGCTTGTACATATATCTCAAGGGAGGAAGTATTGATAAAAAACTCAAAATTTGAATTGTCCATGCGCTTGTCAACCTCCTTTTCTGCAGAGTGGTGATGAGAACGAAGATGTTTGAGAAAAGAATAATCATAAAAATGATATGCCTCCAGTTCAGGACTACCAAATGTTCCAGTGTATATATACGCCAGTGATCAAAACCCAATAGTAACAAAAGAAAGTAGGATATGATGATGCCACCTCGTCCGCCAAAATCCCAGTGTTGTCCTGTCATCCAAAAACTGACCATGCTAGCCCACCCATATACCAAATCCTCATCCATCATATGCCTCATGAAATCTGCCCCAACAACTCCCTCGCACTCCCCAATATCTCCCCCCCTTCTCCCTCTGGATACCACCTCCCTTTCCACCTCCTCTCCCTCTCCTTCTCCCTCCTCTTCACCCTCTCCAAATACTCCCTCTTCCACCTATCAACCCCCCACCTCCCCCTCCTCTCCCTAATCCACTCCACCATCTCCCCCAGCTTTTCCACCAGCACCTTCAACTCTTCCTCCTGGATTCCCTCGTTCTTCTCAACAACAATTTTAGTCCTATCCCCCCCGCAACGCTCGCAAAACCCACCCCCATAACACCTCCCCACCACCGCAGCAGCAACCGGAAAAAGAGCCTCAACCGGCAAACAAGACACCTAGTCCGCCACCGGCCCGCCCCTCCCCCCAGATGCCACCGGTTCGGCCGCCCCCGCAGCCGACATCTTTGGCGTTGACGGCGGCCACGGCCCAGACGATGAAGCTACAGAGCTGATGTCGGGGTATTTCCTGCCTGAGACTCCTTCACATTTCTAGTCAGTTTTATCTTATTCCATGAGAGCATGCCGGGGGATCATGTTGAGGAGCAGCATCAAGGGGAGGAACCAGGAGGAGGAGGAGTTGGGGTCTAGGCTGTGGTAGTCAGGGTTATTCGTACCAGTTACTCCCGCCCCGGCAGGACTAGGCATTCGCTCTCTGCCCTCGTTGGGGTGCGGTCTTTCTCTCTCACGGTCTCTGTCACGATCGCGGGACCGGCGAGGGGAGCGTTCCATCCGTGGGGGTTCACGGGGTGTGGCCCGCGGGGAAGACAACCGCTCGTCCCTTCGCCAGCGCTCCCGATCGTCATGGTAGCGGTCTCGTTCTCTTTCTCGCTCTCGTTCTCGACGATCTCGTTCCCGGTCGCTAAGTCGTTGGTCCCTCTCCCGATCTCGGAGGTGGTCACGGTCGCGGACTTCGCGGTCGAGGTCCCGACGGCGGTCGATGTCGGCGTGGCTGCTTGTGCGGCGGTGGTTGTCCGGACGGGAGAGGTAAGGGCCGCCGTTGTTGCGGGTGTAGCCCCGGACAGAAGAAATGTCGTCGTCGGATTCGACCTCGATAACGCGGTGGCCGCCGTTGCGGTGGAGGGAAGCGGCTGCTGCGGCTGGGGCTGGGGGACCGCGGTCTCTTCCGCGGTCGCTGGCTCGGTCGCTGTGTCTCCTCTCGTCGCTGTCTCGTTCACGGTCGCTGTGTCGTCTTGCCTCTCTTTCGCGGTCTGACTCTCGTGTTGGACGCTTGTCTCGCTCCCTGTCCCTCTCCCGCTCACGTGCTCTATCCCTCTCTCTGTCTCGCTCTCTGTCTCTTTCCCGTTCTCGCTCCCGTTCTCTGTCAAAGGCAGCTTCGGCAGCTCTTTGGCGCTCCCTCTCGCGCTCCCGGCTTGACTGTTTCCTGCTTCTTCGGATGCGCTCGTCCTCTGAATCAGTAGAGTCCGTCTCGTCGTGAGACCACGACCGGTTCAGCCTCGAACTGGGAAGATCTCCATCTCTGCTACCCCTAGAGGCAGTTACCACCACTGGTACTGGGCCTTCCTTTCTTCCTCGTGACCCGCTCAGGCTTCGTTGCCGCTCGCTGGCCGGTGGCATGCCCGTCATAAAGCTAGTGAGCTTGTCTTTGAGGTCATACAGAGTGCTTTTCCGCCTGTGCTCGTCGTCCCCTCTTGGTGTTGTCCTACCACTGTCACCTGGCGATGGTCGTGGTGAGTGGGTTCTTACGCCGGGGTGGGCATGTGGGTGCGATGTTGGAATGGGAGGTGGAGGCATGCTTGTGCGGATGATACGGGGCAACTCCTCGGAGCTGCCGGTATAAACGCGGCGAACACCGGGAATCGGGGGCTCGTTGGAAGGGCGCTGAGTCCGTCTTGGTGTTCGGGGACTAATCGGGGGTTCGTCCGACTCCGATGTGCTGTATTGTCTGGGCTGGCTGTGACGACGCGGTTGCGGGCTGCGATCAGGGCCGAGGTGAGGTATCCTAACTGATGGGCGGCCCTCCATAGGTGAGTGCGGATAATCGGAGAAGCTCCTTCGGCGTGATGGTTCATCGGAGGAAGACTGGCGATGAAGGTAGTGCTCCCGCTCCCTGGCAGCCTGTTCTCTGGCCCGCTCTCGCTCTCGTTCTGGTGATCTTGATGGCCCTGGTGCTACATTCACATATGTCACCTTGACTGGACGAGAGCCAAAGTAGTCGCGAGGTGTCCCTGGCTGTGGTGTCGGCGGGACGTGGTGAACATTGTATGAGGGGATCCTGCGCTCTGCATAAGTTGGCTTCGGCTCCTCTCTTGGCTTCTCCTTGGGCTTCTCCTTGGGCTTCTCCTTGGGCTCCTCTGCAGCTGCTTCCTGGATATGCTTAGCCTTGCACTCCTGATACCACCGATCAGTGTCGATGTCTGTATCCTGGGGCAGCGCTTCCTTGGGCAAGTCGGCAGGGAACTGGAAGGCAGTGTCAGGGTGCTTCAGGCCCCAGTGCTTGGCCGCATATTGGAGGACTGGGACTTGTTCCTGTGGCTCAAGCAGTGTCTGGATTGCCTGCCACCGCACAAAGCCCTTCGTTGTCAAAGCTGGAATCGATGGGGGAGCGTAGTCGTCTTCTGTTGGCAAGAGCCAGTGTTGACAGCCGAGACCCTGGAAAACATCGGATATGAAGGGGTTGTCCATATCGACAAAGAGGACTACCATGGCCGTTGTTAGCTTTGCGCATTGTTTGAGTAAGGTAAGATGCCGCCGTCCCACTCACAGTCAAAATTGTAACCGGCAGCCTTGTAGAAGGCTGCTAGCTTCTTTGGCGTCAAGTACCTATCATTCTTGTCACCGATCTCCTTGATCTAAACGCGCAGACCATTGTTAGTAAAGGCTCCATTTCTCCATCTCTGGGCAACATACGATATGTAGTGAGAGCGCCCTCAAAAACGCATCGAGAATAGGGGTCGGAGTGGGAATCGGCTTCGCTGTGGTGAAGAGGTAGCCATAGTAGGCGTTGCCGTCCTCGGCGTCTGTTGCGGTTGGATTCGCCATTGCTTCAGTTGTCCCTCAGACCAGCTTCTTGCGATGTTGGCGTCGGCGTTGGGTGGTTATGAAATACACCAGTGCACATCATATCAGCCCCGACTCTGAGTTCGACCTCGTGGGCGGTGGGCGATAATCGGCGTTGGAGGTTGCTGTCGTGACACGATCGGGAGGGGCAAAAATAGGTGGTTTGCAGCAGGAGGGGTTCACAGCAGAGGGATCCGGACATGAGATAATTAACCAAATTCTTGGATCTAAAAGTAACGAAGGTAAGGTACCCTATCTGAAAAGTAGGCGGGCAGACAGGAAAGTCGCCGGGCTTCCAAGATGCTGAGTTGTAGTCGGGTATGAAGCGAATAGCTCAGAGTCGCATTCGAGATGCTTCTTAGGCAGACTTGAGTCAACAAGAGTCTTCTTCAGCAAAGTGTTTGCAAGAATATCTGCGGCAGCTGTGCGCGGCGCTGTACCAAGTTGCGAAACCAACTCTGCGGGCCAACATATGGTTGACGCAACCAGTGACAGGGGTTCACCAAGTCTTTTTGCTGAGGGGCTGGACTGGTGGAGGGGCAGTGAGGGTTGGCAGGTTGGGTTCCAGGTTGGCAACACCACCGCTGACGCTTCAACTGCTGACACGTGCTTCCGGTTTACACAAGAAATCCAGCGCCTGCTTGTAGCTTCTCGTAGCTTCTCGTAGCTTCTTTTGTACAGGCATACTCGGGGTCCTCTGCCCAAGACCCTGGATAAGGAACTTAGTGTCATGAATCTCAACTGCACGTACGATCTACCCTGAGATCCACCTCCGCGTGGCTGGGACAGATGATCTCGTGGCTCCGCTGCGTAGCCGTTAGAATCATGGATCTAGAAGAATAAGAGGCTGGTGTTGACGTTGTGAAAAAGCGGGCGGAGCCCTGCCACTCAGAACCGTTCATCTGATTACAACATCAGACCTATCTAGTGACCATGGCCATCGGGCGCGCGACAACACCAACTCGGGCGAACGAGGTCAAAACACACAATTTGGGACGGAATTACATTCAAAACATGAGGCCAACACTGTTTGGCAGTTGAAAGACTGGAAAGACAAGCAACCATCCGTCCACCCCAGCATCTAAATAAACCCCGCACAGCTCTCGGTGTTATCCCAGATTCATCTGATATATAGCTCTTTCCTCTATTTGATGTCATATCCAATATCTCCGAGAAACCATGCCAGAAACCGCACGTGCTGCTGTATTTTGGTGTAACCGACCTCTGCTTTTGCTGCAGGGCACCCACATGCCGATGATGTCGACTGGTAACCTTGCCGTACCCAACCGCCCATACCCGGTCTCGGCACGGCCCCGGTCGGAGCCGGAAGGTGACCCAAGCCGGGGGACACGGACACAAGAGACACGGAGGACCCACCACCGGGCCACTGCATCCCTCATCAAATCCAATAACCACCTCACACGTGCAATGTGTAGTGTGCACACCTTACACATTCTCCCCTAAACCTCTCCCAAACATGACATCACCTCCCCCCCTTCCCAACCACAAACCGATACGTAGGCAACCTCACCAACCCCCTCCCCCCCCCATCCTCCTCCTCCCAAGTCAAAAACCTCTCAAACCCACTCCCCTCCAAGATCCTCTGACTAGCCTTATTCCCCTCCGCCGTAACAGCAATAACCACCTCCTCCACCACCCCCCTTTCCCCTTCCCCTTCCACCACAACCACACTCCTCGGATCAACCATCAACTCAACCACCCCCCTCTCCAACCCCCCCCAAATCCCCTCCCACCCCTTCATAAACTCCTTCCCAAACCCCCGCCCCCAATACTCCCGTCTAAACATATACCCAATCTCCGGCCACCCAAAACTCCACATCGCATCATGAAACCCCCCAATCCCAATCATTTTTCCTCCTTCTTCCCTCAAACAAATCGCACAGTTGTAATTCTCCCTCTCGTTCCCCTCCACAAACTTCTCCAACCTCTGCCACGTCTCCCCAATGTCTTTGTCCACCACCCCCAAATAAGTCCACACCATCACCTCCGGCTGGGTTCGCAGTTCGTGCAAAGCCGGGAGGTCAGTCTTGGATAGAGGGCGGATGATGAGCCGTTCCGTGTACACTGCCTTCCTCTCCGCGTTTAAGGGGAAAGGTCGCTTGGGTAGCGTGGTTTTCACACGGACAAATGTAGACTTGTCCGGCTTGGGGTCAATGACTCTGCTGTCGTCTGGATTGTTGGTGCCGTTTTTTATGGCGGCGACGTCGAGGGTGTTGTCGGCCATGATGCGCGATATGTCTGCCAAAGGTGAGTGGGATAGAATGGGGACGGCGAGTGTACGGAACTAGGTCAAGTCTGAAAAGAGAGATATATTGGAGATGAAAGGTGAAAATTACGTAGTCGTGAGGATCAGCCGTTGAGTCAGGCATCCCTGGCTGATATCAATATCGCAACCTAACTTCCTGTTTTGGAGTGGGAAAATGCAAGGCTGACACTGTCTTACACAACTGCATCATTCAGCTTGCGCCCTTTGGTCGACACATTACACTTTAACCGCCGCAAACCTACCGCGGTCAATGTCACCACCCGCGGAATCCAGAGAAGCGTCCAAACTTTTGTTCAATTTCAAAAACATTGCACGAGCAATCCCAGAGACCGTGGACACCAAAAGAGCAATAAGAACAACTGTGCCCCGAAACGCAAACCCGTGCTTGACCATTTATTCATTTCATGCTCATTCTAGGGAGCAAATGCTGGTAACCCATTTTCCTAGTGAACACCTGAAGAACCTGCCAAACCCAGCCACATCCATGAACCCCTTTAAGCAATAGTCGATGGGCGAGTGGCGCTGAAGACCTTCTTGGTGTTGGTCTTGGCGACACGGTGGGGGAGGGGGAAAGTGAGGTCCTTGGTGATGAGCTGCTTGATGTAGGGGCGCTTGACGTCCTCGGTCTTCTCGATCTCAACAACGCGGAGGATCTAGATGCAAATTGTCAGTATCTAGACTCGGGCACGATTTCCGTGGGCTTGTTCATACGTGGATGGATCTGAAACGGGCACGATGGCGGGCGGCCATGTCGGAGTAGAGAGCCTCAACAGCCTTGGTTCTGGAGGTCTCACGGTACTCCTTGTACATGTTGTGGGTACCAGACCGGGAGTCGTAGCGGATCCAGATGCCGAAGTTCTTGACTCTGAGGGGGTGCTTCTCGGAGATCTATGATACGGGTCAGTCTCCTCTGTCCCCGGCCAAATATTGATTCCAAGCGAGCATACCTGGTTGACACTGACGATCTCGCCAGTGGCCTTCTTCACCTTGCGGAGACCACGAAGGAAATACCAGAAACGGGACTTGGCAATAACCTCATTGGGCGCGAAGATGCGCATGCGATAGAGGGCGGGGCTGGGGTTAGCCTCGGTGGGCAGATGGCGCCCAATGACCTGGTATTCCTGAAGACGACCTGGCACAGATTGTCAGCATCTCGAGTGTTTTGTCGTAAAGATCCCGAGTTTGCAGCGATGGCGGCGTGTTTGAATATCGAGTGCTGGCCGGTCGATAGAGAATGCACAAACTCCCAGTTCCCCGTCGAAAATAGGCGATAGATTGCGGCCCCCGATGCCAACCCTGATATATCTCCTCAACATGGTCCTCCACAGCAACAATCAACGAGTCGTTCCCTCCCTGCCCAATTCACATGTCTTGAGGCAAGCCTCCCTCCCATCGTGTCATGCATTTCGTCGGATGGTGAATTTGTCGTCGTTCGTCGAAATTATTCTCGGTCGCCGCCTTCGCTGCAAACTCAAAAGATGCCAATGGAATCGAAAAAATTGCTTACCCATCTGGAAAAGGATCGTTAGATTAATTCAAAGGTATCTTCTCTTTACCACCGAGGCCTAACTTACTTTGCTGGTTTGTCGTGGATCGCTGTCGATGCCGTGTGCTGTCCGAGTCCAGAATTAGCGATAACGAGGGTCAAGAAAAAATTGGGTGTGCTTGGTTTAGGGCTCGCGCGCATTGACCATCCCCGCAGAGAACCTCAGCCACATGTGGCGGGGCCGAAGTGAGTTTAAAAGCTGACGCCACAGAGGTGGGGCAACTTTAAGATATGAGCTTGCAAGCCAATCAGAGCAACGCAATCCTCTCACGCTCAAGCTGCCATCTCACTCTTCCACTGCACTCCCAATACAGGACGATATTCCAGCCATTTACAAGATATTTGAGACTGCCCACCGAGAGCGATATCTGTAGAATTTGGCGGCTATCCTGCGATCAATCCGCATCTGCAGACAATTGTTCGACTCCAATAAGAACAACAGTCAACTCGATACCGCTCCCATCACTTGGTGGGGCAACCACAACATCATACAGCTTGCGCCCAAGCCAAGCTCACCCTGTCAACACCCCAGTTCAAACATCCCATCATGGAGTTCGGCCCAGCGCTTTACCACGAGTTTGGAGAGGCTTGGAAAACAAGGGATGGTTACCGACTAGCAAAGACCATCTCTCCAGAGTTGACTCCTAGCCAGTTGTCCAGCATATGGCAAAGTGCGAATGGTGCGGGAAGCTACAAAGCAGCTCGGGACGACGATGTGAAAGCAGCCATTAAGCGTGGTCTTTCCAGTAGTTCAGCGCGTTTGGACGGCATCGGCCAAAAGGAGATCAAGGGTTGGGTCGAGGTTTACTTTGCTTACTGGCAAGCTGCCGGCATCCTTGCTCAAGTGCAGCAGACCTCATCATGGACCAATGCTTATGAGCAGTGGAAAGTCTTGATCAACGCTCTGATCCAGGGGTATAACAGTCATGAGTTTGAAGCCTGGACCATTCCGTGTCTCTATGTGGCGGGCAAACATCTGCGGCTGTTTGCGATGCAGGCGGATGAGCACATAAGTGTCAACGACAGCTCGGCAACTGCATTCCAAGATGACTTTGACCCAGAATTACAGAAACATCAGAAATTGGAGGACTGTGCGCGAGTTCTTAACAAAGTATTCACGATTTGCCTGAGTGACAGGTAGGAATTCCGTGCTCTTGATGTTGCTGCCAGCTGAGGCTAATATCATTACAGAGCACCACTCGAAGAGTCTCGGAAATGGGGGCTCTATTACATCGTCAACCTTCTCTTCAAGACTTACTTCAAGCTCAATGCGACAGGATTGTCGAAAAATGTGCTGAGGATTTTGACCGCAGGACGGGGAGATATGCCAGACTTTCATGCATTCCCAAAGTCTCAGCAGGTCACTTTCAAATACCACGAAGGAGTATTATGCTTCCTTGAGGAGAACTATGCTGAAGCCGAGAAGCACCTGACGGAAGCATGGAACACCTGCCACAAAGACGCCATGAGGAACAAAGAGTAGGTGGCCTTCCATGCTCTACATGGATCTTTTACGCTTTGCTAATATGATGCACCTAGGCTGATCTTGACATATCTAATTCCGTGCCACCTCATCACAACCCACACCCTTCCCACAGAAAAGCTGCTGGAGCCTTACCCACGACTACAAAAGCTCTTCCTCCCACTCTCTCGGTGCATCAAGCAGGGCGAGCTCCACAAATTCGACATCGCCCTTCAGGAAGCCGAGGACGAGTTTGTCAAACGGCGCATCTACCTCACCCTCGAAAGAGGACGCGACATCGCACTACGCAATCTCCTCCGCAAAGTGTTCATCGCCGGCGGCTTCGAGCCAGTAGCGAAGGAGGGAGACAAGCCTGTTCGCCGGACTCGTATCCCAGTAGCAGAGTTTGCCGCGGCTATCAGCCTCGGCAGCGAGGAGAAGGTTGACAATGACGAGGTTGAGTGTCTTTTGGCAAATATGATTTACAAAGTGAGTCAAAACTATGCCTTACCTTCCATGTTTCTACCTGGGGCGTCAAGGCATCCACGGCTGTCGACATTGATTGGTGTAACATCGTCCGTGAGTCATCCAGTCACTGACACCGTTTGTTTGTAGGGACTGATCAAGGGATATATCTCTCGTGAACGGAGTATTGTGGTGCTCAGCAAGTCGGGGGCGTTTCCCGGGACTGGCGTTTGAGCGGGGCAGATATGGGCGTTGACCGCGCCCCATTTGGGAAGGCTTGATAAGATCTTCATCAACTGCTGTGTCCAACTGGATCTTCTGGGACTCACCGAGTTCTTGGTCGTGTAGGGAGAAGGTGGGACAATTTCATGGTGGTGCCCCCCAACCCGACGGCAGGAAAAGAGGAGGGATCATCCATCCCGCACGACGGCATTTGTGGTGGTGCCATCGGATATCTATCACCACTTGGCGTGCGTGAACAAGCCTGGGAGCTTCTCACACCATCACCAACAAAACAACGGGCTGCAAAAAGATCTTGAGAACGAAAGGGACATGAATTACGGATATGGATAGCATTTGAGCAGGAAAAAAGCTGTTAATCAATTACAAAGTCAGTTCAATCCACTGTCTTGTAATTTTGTCTCCTCCACCAAAAATCCAAACTACAGGAATCAGGGTGAGCGTGAACAGCGTGAATCGGTGACTTTGGGGGGTGTTGGTTTGGTGATATAGTTTAGTGCGGGGTTGCTTTGGAAACGGTCCCAAACGGGGCGGAAACCCACTAAACATCGCCCCCCTTTTCCCGCAGCAATCAAGTGTGCCGCACCACCATATTTACACCGTAAGCATTACTATTACAGTGAGGTACCGAGAAGGTTCAATCCATGAAGATGACACCATTCCTTTTTCTTTTGTTACAATCATCTCATTCGGTACTTTTTGCAACAGCCCACACCACCATGCGCCCCCCTGGCTTTTGTCTCTCGATCTACGGTACCCAACATGCCTCCGTTCTGTGGTCGAACTGCGTGTTCACTGCCTGCGCAACAAGACATGCTTTTGAATCAACCCCTGAGTGATGAGATGAGCAACAAGGCTCATTCATCTTGAGTCACTTACACAAGGGGATTGTCCATATTCCATCATCACGATGGCACAAAGACATGTTTCTCCACCCCCTCTTCCCATGTCTGATGGAAATATCCAGAATGGTGTGTGTGAACGGGTCTGACCGTCTTCTGTCCCCCTTATCTCCCCCCTGCCATCGAAAAGGTGGTGTGGAAAATGGCGGTTACCATCCTATTGGACAACCCAAACTTTCCCAGCTGTATGGATGGTGTGGGTAAGGTAGGGGATGAATGGTGCGGCAGGCCATTCTGGACTAGGTAGCAATGCAAAAGCGGGAGTTGAAAATCCGCTTCAATGGCAGGTCGTGGTGGCAAAAGAAACATTCTTTTTGCTATCGTCATTACCGATTAATCCACAATGACACATTCTCACCGAGATCAAATTTTCAAGTATGAAGGCTCTCACGGAGATTTCCAGAGTCTGCAGAAATTTTAGGGGGGGGTGAAAGCTCTCCAAAAATCGGCTGGCAAAGCTTGGTGTTTTTCTCATTCTCAAGAGAAAAAACAACGAGAGAAAAAGCCTCCGCCTTTTTTTCCCTCCTGGTTTTGATATCTTGATATCGTTCCTGAGTTATGTTCCTCTTTCTTACTGCAAAAAAAAAGAAGAAAAAAAAGAGAAAACAAGCTTTTTTTTCCAGCAAAGAGCGTAAGAATCGTAGTCATACAAATCACCCACCCTCCCTCCCTCCCCCCTTCCTATTCCCGTTGTCCCACTGTCCAGAACATCTTGATCATTCTGCCCTGTTCATTCCATCCTCCGAAACCCAGCGTTCGCTCTTCGTCTGACGACCGACGTGATATCCAAACCAATGTGAGATGATGGTACAAAGGAAACAAGGGAAATAAAACAATCCACCCCATGGTAGTGTGCCGTCTAATACAAATACGGCTAAAACTTCTCAAAAGCATGCCAGAAGAATGAGAAATACCCGCCCAGAATATATTAGTACAAATGTTTTGGGGTTTTTAACTTGTGAATGTCAAGGGAAAAACAACCAAAAGAAAAAAGCAAACCCAGAAACTCCAAAAAAATGAAGAACAATCTATGGTGATAATGATCCCATAATTAAGACCCTCCCGAAAAAGTAATAAGAAATAAAAGGGTGTGAAGAAGAGAAGAAAAACACATGAGTCATTAAGTTATGAGAGGGTGTAACAATAGCAAAAGGCCAAACAAACAGCATCTCGAGTCGGGGGTATTTGTTTTGTTTTATTGATGTCGAGAGGGGTGTGCGAGACCGTGGTATCGCGGACAAAGGAAAAACAGACAAAGCAGATCAAGGCAGTATCATGATGGGCAGCCTAAAAACGGCCGCCGCTTCTCGGTGTGCGAGGGGTGCTCCTATTGACCAGTCAGTCAATGGCCAACAGGACTATACGCAGATGGGCAAAACTTACGCAGCACTCGAAAGGTCATCAACATGGTTGCACATGGCCACAAACAAGTCAAAGAATAGCTGGGTGCCGCCGTTCAACATCTCAAGCTGCATCGTGCCGCTCTTCTTGAAGGTGCTGCGGCAGCGGATGATGAGGGCGAGATAATGGGCGCGGAGCTTGGAGTCGGTGTCGGGAGTGTGGGCGTAGGCGTAGCGGGCCGAGGAGAGAATGATGCTCGCTTGGATACCGGATTCTGTCTGTGTTAGCGTTGAGAACAAGTCAAGAGGAAATGGTGTACATACGAAGACCTTGCTTTCTCAATGACACCCTCTTCAGCTCGTCTAACCCATACTTCTCCGCCGCGCAGTAGATGACCGTGTCCTTGAGAAGCTCGCCGTCAACAGTATGGTGGTAGATGGTGGCATCATGACGCGCCTCATCTGTCAGCTGCTCCATCTCCCACGAGTTGCGCTTCTTGTTATGCACGAGGCGGGGGAAGTAATCGCCCTTGTAGAGATACTCGAGGACAGACGAGAAGATCTCAGGCTCTTCGTCGGGCAGGGAGATCTTCTTCGTCTGGGAGTCAAACATCTGGTTCTGAAGGATGTTGAGGAAGAAGGGTGATGTGGAGAGGACATGTTCGTGGGCAGCAAAGACGCGTTGCTCCTGGCCGACGACGAGAGTTACAATGGCGGAGATGGGAGAGTTGCTAGGGTCATATTATGTCAGTATATTGAAGTGGGCATGCAAAACATCTAGCGACTTACTCAAAGTTTGAGTGAGACGCATTGGCATTGGAAATGGTGCCTGCACGACGACGGCCGGATTGAGACTCAGGTCGTCGCTTGGAAATACCGGCCTCCTTGCTGAATGACGAAGTCGACTTCCCAGACCGATGACCCCTACTGAAGCTCTTGCTCCGCACATGTTGAACAGGCTCGTAGCGGGTGGAAAACATGATGTTTGATATTCTTTTCCTCGCCCAACTCCCTTCGCACTCGAATATCCCTCCTGGATGCTGTGCGGGACGGTACGGTGGCGGCGGAGGTGATAAGTGCGTAATTAAACAGACAGAAACAATAATGATGAAACAAAAGACAAAAGCCGGGAGTTGATGGCCGATGGACGATGCGATGCTGATGATGGACCCTTCCTTACCTGTGGGGAATGAGGCGATGAAATGCACTCGATGGCAAGACCAGAACAAGTCTGCATCGCGCGGGGAAGATGAGCCATATTATATAACGGTACGAGGCGTCCATGCGCAGATGCCTGGAAAATCTCTGCCAGGCGGACTCATGAAGCCTTCTGGGCGACACCGAAGAAGGTACTTTTCCGCGCGTTCCATGATTGGACGCGTCTGAGTGCTATCGGCCCCGACTGACCCCTGCTCGTCTTGATGCGTTATTCACACGATATCACCTGACTTGGGAGCTAGCTGTTTTAGGCAAGGCTGACTGGGGGGTTGGCTGGAGTCTGCCAGGGGAAATTCCATGGATCATGTCTTTTACAGGGATCAGACCATGGCGTGTGCGAGGCAAGGGACGGGTGTGAATGGAAGGACTTGCGACACTGATGACCAGATGTGAAAACGGTGAAAGTGAAGGCTGATCCTGCGAGGCTGCCTACATATCCTCGAATCACCTGTCTCCCGGCAGTGGCGTGAAGTTCTGCTAAGCAGCAGCTGGCAAGGCAGCCAAAGCCTCCAGCCTTTTATTTTCATGTCGAGGAGAAGATGTGATTGTAAAAGGATCAGACTTTGACACTTTTCGAGATGCAAGACATCAATTGAGTCAATTGGGTCATTGAGACAGCATTGGGGAGAGCTTCGAGCCACAACTTGTTGGGCGAGACCTGGTATCTTATAACACAAGCACACCACCTCCACAGTCCACCCGAGGCCGACCCAACGCAACGGACGGAGCAAACGACTGCTTCAGCCGTGCCGCTAATTGACGTGCTTTGGGTAACATCACGACGGATTGTCAACGCTTTACTTTTTCGCTGCTGGTTTCGCAAGTTTCTGGGATCTTGGCACACACTCTGATGCAGCCAACTGTCAAATAAGGTATGGGGTCGTCAGAAGTGTCAATTCTGGTGTTGTTCGAGGGAGGGTTGCCCAGGTGGCTCCCTGAGGCCGGACCAGTTGGCCCAGGTCCCACTGCCAAAATATTAATTCCTTAACAGTGGGCCTCATTGACTATTCTGACGCCAACCGGTGCCCCCCTGTTCTGTCTGTTTTGTGCCATGGGCCCGCTGCCCGGGGTGATCTACAGGGGCTCGGATCTGCCCTACAAGATGCCATCGCCACCCCAAAGTTCATCACCGAGAAGTATCCAAGGCCCGCTTTGTCAATTTCAAGATTGCTTCTGAAGCAAGCTTTTTCCCAGGGCCTCGAGCAATCGCTTCTTGATGGAACGCAACCGAGGCAACCCCCTTTTCAACGGGGAGGCCGAGTTCAATGCATCTTTGATGCAGCTTTTCGGTTTGCTCTCTCGGCACAAGCTCATCCCGCTCAGCCTGGAGGATGTATATGAAGGGTGCGTCGCAACTTTTCTCTTCGGCCTTTTGAGCCATCAGCTTCAGGTTAGCATAGCTGTCCAGATGGTTTCTGAGAAAAGGCCACAGGTATTTGTATGGCAACCATTTTTGGGGATAGAGCGTCCCTAGCATCGATCGTATCGATAGAAAGGGGGTCTCAAGAATTACGCCCTGGATAGGTAGCTTTTCCGGGATGCGTCCGGTTGCGGCCAGGTTTGTTGCTACTCCCGAGCCAATCGACTGTCCCCAAATCAGGAAAATCGGCTTCGTGGTGCTGTCTTTGCCAAATGTTCGCTCATGGTGTTGCAAAATCCAGTTTGCTCCGGCTTCGGCATCGAGGCGGATGCCAGGCTCAGATGCGCGGCCACGGGACGTCCAATATCCTCTGTAACTCAGGCAGACAAAAGTCAACTCCATTGGTGCCAGAGCATATTGTTTGCTGTCACTGACAGCCCGCAACACCCACGACAGGTCTGGCAAGCGAGGGGGGATGGACGAGGCGTTCCCTACCGCAGCGTCAGTCTCGCATACAGTTTCCTGCATATCTCATGGTGGCTGACCCTGAAAGTAGAGCACATATACATGTGCCACAACAGACTTCCCGACGTCCGCGGCTACCTGCCGATTCCCCTTCGGCAGCGGCACCGTCGCAACCGCCATTGCGAGATCTGTTCCGTCAGCAGCTTTGGTCCTCTCCTCCCTCCACTGAAGTCCCCCACAGCGGCTTAACCAGTCAGCAATGCGCTCGCTCCTTGCAGTCGGGGGCAGTCCTGGCATGTAGATGATCTTGTTCTGGAAGACCACCATCATGATACATTTCCAAATCCACAGCCCAATCAACAAGCCAGTGAACATCAACGGTGCCACTAGAATTGTTTGGGTATGAAGCCTGCGGCGGCAAGTGCTCTCCATTAGCATGATGTGGGTGATACGTGGACGAAACCGCCGCGGTGGACCATGCTGCACATCGACCCGAAACTGAGGCAATCTCAAGGGACTGCAGCAACGACAACTCATGTGCAGCAACGACTTGGGGACCGGCTGATGCCATTTGATGTGCCTGCTGAGAGGCCGATAGCGACCAGAGAGGACTGCGTATGTTACAGGCATTGGCGGCAGTCATTGGCGGGATGGCCCGCGGGATGTTGCTGGGGTGGGATGGCGTGTTGAAACCGCAAGAGATCTCGCTCTTGTACAAGTATTTCGCGCTCCTCATGCCATGGCCTCAGTCATGTGTCCAGCTTCCACTCGTCAGACGTGGAGATGAGATGCAGCAAGGTCCACCTGCAGGTAGAGACCCGTACGTGCCGTGTGAACAAAAGGGCTGGGTTTGGTGGAATTGGGCTGGTATGGTTGGGCGGAAAGCTGTCCAAGTCCCCAGTTGTTGTCGTCATGTAATTCGTGGAGGAGTAGCTACCTGGCCAGCACTATCGCGAAGGGGTCCAGAGAAGATAGCAACCGGAGACCCAAAGACGAGGTCGCGGATGGGGAAATTGGGTGTCTAAAGATCAAGCGAGGAATTATGCTTTTCGTCTGATGGGAAGTATGATCGAATGGTTGACGCTGGTACCAGGACGTTGGATATTGACAGCGGGACCGGCTTACCTAACGATCACCGCTAAGCCCCGCGCTGACTTCCCGGCTTAGTGCATTTCGGGTGGCTGACAGCAACCGATATGAGGTGATGATAAGCATGGGCGCCCCTCTTTGAAGGCCGGCTGGCAGTTGGTCGACCAGTGACCTCAAATTTCTACCACGTCTTTGCCCACAGCCGCTGTCCAATATAAACCAGCCTGGGTCTCGCTAGGCTGAACGTCCGCGCCCATTTCTGCCTCTTCTGCTTGATTCTGAATCGCAACACATCACAAAACACAAACATCAACCATGCCTGCTTCCGTAGACCTTTCAGAGGAAGCGCCCCGGTCGCCTGGCCACCACATCGAGCTGGTTGACGACAACCCCTCTCCGCGACACGACGGCGAAACTAGTCCCGGGCTTAAGAATAGCAAGGGCTGGGACGGCAAGCTGCGTGTCACTAAAACTGCCACCCTCGCGAACCCCGAAGCTCTCTCAGACCCCGAGTACTCTGATGATGACAATGTGGTAATAGGAGAGGAGGTCCCCGCTGACGAGGGCAAGTTCCTTCCTCCAAAACTATGCCAGCAATCCCCCAGCTAACCTCCCATCCTAGACCTCCTCGACGACGAAGACCCCGAAACCGATGAGATCATTTGCACCCACTCCCGTATTCAGTCTATCTCCGCCCTCCGCCTCGCGCGCTTCCAAAAAGTCGTCCGCATCTGCCTCCGCCAAAACCTCATCCAAGACATCGAAGGCCTCTCCGGCATAGCCTCCACCCTCCAGGAACTCGACCTCTACGACAACCTCATCTCCCACATCGGCCGTGGCCTCGAGGACCTCACCAATCTGACGTCTCTTGACCTCTCCTTCAACAAGATCAAGCACATCAAGCACATCTCCCACCTAACAAACCTCACCGACATCTTCTTCGTCTCCAACAAAATCTCCAAAATCGACGGCCTCGAAAACCTGACCAAGCTCCGTAACCTCGAACTCGGCTCCAACCGCATCCGCGAAATCACAAACATCTCGCACCTCACCGCGCTGGAAGAGCTCTGGGTAGCCAAAAACAAAATCACCACCCTCAACGGCCTCTCGGGCCTTTCCTCGCTGCGCCTCCTATCCATCCAATCCAACCGCATCAGGGACTTGTCCCCCCTGAAGGAAGTCCCCCAGCTGGAGGAACTCTACATCTCGCACAACGCGCTCGAGTCCCTCGCCGGGATCGAGAACAACACGGCTTTGCGCATCCTCGAAATCTCCAACAACCAAATCAAGTCGTTGAAAGGGCTGGGGCCGCTAAAGAACCTGGAGGAGCTCTGGGCGAGCTACAACCAGATCGGGGACATCAACGAGGTGGAAAAGGAGCTTGGGGACAAGAAGGAGCTGACGACGGTGTACTTTGAGGGGAACCCGCTGCAGCTGAGGGGGCCGGCGGTCTATAGGAACAAGGTCCGGCTCGCGCTGCCGCAGGTGAGGCAGATTGATGCTAGTAAGTTTTGTTTTGTTATACCCTCTTGCCTGGATGTAGAGCTAACAAGGTGTGTAGCGTTTGTACGAACAACGTAAACAGCATGAGCCTGTAGTTTCTTTTTTTTGGTGTTCCTGAAAGTAGAAATGGTTCAGCCCCGGTGGCGTTTTGATTTTTTCTCCCCCGCCTTTTGCGGAAAAACTCATGTATTCCCCTGTCTTTTATACCATTTCTTTTTTGTTGTATTGTCAATAGCATTGCAGGTGGCGTTTTTTGGTTTCCCGTCTTTTGAGCTTAGAGGCTCCTTTTTTGGAGGACGGCTAAGAAGGCCGGGAGAACAATCACATATTTTTTGATTCCCTTTTTCATGTATGTCAAGAAGGTATTATGCATTACTTTGTTTTGATTTTTATGTCTGCCCCCCCCTCCCCAACCCTTTGTCGATTTTTTGGGAGATGGATTATTAGCGTGGGTAGGTGTCAGTGAGCAACCTGCTACGTAGGGAATCAAAGGCAAAATCTGTATGGGAAAGGCAAAAACAATAGAGAAATGAACATGTTTATCAAAGAGGGGGAGCAATGGTTTATTATGGTCCCTTTTTGGATGACGGCTTCAAACTGGCCCTTGTGTCAATGTAGACCAGCACCATCAAGTCGAGTGTTCACACAAGTCATATACATTCACATCCAAGAGCAGCCATCAATCATGAAAAAAAGTTGGATTGTACTCTCTTATTCTCTATGCAAAAGAGCTATCCTTTCCCATAAGTACACGTATTCTTCAAAAGGCTACGTATCCTGTCCTGTCTTTCTTCCATTCCTCCTTTTTCTTTCCAGGGGTATGTGTGTGTTGTTGGGTTGGGTGGGGGGCATTATTTGTTTTCATTCCTTCGTGACAAGTTGACCGGCTGAGATGGTGCCAGTCAACCTCCCTTCTTCTTCCATATCAGAAAAGGGAGGTTAAATCTCAACCATGTGCGACGACATGGCTGAGATGATGGTCAGATCGGCTCGGGTAAAGGGGGTATTTTGTTGTTTTATTTTTGGATTGCTCGGGCTAGCAATTTAGCCAAAGATCCAGAGGAGCTCAGTGGGGAAGTACTATCAAGATGAGTTAGTCTTGTGTCACAAGGGTTAGCGTTCGCAAAGAGTATACTCACGTTGGAGGGCTGGTTGAAGCGGATGCCGCGGTTGAAGCCAGAGATGGTGGCAATGTCCTCCTCGGAGAGATCGAAGTCGGTGTTCTGGAGGTTGGAAACCATGGTCTCCTGTCTGCTGGACTTGGGGATGACGGCAAGACCGCGCTGGGTGGCCCAGCGGAGAAGGACCTGGGAAGCAGGGCGGTTGTACTTGGCGGCGATGGCCTTGATGGTGTCGTCCTCCATGAGGGGCTGGAGCTTGACGGCGTGCTGCATGTTGAACTCGAGGAAAGAGGCAGGGCCGAAAGAGCTGTAGGCAGTGACGGTGATGCCCTCACGCTTGGCAAGCTTGAGGAGCTCCTCCTGGGTGAGGTAGGGGTGGTGCTCGATCTGGAGGGTGGCAGGGCGGATCTTGGCGTAGCGGAGGAGGTCGTAGATCAGCTGGGACTGGAAGTTGGAGATACCAATGCTGCGGGCGAGGCCGGCATCGACGAGGCTCTCCATGGCGGTCCAGGTCTCCTGGATGGTGGCCTTGCTGGGGCGAATCTCATCGCCCTCGTAGTGCCAGCCGGGAGGGTAGCGGACGGAGGGGTCGACATACTCAAGGGCGACGGGGAAGTGAATGAGGTAGAGGTCGAAGTAGTCGACGCCCCAGTCGGCGAGCTGCTTCTTGACGATGGGCTGGACGCGCTCACCGTCGTGGAAGGTGTTCCAGAGCTTGGAGACGATGAAGAGGTCCTCACGCTTCACAATACCCTCCGAGATGGCACGGGCAACACCCTTGCCGCACTCAACCTCGTTGCCATAGTCTGATTTATCTCTGTCAGCTTGTGTTCCTAGCACCACGGCAAACAATGGCCCGATCACCGATAAGGCGTCTATCCCCACCCCCCATGCTTGTGCCTTGGTGGGGACAAGGGCAAGCATGGAGGGGGCGGGGTAGCAATAATCTGAACTGTTCCTCGTGCCCCTCACTTTCGAGCAACACCCCTCCATGAGCTCTTGAGAAGTGAGGTACAACCAGAAAGTGCGAATCCGGTATCCGAGGTGTGGTGTTGGCTGTGCAACAGAATGAAGGGGGGAGGTCTCAGCTTACCGCAGGCGCCATCGAAGAGACGGTAACCGGCCTTGATGGCATTGTAAACGACATCAGCGGCGATGGCGTTGTCGACCTTCCAGAGACCGAAGCCCACCTGGGGCATGTCGTAGCCGCTGTTGAGCTTGATGACGGGGGCCATTGTGACGGTGTTTTTTGTCTAACGTGCGGGATGAGCTGTCAGTGCTTCGTCCTCGGAGTCTCGCGGTGATGGTGGGGGTTCACTCACGCGGTGGGATGGAAGAGAGATGGATGGGTATGTGAGGAAAGATCAGCTGGAACGTCATGAGGGCGTCGAGGTGCTCCCATGGGACTACTTATACCGGCTGGCCGTCTCCATACTAAGCTTTCGAGCCGGAGGGGAAGGTGCCCTCCCACCCATTGTGTCCACCCTTGGGCTCTGCGCCGAGTTACGCTTCATCTAGATGATGTGCCGTCGAGCAGGGTCATTCCATCCCGCCCACCTCCTCCCCCTCTCCCGTGTCCCAATTCCAAGACCCGCCCGCATCGTCATACAGCGCGGGAGCACAAGCTAGAACACCAGGGACCCCCTCACTGCGGCCTCTCTGCGGTGCTTGAATGCGACAGTCGCATGACCAAGACCTCGATGATCTCGGCTGGCATGGAAAAAGCGCGTGATTCTACTGGCCAGCAGCTAGATGTTGAGATGCGTGAGGCGGCTACCTTCCCGACCTTGCCTGCTTGATTGGCGTGGGTAATGGGCAGCAGCCCGTCTGCCATTGTCCACTGACACGGAGCTCGAAGCTGTGGACCCGAGTGGTGAGAGCCCATTTGTGCGGTTGAAACGGGCATCTCCTTTTTTGTTGGAGAAGCAGTGGACTCTTCGAGGGGTGTGTGGAGTATCCATTAGCCTCGCACATACATGGCATGGCATCCTGTAGGTAGCCAGTACCGGCTCTGTTTTGTTGGCCCTTTGAGGCTCACTTTGGAGATATCCTCGTGATATTGAAAGGACCCCTTTTCAGAACCAGTGACGCCAAAAAGGGATATCGTGAGGTCTCTTTTGGGGGGCGGCTTACCTGCCATATTGGTCCAGATCTGAAGACGCTCACACCTGGTACCATGATACCATCCGGATGGAACGCAGGCAAATGGCTCCGGGCGGACGTGGCGGAGGGGTTTCTCTGCTTTGCAAGTTTGATGCAGGGCATGTCCCACTAGAGCTGTGGAAACCGAGATGTTCGACTTGACCCGGTAACCCGGTGCATGTTCCTCATTTAGCCTGAAGAAGGCCCCGCCAAAAGCCAACCGGATAATTAGCAGCAAAAAGGCGAGATATCCACCATGAACCTCCTATCTCGCCGCCGGCCTCACTCAACCGCGCAAGGCTGCCGTTGTCTCGGGAACCTTGTTGCACCACACCCTGGAAGTAGGTATGCCGGTGCTGCTGAAGAAGAGAACAGTTTGGCTAAGGTACGGATCTCTGTCATCTGACTGCAAAAGACAGGCAGGTGCCATGTTCTGCCGGGCAATATTTCCGGATGAAGTTGTTAGTCTGCTGGAGCTGTGTTGCAACATCAGTTTTGCCATTGTCAGAAAACCATGCTGAATCATCTGATGAGAGAAAAAGACGGAAGAATAGCGAGGCTGAAGTGGTCGCTGGGCGAGAACCTTGATGGTCCACGTGGTTGTCAGCCTGTCGTGTCCAAATGAGACATCAGCTTCTGCCCTATTGGACCCCAACCAGTACCCATCCAACCACCTGGCTGCCCGTCATCATGCTTCTTTTTGAGCCTCTCAATTCCATCACCACACTCAGGGCACACTTCCTGCTCGTCGTGGGCTCAGAACAACCTACATCTAAGAGGAAGTTTCTCAGCAAATCCAATCTCTGAAAGACACCACAGCAGGCGAGGCTTGTTCTTAGCAGATAGGTCCTCTCGTCATCCAGGCCGCCGGAAGGGGCACCGGGAGAGCCAACCAAACAGCAACCACAATGTCTGTCCAATGGGAACCATGTGGGATGATACCGTTATTGCAACTGTCTTGTCACCCTCCCCACATGCTTCTCCAACTCAAGCTTCTCATATGGGCTCAGCCTTCTTGTTCCCAGATTGACTTCTCTATACTCTTGCGCCTCTCCTTTGAGCTTCCAGAGTTCTCTCATGACGTCTCAGCATACTATCATGACAAGAGAGCAGCTTTTTCTCACCGACTAAGCCAAAGAACAGTCGTTATGTCTACCCCTTCCCCAGGTACATGTCATCCGTACCTCCTATTACCACCACTACATCCGCCAAGAAACACTCCAACGGCCACCAGGCAAGGTACATGCTACCGTCATCCACCGCAGCCTCGCCTCGTCCGCCTTGTCCACAGTTCTGTAACTAAAAACAGCACCTCCAAATGCATTAGCTCCCTTCCCGTGTCCCGCTCACCCTCAGCGTCAGATCCACAGCCCGTGGCTATTCCTACCTGGGCAGTACCACGCGAAGGAGCTATCCTAGAGAAGTAATCTCCTTCTGATTGGAAGGGAATCCTCATCCAACTTGGAGTTTGTTTTGACCTTGTTTGTGGATCACGTGTTTCTCTGTTCCGACCTCAAGCATAACACCCATATATCCACACATCTACAAGACGCAATTGTATACATACTTGCACGAGATATCTGTCAGGAGATAGTATACTGCGACCAGGTGTATCATGTAAAAAAATCTCCTCCACTTCACTCCTCACAAGTAGTTCAAACTTCATCATGAACACGACCAACACCACTCAAGAGAACCCCCCAAAAGTCCGGCCCATAGTCTTGATATCACGCCATGTAAAACATGTCGCCAGTAATCCAAACCGCACTCGAATTCTACAAATAATAGAAATAAAACTAATATCGAGACAACTCCAAATGTCATTCTTCCCCTCAATCCTTCACCACCCTTGGCTACCTACATTTGAGCCCCCTTAAATCAGTTTGGACCCCATAACCTCCCCACCCAAAAAGCACTACATTCATGTTCCTCCAAATAAGCTATACCTGGAAATACTTACAAAAAGCAGACGTAATACCACACAAAATATTCCGCCACAGTCCACATCAAGCGAGCCACCCATGAATCACAAAATCCTTGCCATTAATGTATAGGCAAGAATAGGTCGGGTAATTACCACTCAATTTACGCAAGTAGACCGAAAAAGGTTTATTTGATCGTGCTGGTCAAGATGATATGCTGGTGATAAGTAGTTTCACATGGCCCCTTGCCTCTGTCAAGAGCTGTTGTTGTCACTACAACATCCCCTACCTAGGTAGGTACGTAGGTATTCATGTAACTCTCTGCATGCAAACAACAACAACCCCAAAAAAGCCAAATCAACTCTGGGTTCAAAAACCTGTGTGTAAATAAATATCTGCAAACAAGTAGACTACTTTTTTTATCTACAACCCAGCCATTCGCTGAAACCCCATAAGAGAAAAACCAAATAATTCGAATAAAAAAACCCACGTATTCCAACAAGAACAACAAGGAGCTTGGAGCCCAGAAGCAAAAAAAAAAAAAACAACCAGCTACCTATCGTCCTCCCCCCTTTCTTATAAAATGTCTTGCCAAAGAATAATGATACCAAGCACGACTCTTCGCTACTTTTATAAACCGTCCCCCTTCTTTTTGCCCAGCTAACCAACCTCTTTTGAAACACAGAATATTGGTATACACCCTCCCCCCACACCCATGAAAACAATCATTAACAATTAACTATTGTCCCATGCTTTTCGATCCCACACTACTCATCACAACACCCTCCCCTCCAACAACACCCCCTGCTGTTGCCGTCCCCATGTCCGTCCTCGAAGTCGCCTCTCTAAGACAACCCCAAAAACTTCCCGCTCTTCTTCTTCCCCAACCCAAACGTAAACCTCTCCATCAAAGCCGGTTTGTGACCGTCCCTGTCCTTCGTTGGACTCCCCACAAACAACTCGGGCGGCGCCGTGTCCGACCGTGAGGGCCCAACCCCAGGAGAAGAAGAGGAAGAATGCCCGTTTTGTCCCGCAGTCCCATTGCTCCTAACACCATTCAGATGAGGCAAAGCCGGTACAGGAGGCAGCACAGCATCATGGCCACCATTACTCGACGACTCCCCAGCAGCAGTACTAGCCCTGCTCTCCGTCTTGTCGCTCCTGTCACTCCTATCCGCTTTATCGGCATTGTTCTTGTCCTTCTCCTTGTCCTTGTCCCCACTCTTGAGAAACGCAAGACTCTTCCGTGTCATCGTCTTGCTGTTCCGACCTGCCCGGTTAAAGAACCCCGCTGGGGTGAACTTGTTGTTGCTGTCTTTCTCAACAGAGGCGCTGTCCACAGCAGCAAATGAGTCAGACCCGGTTGTTGTGGCGTCCTTCTTCCGGCGCTTTTCTTCCTCGTCTTCTGTTGTAGAATCGCGGGATTTGTCGAGCAGTCTCTCCTTGGCGGCGAGTTTAGCTGCCTCCTTTTCGGCTGCTTTTTCAGCTGCTTTCCGGGCCTTCTCAGCCTTTTCTTGCATCTTTTGCTCCTTTTTGATTTCCTCCTTTGACTTGGCCGGTACGGTTGCTGCCTCGTCGGCTTTGGTCATGACTGCTGATCCCGGTGGTGGGGCGGCGACTAAGGGGTGGCCATAGCCTTCTGGTCCGGCTGGTTGTTTTACTGGCGAGGCCAGTACAGACACTGGGCTTATACTGTCGAGCGGTGCCGACTTTGTCTGCTCCAACGTGGCCAGCGTCTCGTTTTCCTCCAGAGTTGGTAACGGTTGGGTGCTCAGTCTCGTCAGTGGTGGCGGGTGTGTGCCGTTGGTCTGTTCGGCCGTCATTGTGGTTGCTGCGAGATCTGCCGTTTCACTTGCTTCCCGCACTTGATCCAACCCTTCGGCATCCATCTCTTCCCGTACCTTCTCCCACGTGGTCTCTTGGTAAAACAATACATAGGCACATGCCATTCCTGGTTTGTCGCCGAAAAAGTTCTTGACAAAGTGCTTGTCCACCGGTTCAACCATTTCGTCATCAAACAGAAGCCAACCCCGATCCTTGGTTTTGATAACCGACACATAGTGACCGTGATAAGCATTACCGCCGATGTGGATAACAACCGCGTATAACTCATACAGCCGATCCTGGTCTTCGGCGTCGTCTGTAGTGTTGAACATACGGATATGATAAGGGTATACTATCCGGTGGAAGAGCTTCTGTAACCGGCTGTAGTCCTCTGTATACTTGAATCTTTTCAGATGCAATGCCAGCACCTTTGGTAACTTCTTGACCTTCATCCGCTTCTCAGCCTCTTGCAAGCCACCACAATGGTCACAGTGGAACTTGTTACGTTCACACAGCATTTCCTCAGCGGAGAACTTCTGTAGGCATGACGTTACTGATGAGTGTTCCTCGAGATCAATCGATAGATCCAGGAATGTCTCGTCTCGTTGCGAGGCTGCCTCGCAGGTTAAGCATCTGGTCTCGGATGTCAAAACGCCTTCAAATATGTCGTGCACCCACCCGGCCGCTGGAGTTCTTGAATCGATTGCGTTGCTGTTGTGTACTGATGCGGTGTCTGGTGAGGATAGTGGGCCGTCTTTGCCGCTCCCTTCTGCTTGCTCCACCAGCATGCGCTTAGCGTTTGCCTCGACGTTGGCGATAACATCATTCAGGATTAGGCCATAAAATTCGTGGGCGTCCTGGTGCATAGAGTTTCGGAACATCTCATTGTCCCGCTTGAAAATTTCCAGAAACCGCTGGGGGCTTAAAACACCGGTACGGGACTGGCTCTCGATAAGGGCCGTGAATATATCCTTGAGGCCGGTGAATGTGCATTCCTGCATGCCGTATGTATCCGGGTTCTCCTGCGCAAGCTCCAGCACTGGACCCTTGATCATGGCCTGCTTCTTCTTATACTCGGGCGCATCCGGCCTGTCCTCGGGACGCACAGGTGTGACGCCACCGGGCGCAAGCTGCCCGCCTCCCAACACCTGGCGCTGTTTTGCTTGCGCCGAGAGTGCTTTACCCTTTGGGTCTTTTGGATTAGGCTGTACCGGTTCTCGTATTGTCACGTTAACCTTCTTGGATGCGCCGTTGAGGCCGTTGTTTGGGGGGAGTGAAGGATAGTTGAGGACATTTTCTCGAAAAGGCTCGGAATAGTAGAGTGCCTGTAGTATTGAGTTGCAGTAGCTGTTGAACTGGAGGGTTAGTCGTTGTCTGCAGAATCCCGTCTCCCAACCTGGGCATACCATGTGTTTCCAAACTACAACAAGTCACAGTTGTTAGCTTCACGACATGGATTTTTAACTCGTATGAAGCAGGCCTCACATTTTCCAACCCAAAGAACTTGTCACTTCCATCTGGCCTAATTGCTCCGGCATTCTGGAGAAGCCTTTCCACCGGGGTCAAGTCCAGCGCGGGATCATCCTTTTCTTTGCCCTTTCCCTTTGACGATGTGGTGCTGTCAGACTTGGAGTTTGCCTAGGGCCAGTGTTAGTAACCTAGGTAGAAGACCACCGACATTGAGCATCGGGTTTCACGCAGCAGCGAGCCTAAACAAACACCCGCGCTCGGAACATTTAATCGCAGGTGTACATACAGTGCCGGCACCCTTAAGTTTCTGGAAGAACCCCGCCATTGTGAGCGCCGAAAAATGCTAACCCGGCGGCGCGTCACTTGTCAGGCGGGGAGGGTCGGTCGTTATTCGACCGCCGCAGAGCCGTCGTCGTGAGGACGGGGCTGGTAGTAGGATCAACCGAATGTGTGTTGACGAGTCTGATATATGTAGGAGCTATGGAACGGACTAGAGCAAAGCTCGACGGGAACGCTCGGAAGACGGATGGCGTATGCGCGTAGGGGTTGCGCAATGGCTTTGGAGTCGCAAGATCGGGTCAATGCCGCAGCGCGTTCTTGCTCGTGTGATCCGAATATGTGTATGCGGTATGCGGTATTCGATATGTTCCTCTTTGATCTCTCGCGTCTGGGTAGATTAAGGGTGGATACGGATACTCGGAAGAAAGATGCGCAGGATCAAGATGCTTGATGCAATCAACAAGGTAAGCTAGCTCTCGGCGCTGCGACCCTTGGACGGTGGCTTATCGATAATGACAATTGGGGCCAAAGAAGGGCTGAACTTTTGAAACATCCGTCGGACGGAGGTCTGGACAGCTAGGGTGTGGACAGAAGCCAGGAGCTACGGCAGAGGAGATGTCGAGAGAGGGAGCAGTGGACGTTGAGGCGCCTTGGGACATGCAGCTCAACCTGGATGGACAGGTTCCTGTATGTACTTTCCACCCTTACACTACAGTGGGATTATTGCCAAGTACCCGACTGCAACCCAGAGGATCCGGTTCGATTCCAGAAGTAGTTGAGTGCTCGGCAGGGGTGGGGCCACAATGGAGCCCCTCCACAAACAGAGGTTCAAAGGTCCGCCGGGACTCCCCTCACTCACACCACTCCACAGCCTACATTTTCCACCTCTCAACGCTGCCGTCTTCGTCACGCTTTCACTTTCTGCCCAGGAATTGTTGGGTCATCAACCACCCAGCTCTAGTAGGTGATGAGAGCGGCACTCCGCGGCAGATGGTGATCAACAACACAGTCGGCAGAATTACAAAGAACGCCATAGCAATGCACCGTATGCACCTCGGGTAGTCTGTTGAGTGGTAACCGAGCTCAGCATCTTCCTGTTTCCGTCGTCTTGTCGAGTCTTCCGAGTCCCGGCAGCTCTGGGGTTCGTCAACGGTTTTTATGTAAAGTCTTGACGTCCGCCAATTCTAGCTGCCAACTCGAATGGAGCCTGCAAGCAGCTGGACTGCCGTTCTTCCTAGTGCCCGCCCTAGCGGATAAAGTGAGGTTTGCCACGATCCACTAAGGTACTGCCATGCTGAATATCCTCAAAATAGACTTCTCCTTCACACTTCTCACCTCACACACTTACAAGACTGTTTACACTACAACAAGCTTTGTGGCGGCCATCGGTCGTAAGCCGAGTAATCTGTGCAACAGCTAGGCCATCAAAGCTTAGCTACCGGCGCATGACCACAATCAAGCGAACAAGAGACCCTCGACAAGATGCGCCCCTTCCTAGTGTCCTGAACCGACCTGCCGCCCTGCTTCTTTCAGACGTTACATGCCCGACAGTGTGGTTGCAATATAGGTTGGCCACAGGCAAGTCGAAGCGCCAGAAGCTTCCCAGACCGGCTCCAGTGGGACGGAATCGAGTCCCTTGCTTGGTTACTATTCGTCCATAATATTCGGTGGGTTTTAAGGTCATGGATGCCACGCTGACCATCGCGTACAGAAAACGGGAGTGACGGTCAGTCCCCAGGAGAACGGGAGTGTGGGGTAGAATTTAAGAAATTGTGGCCTTCCAGACAGTTCGCTTGCGCCGCGTTGAGTTTACCCGTCCTTCTTCCTCAACGGCACGGGAGACGGAATCTCTCGCCCGGGGAACTCATTTCTCTTTATTTCCCTTGGCAATGGATTACCTTGACGATATCGGACCAGCTCTCGATTTGCCTGCTCATGGCGAGTCCAGAATATCTTTGACAATCGTTACTCTTCGACTGATGACGATTTGGCCCCCCCGCGCCCCTCTTGGACCCTTGGCCCTTAGATTCGCAATGTAGGCCCGTCTTTGCGGAAGGGTCAACCAACGATTCCTCCCGCGTGGCCGCTTCTTCCTTGGCCCATCCCCTGATCTGTCTGAACCAGTGGGACATGCAGCTCGCATTAGCCCTACACACACTCTTTTTCCTCGTATGTCAACCTGTTGATCCTCACTGGTTGGAATCCCGTAGCTGAATTCGGCAGGCATATGGAGCCGACATAGGCCTCAGGCCACCGTCCTCACCACCTCCGCCCAGGAACACAAAACGGCCCCCCAAAAAGCTGCCGTATGACGAAACACTCACCCAACCCGCAGAGCTTGTTTTCTTTCTATTTATTGCGCGGGCTCTTACACTACCTTTGATGTTTGAAAAAGTACCGGGTAAATACCTCCATCCATCAAACACCCCCCTTCTCCCTTTGGTTCCACAACATATAGATCATTTTGCACACGTACACATCCTTTCTTGGTTTGTCTCACAGAAAGACTGATGACCGAGGAAGTCGCCGGGGTGTAGAGCAAAAATAATAAGGGTATGACCACCTGCAGAACAAACGCGAGCGGGCGCACAAATCCCGATGATGATGCATGGTTACGTCAAGGGGATGACGGCCTGTCACGTTTGATTGTAGAAGGACACCTCGTGATAGGTTTGTAGGTATCCGGGGGTTTGGTTCGGAAAGAAGAGGGCGTTAGTATTTGGGGAGTTGGTTGAATGTTGCAGAATGGGGTTGAATTACGAGAAAGGAAGAAGGTCTCTCAGACAGAGGGCCGGTGACAGCCGTGGCTCGCTTATGACTTCAGGTAGGCCTGATAGCTATCTGAAAAGTGAAAGTAGTTGCCTCAGCATGGTCCAGAGCTCAGAATGATACAGCAGTGGCAGGCTGGAGTTGAACTGCCTACCGGGCATCTGGGTTCAGCCGCATAGCCTAGTCATAGGTAATTCAAGCGCATAGCTGTGTAGACATTCAACCCAGATTCAAGTATGCTTGCTGTAAATCACGCGTCCCACAAGAGACCACCACTTATCGTGACACTGAACCAATCCGTTGACAACAGCTTACAAGGAAACAAATTCAAAATAAATATCTATCCCCTTCAAGACCTCAAATATCCAATTCGCATTCAACATTACTACAAAGTGTTACACGAAAAATCCTTGCTAAACCACAATCCCCGACCCCTCCGTCCCGGTCCTCTGCTCCTCCGTCTCCGTCTCATCCCCCTCATCGTCACTCATAACCCTGCTCTGTGCCTCCTGGTACTCATCCTGCGTCTCCTCCGCCTCCGTCTGCCGATCCTGTTCCTCCTCCTTCTGCTGCTCCTCACCGACGACATAAGCAGGCGCGCCCAGCTCCTCCTCCTGACCACCAACCCAGACCTTGTTGAGCTCCGTCTCAATCTCCTCCCGTCTCTTCTTCCACTTTTCCACCTGAGCCAACCTCTCCCTCAGATCGTGAAGCTCCTTCTCGACAGCCATCTTCTCGCGTTCGGTGCCGATGCGCTGGACCTCCCACTCGTCTCCGCGCTCGCCGAGGCCGAGGACAAGGTTGTAGGTGTGGTATTTCTTAAGCGAAGCGCGGGTGGAGATGGTAATGAGGGCTGGAAAAGGACAAATGTTAGTTGTAGGTAGGGAAAACGGGGGAGAGAAAAAAAAAACTTACTGATACCCTTCTCCTTGCAAGTCTCATACAACAACCCCTCCACATCACTGCTCACCGCGCTCGTCCCCTCATCGATAAACGCATACTGCGGCTCGTGATAGAGCAACCTCGCAATCGCCAACCTCTGCTTCTCACCACCGCTCAACACATCCTTCCACTCCTTCCTCGTGTCCCACCCCCCCTCTCGATCAGGCAAATACCCCAGCTTCGCCTGCTCAAGCGCCCTCTTGAGATCATACTCATTCTTCCTCTTCTCCCTCATGTCCGCCTCCCCGTCAGGATAAATAACCTGATCTCTCAGCGTCCCGATGCTCAGATACGGCCTCTGAGGCAAAAACATGATCCCATCCTCCCCGTTGTTCTTCGGCCTAGACACCAACCCCCGATAAACCGGCCACAACCCCGCAATCACCCTCGCAATAGCCGACTTTCCAATCCCGTTCGGCCCCGAAATCAGCAGGTGATCCCCCCGCCTCACAATCAAGCTCAAGCTCTCGAGCAACTCCTCACCGCCCTGAGGCCACAACCCGGGAGCCACAATCGGCACATTCTCCAACCTCACCCCATCAAACCCCTTTTGGATGGTCCCCTGCACATCGCTCAGCGAGTACAGCTCGTTCTCCCTCCCGCGGACATAATACGCATTCGCGTGCGCCCTGTGCAGAGTAGAAATAAGCGTGTACACCCGACTGGTATACCCAGCCAGCTCGCTCAGATCCTTGATGCTGTACATCATCCTCCCGCCTGCATCAGCCAGACTCAACATCAACCTCTTATTCGTAATAAAATCCTTCATCCTCTCCCTTTCCCTCCCTCCTTTAACCGCAGTCGCACCGGCAACCTCTGTCGCCCCCCCAAGCCCACCCCAAGCAGGCAGGAAAACAGGCAGTGACGACAAAAGGTAGCCATACGCACTCCAGCTGTACTTGAGAATGAAATCCTCCAAGATGTTGTACCTAATCTTGAGCATGTAAATCCCCTCCATCCAATTCTTCAGACTCTTGAACTCTTTGTTCAAGAACGTCTTCTCCATCTCGGCACCGCCATAAAACGCCACCTCCTCCGCATTGGCGATCAACCTCGCGTGCAGGCTCCTAAAGTCACCCTCTTTCCTGCCCTCGACAGCCTTGAGCTTGCCAAAGGGGGGAGACAACTTCCTGAGGATGGAGGCGGTAAGAAAGTAATTGCTCAACAAACCCGTCAACGCCAACGGGCCGAGCGAGCGGTAGAGTTGGTAGTTGAACACGCAGATGTCAACAAACGGTTTTCCAAGGGAAGAGTACAAGTTTGCGGCAGCGGCGCAGAACTGTGTGAGATCCTGGGTGATGAACTGATCTGCTCCCTGGCCGACACCTCCGTCGAGGTTGTGGAGCTTGTAGTAGTTTAGATTGTCGTTGAGGTACAGGTCGTGAATGTAACGGGTGAGACGGGTGCGGAAGGCGATCGAGACCTTGGATTCGAGATATTTGATCATGGCGTTGGTGTAAGAGGCAAAGCCACCGAGACCGCACCACTTGGCTAGACCGAGGAGGAAGGCTTTCCCGTTTCCTGCCACGAGATCACGGACGATTTCACCGTCTAGGCGGGCGACTACCAGGGAGAGATAGGTGCGCAACATGAGGAAAGCGCCGTGGCTGACGAGGAGACCTGCTTCTTTGCTTGTCCAGCGGGGGATCATGATGCTCATGAGACTGAGAAACTGGTGGAGGAAGGCGAGGTTGAGACCCGGTTTGGTTTGTGCTGCCGGGACGTGGCCATCTCCCAACCCAGATACCCTAGGTGGGTTAAGGAACAGTCTGCGATGGGCCTCAAAGGTGAGCGGCTTGGTACTCGAGATGACAACCTTGGAGGTGCCATCCTTGTAAGGAACATAAATGGTGCGAGAACCGTCCTTGTTGTGTAGCCAAGAGTTAGTTCGCACAAGTTTCCTCCCTGTCTCGCGCTCCTCACGCTTGCGTTTCCACTTCCGACGGGTGCCCTCGCCAGCGAGGATGATGGAGGTGGCGAGAGCGAGGGTGCATAGCAGGCGCGTGGTTTTGGACGTGCTGCGCAGCTTTGTGCGGATGAGTTCGCCGTACTTTTCGACAAAGGTGGCAATGGCCTCCTCGGCGGCCGAGTGCCGGAGGGTTGACTGGACTGCCATGACCGTCGTCGTCGTCGTCTGTTGCACGCGACGAGATCCGAAAAAGGGAGGGGGGCGTGTAGTTTTGTTATTCCTCCCGAGCCTCCGGGCTCAAGCGCTCTATTCCATTCGGACTCTTATATACCGTGTCGTTGTTTATTTGTGGTGTGGTGTAGCTAAGATAGTGGTTGGTAAGGAGGCGGAAACCGAGAGCCGTAGGTAGAGTTTTGGGGATAAAACGGCGGGTGGACGTGGCTTTGGTTTAAACTGTAAAAGAGACACTTGTGTTTGTTGTCGGGCGGTCGAGGTGCGTCGGTCCCGGAGTAAACATCGGGTTAGCAAGCGTTGTGTTGAAGAGGATCGCTTAGAATTGGATGTCGTGTCTCTCTTGTTCTTTCGGTTATGGCTTGTTGGACGCATAAAGAATGGCATGTGAATATCCCGAGGTGTCGCTGCTCCAGCCACAGCATGCTGCGTGCTCAACGTCATCGCCCCCAGGAAGCAAGCCACTGTTCCTGGTCAGGTGCGCCCCCCAGGCGTGCTGCTTGGGGATCTAAGACCCGGGGACCTGCCCAATCCAGTGGGTTTTCCCCGCAATCCTCACTGAAAAGGGCGGGGCGTTTACCCACATTTCGCACCGTGCATCAAGATCTTGTTCCGGGCTTTCGAAGAGTCTTCGATGTCTGGAGAGGCCTGTTCCAGGTTGTGGCAAGCACCGCTTCGGTCAACCGATATATCAATCGCACAGCAACACAAATATCAGGTTTTTTATTTGAATAATTACTTCCAACTCCCCCATCTGTGTCGAGGCAGGCTCGAGTTTTCTGTGGGCTCAAGGTGGGAATGTACTGCATATGTGGAGAAAGTACTGAAGTCCCCCCGAGCTGTTCAAAGGCTGACAGATCGATCTGAAACGGTAGGTTTTTTTACTTTTTACATTTTCACATGGACTTGTCTGCTCTTCCTTGCCTGGGACTTGTGTCTATTTTTGCTCAAGGCTCTCGGGAGGCGCACAGCAAGTCTCGGGCACCCGTACGGGATGGCACGCCAGCTTCCATCCGGTTCGCCAATCCATTGCAGACCGGAAAGATGTGGTGCGGGGCAGCCAGGCCCGTGAGGCGGCCCTTCAAGATCCGGGTCCGAACTTTCTCTGTGACGACCCGGCAGTCAGGGACCAGACATCCATGACTGTCACTTCAGAAACAAGAGGCTCTCTGGGAAACCCCAGTGTCTCAATCTCAACAGCGACAAAGCAGAGGTGGTGACTGGCTGCGTGGTTGTTCTTCTGGTGCTGACCCGTCACCGTCCCGGGCGGTAACATGGCCAATCACATCGGGCTTGGCCATGGCATCCTCCAACAGCCCAATGTTCTCCAGCATCCCCTGCCGAGGACCGGTCTCGAGCGGGTGCAGCTCCTTTTCCAGCAGTCCCCGGCCCAAGCAATGCGGACCGCTCGCACGCCATGACGGGCAAGACGGAGCAGTCGATGTCTTGCGGGGGTTTGCCTGCAGACTCCAGTTCGAGTGTGGAGAGAATGCATGTCTCCTGAGGTTCTGACACTGGAACAATTGGGCAATTGGGCGACTGGGCTCTCATGCAGTCACGGAGGGCTGCGACAAATGGCAACGCATGCCCCCAATCAAGCTCAGCCCTGGCAATAAAACGACGCGCTCTGCCAGGTGGCTGCGTATTCGCCTCATCTTTTGATGGTTTTCAGAGAGAATGGTGTTGGATTACAGTCTCCAGTCTCGAAAGGCTTGGAGTGGAAAGGGGCAGAGGAGGGTCCATGATGCCGTGGAACCCTTGACCTATAAAATTGACCATAGCGATGCTGTTGAATGCCGGCGGTCTGCAGCTTGGGCTGCCAGTTGCATTGCCTTGCCATTGCTTGAGAAGCCAAGCGCATGTGTTGCTTCTTTTCCAATTCCTTTTCTTTGGTTCGCACATAGGTCTCCAAGAGCTGCAGTTCTGCACACGACACAACACAACAGCGGGAATCTCACAGCAAACACCAGACAGACAACCTTTCCATCTCAACACCCACTTTGCCCAGGGCCGGCCAGAAGTTGAACTTCTGTGGGCGGCGGGTCTGGGACGGATTTAAACTAAGCAGAAGTATTGATTGGGTAAAAGTACTTGGCTGCTGCTGGGCCGCGATGGGACGTGTTAGTAGAATGAATGCCCAGACGCCTTGAAACCAGCCAAATGGCAGCTGTTGGCTCTACGCGCCGCGGCAGGTACTATCGCCTGGTAATAGCACGCTATGTGCACCACGTAGCCGCAAAGTTACTGGGCTGGCTGGGTAATTTTCCCTGGGGGCAATCCGCTAATCCTGTCTTGTCCTCCTTGCTCCCCCATCGTTCTCTGCTGCTGCGCTGCACTCAAGCCATCCCAGAACCAGACCCATCACCTTTAAACTCCATCATCTCGCTTGTCCACCACCACCACGTCCCTCCTCAGCCGCTGATACGCCCATCCTCTTTTTTCCCCTTCCACCATCCCCAAGGCCATTGTCTGGTCTCCGGCGTGCGATTCTTCCATCTGCGGGCTCCCTTTTGGTCCGACAGCTTCCCTCCTCACCTTCGTCCCTTTTGCCTCGAAACTGCCAGTTCCTTTCGCTCGACAAGAAACACGCCCAGTCGTGTGCTCGGTCCCTTTCCCGATCGGCCTTGTCTGCGCGCCAATTTCCCGTCTGCACCGACCGTCACATCACGGTTCGCATCGTCCTTCTCGCGACTTTCTTTCTTAATAGCCGTATTCTTCACCGCAGAGCTTCGCGTGCTCCATTCGCACCAACCAGCAGCAACGGCTTCTTCGACAGTTATTAGGCAAAGGTGGTTCGGGACGAGCGAAGTGGCCTCGAAGGGCCATACTCCATTGAGATAGGGGTTGGGTCGTGTCGAGCGTTCCTTGGATCCGATCTTTGAATCTTAAAGGTGGGTGGGTGATTACATGCGACCGCGTTTGGGGATCTTTTTGGCTTTGGGTGGCTGTGCGGTGATGGGGAGCTTTGGTGCTCGGCGGTCAATTCGACTAGGTTGTTGACCTGCCTTGTCCCATTGCAGCGCCCAACAACACGCCAAACACGCCATCGCGCCCCGGAGCTCAGACCCGACACTGCACGGTCTCGAGTTGGCTGCAGTGAATTGAAGGGCCAGTGCTAACTACTGCAATGGATAGGTTCTAACTCGTCTTCATATATCTTACACACAAAAATGGCTTGGGGCACTGAAGAGAGGGTGCCAGCGGCCCCTGGGAGTTCCAAGGAGAAGGACACGCTATCAGCCGAGGATGGAAAGAAGGGTCGGGGTCTTTTGCCCGTGCCATCACGGTCATCGTCTCAAAGAGCTTCACCGACGGCTACTGGCCTGAGCGGCGCAACTGCGAGCGACCCCAGAGATAGCATCGGCGGACATTCCAAGGAATCCAAAGGCAGTATGTTGGGCCAAAACCGCAATGGAAGCGCATCTAGTAACCGTTTAGGCATGGTAACAGGACCGACAGCCACTCCGGGACAGTCTGAGCCAAACTCTCCGGCAGCTCCCTCTCATAAAAAGAAGAAGGGCGGATTCTTGGCCATCTTTGGATGCTGTGGTGTTCCCGACAACGCCAATGGGCTGGAGGCTGAGGCCCCCCATCGTCTCGACAAGATCCCCGCTCGACCTGCCACAGCCAGCCGGCGAACAGCCACGCCATCGGGAGAGCAACCATCTGGGAGCAAGACGCAGCTGTCTGAGAAGGAGCCAGGTCAGCAAGCACAACAGTCGGCTGCGCAGCCCCAGAAGAACGGGAAGCGGATCTCTGGTGCTAGCACTCAGGATCAATCTACAGTGGGTGATCGCGATGGCGAGTCGAAGCAGACGACGCTTGTCGGCGCAGGATCCGGCAACCCATCCATCTCGGTGGACCCCCCACACAGCGTTACGAGCGCCGACGAGACGATTCACGAGAATGCTTCTGAAAAGGATGCAGAAGGTGATGTTTCTATGCCCGACGCTGACAACTCAAGGCAACAGAACGCCCAGGGATCCGTAAACAACGCGGACGAGCAGCTTCCCAAGGTTCCTCCACCGCCCCCAGGGCCTGTGCCGGCAGTGCCGAATGCGCCAACATCCACGTCAGTGGAAAACCCAGCTGTGTTTGCCTCTGAGCAGCAGCAGGAGAGATGGCTTCTGCCTCCCCAAAGGCCAGAGCACAAGGGCAGAAAATGCCTTGTTCTTGATCTGGATGAGACGCTTGTCCACAGCTCGTTTAAGGTAAGACCTTGTGTCCCATGAACTACTGGTGGCAATATCCTAATGATCACCAGATCCTCAACCAAGCCGACTTCACGATACCTGTCGAGATCGAGGGCAACTTCCATAACGTCTACGTAATCAAGCGACCGGGAGTCGACCAGTTCATGAAGAGGGTTGGCGAGCTCTACGAGGTTGTTGTCTTTACAGCCTCCGTGTCTAAGGTATGGATGGAGTTCCAGGTCACCGTTGAACGCTCGCATCTGACAAGAAAATAGTATGGCGACCCGCTACTCGACCAGCTGGACATCCACAACGTCGTCCACCATCGCCTCTTCCGCGAGAGTTGCTACAATCACCAGGGCAACTACGTCAAGGACTTGTCGCAAGTTGGCCGTGACCTCAAGGACACCATCATCATTGACAACTCGCCGACTTCGTACATCTTTCACCCTCAACACGCCGTCCCGATTAGCAGTTGGTTCTCGGATGCCCACGATAACGAATTGCTGGATTTAATTCCAGTCCTCGAAGACCTTGCCACTCCCAACGTACGAGATGTCAGCCTGGTCCTCGATGTCACTCTTTAAGACGAATTTTCCTTTTCATAGCCGATACCCTTTCATTCTACTACACGTTATTCCTCGGGCCAGCAAAAAAAAATGGCGTCGATACGCCGGTACTGTCTAATCTTCACAACAATTCAACGTGACGGGTTCACTGAGAAACCCGTCACGACCTTTCAGGGGCCTTGTTTAGACCGGCGAGGCAGAAACCGAACTTGGGGCAGAGAACCGAACCCTACTTGAAGCGTTTTACTTCGTTTTCTTGAGCTACACTTCTGGTCACAGGAGGAGGAGGCGGAAGTGGGTAGTCAAGTAGATGGTCTGGCTCTGTCTCCAAGTTTGCTATACAAAAATCGGGAACGCTTCTTTCTTGGGGTGGTGGAGTTTGTTGGTTATAAGTCCGGGTGACGGTTTTGACCCAGTGTTCTCTTTTCTCGCGTTTTTTTCTCTTTGTCTTTTTCGTTTTTTTCTCTCTCGCGGAGCGGGGTGGAGAGGGGAATCTGTTGCCGTTGTTGGGTTTAGCAGGCCAAGCTGGGAAATCAAAGGGAAGAGGGGGGAAGAGAAGAGACCAGCATTGTCAAATATCAAGCCTTTTTTTTGTTGTTTTTTCTTTCTTTTTTCTTTCTCGCTTTTGGTTTCTTTCTTATGTCAATTTTTCTAAAGAACACCACCACCACACACCAACCACACCAATCAATTGACTATACATAAACGAACTGAGATCAAGGGAGAGGGTGTGTTTTTGCTGCTCTGCTTCTTTTGTTTTTCACACAGTACACATCTCCAGCCCAGTTCCATATCACGCATACTACAACTATACCATCATACTTTAGTACCCTACTTGCTCCTCACTATATTCTGTAGTTGGGATCTGTTAATTCGTCTGATGTAGTTTTGGGTTTTGTCTTCTTGGGGGTTATTTGTTGCGCATTGTGCTCTTTTTGTTATTATACCTCCACTTGGGTAGCTCGGAGGACGGCTGGTGGGGAGGCATAGAGAGAGCCTCTAGAAAGAGAGGGAAGGTCAAGGGTCCCTGAGGGGATATATACTGATGAGCAGGACGTGGGGAGCTGGGCATTCTTGTAGGGATAGTGGTTATAAATGAATTTTGAGAAGAACATAGTTGGAACTGGCAGCCATGCTTTGCTCTTGTTGATTACTCACATTTCGATTCAGTGCGGTACACAACCTGAGATGATTCCAACTTGCGATCCAAGATCACCCACACCAGACACCCACTAGAACTGTATCAGTCAGACCATCTTTAATTCATCACTCTCTCATGTAAGAGCAACTTGAGGTTAAATCCACTGATTGACCTTGCACTGGCCTGTGCGCCACTCCCCGCCAAGCCCCTGCAGTCCCCACGGTCCCCTGCACTCTTTCCAAACCGTGGCCTCAATTGACGCGCACGGGCCAGGCTGTAGCAATTAGGGGACAGATCGGGCGACGTGCTCGCTAGGACAGCTTGGTGCTGTTGCTTGCTGGCCAATTTCACCAACCGCGACGACTTTTGACTTTCTCTTTTTTCTTCGTCATCAACCACCACCACCACTACTCATCACCACAATCACCGTCGACGCCTTTTCTTTCGGCCTTTTCGACGTTTTCAATTGATTTCTACCAAGTTTAATCCCACACACCACACCACACCACACCAACAATGGTACCTCCCTCCCCATCCCCCATCACCACCACCCCCAATGAAGATGATGACGATACTAACAAGAAATAGTCCTCCCCCCGCGCCTCCTCCCCCTCCTCCCCCACATTCTTCCCATCATTCTTCTCAACCTTCTCCCTCCCTCCTCCCCCCCCCCCTCCAGGAGGCGCCCGCACCGCCATCCGCCGCCGTGCTGCTGCCGACCAAAAGGAGAAGATCGCCAATGCCAGACCCAACAGCACCCGCGCTGCGGGCGCGGGAGGCTCGAGCAGCACCATGCTGAGGCTGTATACCGACGAGAGCCCCGGGCTCAAGGTTGATCCGGTTGTTGTGCTGGTGTTGAGCTTGGTGTTTATTTTTAGTGTGGTTGCTTTGCATAGTGAGTTTTTCCTTTTTTGTTCGTATGAGGGGTGGTGGAAGGGGGAGCTTGGACTGGTGTTTTGGATGTGGGATTTTGGCTGACAACAAGGGGAATAGTTATCGCCAAGATTACGAGGAAATTCTCGAGCTAAATTCCTGACACCTCACTCGATGACGCCAACGATGATCTGAGGATACGAGATGAAGAGGGACGGTGGATCTGGTGGCGGCTTGGGTATCATGAAGACAAAAGGCTCACGGAACAGGGACTCCAAGGGTGGTGTTTAGGAAGAGAAACATTTCTTAATCCATCATGAGGACTGAAAATCACTGGGCCAAAAAGGGTGGTGAACTTGGGGATGGTGGGTGACAATTTTGTTTTTGGCGGCGTTCACAACATACATTACATATACCTAGGGAACGCGGGGAAGGGGAGGAAGAGAGAGATAATGGGTCGAACGGATGGTGAGATGGCCAAAAGGCATCTTGTTTTAGTCTTTTCGTGGATGTGTTTTTTTTCTTGTTTTTTTTTTGCAAATGTGTACAATGTAAATTTGTTTGTAAGTGGCTGAATGATGGACCTTGTTCTGTTGTGAATGCCATTTAGATGATGTTGCTCTTCTTGGCTTGTGGACATGGTTGCTTGTGCTGGGAGATAAGCAGGTTCCATATGAGGCTATCGTTGGGAGAAGCCTCGGGACAGAATCAATAACGGTGATTATACAAAGGTATTTATGACGTCCACCAGGTAGAACCCTGAATCCAGAAGCTCACCATGTGATTAATCTGCTCCTCAAACTGGTCGAATAAATCTTGATCGCTTGAATTGTAAACCCTCGGGTATATATGACTATCTCTCTCTCCCTTTTCACGCCATTCTCCTCTGTTTCTATCCCTACAGCTCCCCGTTTCTTATACACATTCTTTCTTCATTGCTCCCCCCCCCCCCCACCACCACAGGTATTTGGTTGATACAAAAAGGAAACAAAACAGAGATACAAAATATGTATCCAACCCGCCTTTAACCCCTTAAACACCATAAACCCAACCATCAATAAAACGCCATGAGATCACCTAACCCAAAACCAAAACGCCAAAACTGTGCACCCAGGAGAAATTATTGACAAAATCACAAGCACCCTGCTCAGTTACTTCTAGCCCTCTTCTCCGCCTCAATCAACTCCCTCCTCATATCCCTAAACATATCCTCAATCTCATACACCTCCTCCATCGACAGCTTCGCCGACCTCAGCGTGTCCAACCCCCCTCGAAACATCCTCATGATGGCCTTTGCCCGGTCCTCTTCTTCTTCCTTGCTGTCTTCCAAATGTCGTTCCCTTTCTTCCGCGCTCGCCTCCACAGTGGAGGCCGGGCTGGTTTCTTTTTTTCGTTGTTGTTGTTCACCAAGTTGCATTTCTTCTGCTGCTGGTGGGTGGGTGACAGAATTGGTGGGTTCCTCCTCCTCCTCTTCTTCATCGTCGTCATCAAGACGTTGACTAGCGCTAAAGGACTCGAGCGCAATCTGGGATTGAACCTCGTCGTCGTCGCTGGTGGGGGGGTCATGATGCAGGTGGTGGTGTTCCATGTCCATGGCTGCTCCGCTGTCGAGTTCGGGTGAGCCGAGGGCTGTCGTGTTTTCTACAAGAGGAGACACCGGAGGACTTGACAATTCAAGGGAGGAGCTGGGAATCTCCGACATGGACTGCTCATGCGGGTTTTCCTCGGCCTTCACCTCCGCAGGAGCAGCAACTTGCTGAGGTGCCTGTGTTCGCCGGGGTTGGCTGTCTGGGACCTCGTGCTCCTCCACCGGCGGCGGCGTCTCGGTGAACTCGAGACGCGTTCTCTTGCTAGGATCCTGCGCTCTGGTAGATCCTCTTTTTCTCTTGCGCGGCCGGCCTCTTTGTGGTCCCGTTGGCTGCGAGCTAGGGATCGTTTCCAGCTCTGGTGATGCTGCCGAGCTTGACCTGGTGAGTCTTCTGGTGACTGGTGGTATTATAGGGATAGATTTGCCGAGTTTCTTGGGGCTATCACCAACCACAATGCACTCCCGAGGGGCCGCCTTAGGCCCCGTGTAGTCGGGGGAGGCAGATGATTGGTGATACTCTTGCCTGTCCACTCGCGCATTGTCCAATTCAACCACCAATCGGAGCAGACTTCTCTCGTCGAGCTCGCTGACTTCGAACGAGGTGTTATCTGCATTGCTGCGTTGGCTCGTTGCCGGGGCAGTCGACTGAGCTGGCCCTGCGGACCGCCTTGCTCGGCTAAGGCTCGTCGGAAGAGGACCTGAGCGTGCGTCCACAAAAACTTCATCCGATTTAGGCTCGGGATTTTGACGAGCAGGACCTTGCACGGCCTGGGGCGGTGTTGAGTGTCGTTCCTGCTCAGTCAGTCCCGGAAGCTGGGACCCATTGGTAGAGTCAACGTCCATGTGATCACCATCCTCCCCTGGCAGCCGTGCCTCCTCCTTTTCTTCTCCAGCGACGGACTTTTGAGGAGAAAGGGCGGGAAGTGATACCACGGTGACAAAACCACTTTGACCCGATGGATCGGGGACAGCATGGCGGGAAGGAAGAGGTGACCCTGAGATTGGCGAGGAAGAGAACTGCCACTCCTCAAGCAAGCTGTGACTAGCAGACCTTGACCTTATCTCAGCAGCTAGCGGATTGCGTCTCGGTTCTGGAGGTGATGAAGGCGGATCAGTCATGTCGTGTCCCGGAATCATCAACGGCTGCCCTCGGCGTGGGGTCGGCGTTGACGAGACATACTCATCAAACCGAGCATCTGGCTGAGGGGTGGCCGCTTGGGGTGTTGTGATCTTCTCTGGAGCCCGAGATGTCCCTTCCTCGGTTGTTGTGGCATGTCTCCTTGACCTGCCTGGGCTCGACCTGATCTCAGGGAAAAGAGCAGCGTTCTCTTTCTGTCGTTCGCGCACTTCCTTCTGTCTTTCAGTCAATGCCTGTGACTCGAGTGCATTCATCTCCGTAGCGGCAGGGCCAATGGCTGCAAATTGGATCTGTGAATCATCGTGTCTAAGTTTTGGCGCTGCTTTCCGACGATTGGCAGCAGCCAGCTTTCTGACAGGTGATGTGTCGACACGGCGCTTGGTCGACGGGGTAAGCCGAGTAGACGCTGGTGATCTCGCTGGTGACGAGGTTGCCCGCGGAGTTCCGCGTCGGCTGCTAGATCGAGTGGACATCCTCGGCAGGCTGAAGTCCTCGGACGACTCAGTAAACAGCATTTGCTGCTGGCCTGCAAACTGGGAGCTGACAGTTTCGAGACCTGGCAAAACAATGGCGGTATGAAGTTGCATCTGGATGAGTGATGCTTTGAGGTCCTCTGGGTACTCCAGATGCCCAACCTTCTCAAACAGCGTATTCCACAAAGAAACGGCAGAGTTGACAATGGACCGATGACTAGAAGCAAAAGACGCGCAGAAGAACCGCTCAAGAAAGTCGAGTTGCTGAGCTGGCTGCTCGATCTCAGTGATCAACGAGGCTAATTTATCCCAGAGGGTTTTGGTCTACTTATTGTTAGTAACATAGCAACAAAGTACCGGGGTGTGTGTACTCACTGCAGCAGAGACAGAAGCAGTCTGACTGCTAAGCTGTCGATTGCTGTCCTGAAGCCAGGGGATGATACCATCCTGGAGAGTGGCCAATGTTCTCAGGAACAACTGGCGATTGCACCTGTCAAAGAAGCCACCAACTTCCTTGAGAAGATGGATAGTCGGATCGGTATCGGTGGTGTCAAATGTGGTATACCTGTTTACCAAAGCTTCGCTGGCAGCCTTGTAGAGGTTGTCAAACGTGTCAAAAGAGGAAGAACGAGATCCAGCAAGAGCAGTACCCCAAAGACGCCGCCGGGCTGCATCTACAGCTTGCCGGTCCCGTGGCTGTGTTGCAACGGAGATGAGTTCAGCCACGCATCTCAGAGTATTCGGGAGCAACGCGCCTCCAGTTCCCCCGAGAGTGATCTGGTCCATCAAAGCCTTGGATAGGGGCTCAACGATAACTATCGCTACTCCTGCATCTCCAGTCTCTTCCCGTACTCTTTCGAATAGCGCATAGAACAAAGACTCCCAAGGCTTCCAGGGGAGGCTCGGAGTCGACCTGATGCCGCGTTCGAGTACCTTGACAATGTCACGGTATTCATTGCCAACCGGAGTATCAGTCCCAGATCCTGTTGAGTGGTGACTGTGGTGTTGTGGATCGAGCCAAGGAGTGATCTGCTCAGCAACAAGCAGCCACGTTCCCCAAGGGCGAGGTGTCTCTTGGGGAATGGTTGCAAGGAGATCTTGTGCCAGGTCCATCTTTGCCTTGTCGGCCTTTGAGGCGAAGAAAGGGGCAAAAATTTGACCAAGGAAATCCGCATAATCCTGATCGTCCAATACACCAGGTGGGAGTGTTGACAAGCTAGAGAAGAGCGTGTAGAGAGGGGCCTTCAAGGCCCCTTGAGCTTTGCTGGGCTTCTCGGTAAACGGCAATGACCCCAGAGAGTTGAACATAAGCTTCAAGTACGATTGTGCAGCGAGAAGGAACTCTGGTCCCTTCCCCTCGGGAACCCCCTGCTTCCACACGGTTTGCAAAATATTAAAAGATTCTGTAACAAAGCTGGTGGTATCCTTTGATACCTTGATCTCCTTAGCCGCGGCAGAAGCAACAGTAACCACCAAAGTCTCCCAAAGCTTGTATGTCGTGGTGTTCGTTTGGGCGAGAGCAATGAAGTTTCGCTCAAGAATGTTTCCTACCAGAGGAAAGACCTTCCCAACACTGTGTCGGACCCATTTCGAATCAAGAGGCGGAAGTTCGCTCGGCTTCAGATGTGTATTGTCCTGAATGCGGTCTTCCTTCCATCTCCGCGGCGTCGTGCTGTCAAACAGTCCAGCGAGGATGGCAGTGGCTTGCTGAAGGTTGTCGGCGGCAGCTTCGGAGGCCGGGTCGAGAAGCTTCTCAACGATAGGCTTGACACTACAATCCCAGTATCGATCCAGAAGTGTTGTGCTGGTGTTCGGTTTGAACGTGTAGTACAGGAGATTGCAGATGGACCCAAACACTGCCTGCCGCAGCTCCTCGGTCATCTTTCCAGGACCTTTTCTCCCCAACTGCCCTGTCAGGGGCGTGACCAGCGTCGAGATGTTCTTGTTAAACGACCGATCGTCGGTTTGTACAAAGTAAACAAGACGGTTCCAGCCACGGTTGGCGGCGATCTTGGTGGCAAAGTCGGTGCTGTTGAAACAGCCCTGAATGAGAAGAAGCCAGGAGCGCGAATGCTCCCACTTTTCTAGAGGAATGCGAAGCAGTAGTAGGACCGCACTCCAGATATCTGGAACCACTACAGAGTCTTGTTTCTCCTTGATCATAGCCTGGAGCCTCTCATAGTAGTACTGGATATACTTTTGGTCCCCAGAACTGGTATTGAAAATCTCAACAACTTTTCTCGATAACGCCTTGTCGTGTCCGATAGTAAAGGCCAGTTCGAGACCAAAAGAGATAGCCGATGATCGAATTTCCTTCAGATTACTGAGCATATCGGTAAATAGATCCATCAGCCAGTCTGAATGAACTATCATGTATTGCCTCGATTGCTTGACCAGCTTCCGGTAAATGAAGATGCGGGACAGGACGATGCTCTTGCCTGTAAGATATTCCTCGATCCGGCGCAATGATGCCACTATTCTCCCAACTCTTTCTGCCGTGATGACTTTTGCTGGGAAGTTTTGCACGGACAAAACCTGCATAAGACGGCGGGCGATATCCTTGGGAGTGTCAGGGTCCTCGAAGGACCGAATGCAGTGGTCGACAATGAAAATGCCAAAATCATTGCTTATGGACGAGGCTATCGCGGGAAAGTGAAGAAATGTGATGAGCATATTGAGGGCGTGGTTCACAAGTATCGAGTCCAGAGCAGATTCCGAGGTCCTAGAGACAATATCTCTCTGAATAAACTGCATGAAAAGCCCCATTTTCTCTTGCAACGCCACGCGGTCTGGTAGGTTATTCGATGTCTTGAGGGCCCGGGTCAACATCTCGTATGAATCCACCTTCGACTCGCGGTCGCCTCCGGCCAGTTGCTGGATTGTGGATTCGAGCATGGCGGCAAGGTTGACTTTCGGGTTGGATGGATCGCAGGGGTTGCTGCTGGATGGGTCGAGAAGGTTTGGGGCGTGGTTTGTGATTTTAAGAATCGATTTGATGGGCTTGGACGCACTTCGAGGGAGGGAAACCGGCGTAGGATGTTGTTTCACTGCACCCCCTTCCCCGTAGACAGGAGCCTCCTTATATTCGGTTTGGGCGGAGAACCCAACCTTCTTGCGGCGGCGCGAGGTCGAGTTCGTTGTGGTAGAGGAGCTTGGGGACTGATGGCCCGGTGGAGTGTGGACGGACTGGAGGGAGCCAAGAGTATGGTTGAATGGGACGGAAGGCTCATGGTGTGTTTCTCTCGGGGGAGTTGGGGGTCGTGGTGGCAGAATACTGAGGGCGGTAGATAGGATGGCAGGAGATGACATGTTCGGCGGATCGAACTGTCGAGAGAGGCTCTGCGCCGAGAGCGATGGAGAGCAACCCAAAGACCCAGAAATCCAAAGACCCAGAAACCCAAAGACCTGGCGACCCGTCACCTGAATACCGAAGACTGACAAAATGGCAGACACATTTAGAAAACAGAACTGGCGATGGCGGCGATGAAAAGGCGGCCCAGCAACAAAAAGACGGTAAGGAGCGTGATGTCGGCTTTGGTCGCACAGCAAATGTGTCTATGTGGTTGAGCCGCTGGAAGACCTTGGGCAATTAAGACTTTTAACGCGGTCGCGCCATGTCTCCCCTGGTCCTTGGACGCGTCAGGTCGCGACTGCACTTTGTCAAAGGTGACAGGCCCCACATTCAGCCCCCATCTTTTCTGGGGATGCATCTCTCCAACAGGTACTTGTACCATGTAACAATTGAACTTGATGAAAAGATCATATATTCCACTGCGGGTTTCCACATTGCTGGAAATTAATTGCATCTGGTCTGGAGTCTCCATTCATCAATACCAAACTTGAACAAGGCCGGCTTGGAGGGTCTAGTCAGTGTTTTCCTAGCGACGGCTATGTATGTATCTATGTACCTTGTACTTGACAGTTGCCTTTGAAATAGCCCCACCCAGTTGTCGACGACGCTCTTTCACTTTCAGACCGCCAGTATGGGCATCTTGGGAATCGGTATAAACCATTCATGAGTAAAGCTTGCTTCCACTTTCTTCCTATATTTTATTGCCGCATCTCAAGTTACACGCCAGCACAAATTCTCGTCAGCCAGGTCATTTTTTAAAGAGGGGTACCCAGCTTTTGGAGTGGTTCTTTATTGTTGCAACAACCCATCCTAGAATAAATCTCCAACTTTATCACAGTCGCTATGGCACAATCTGCTTCTTTCGGAAGACTTACAGGGCCTGGTAAGGGAAACTCTGGGCTGCTACTTGATGAACGCAAAGGCTAAGACTCCGGTAGCTAAACTAGATGCTGTGAAGCAGCTTTTGGGGTCGTTGACAGAGGATCTTGAGACCAGCTCCCTAGCACCTCAACGTTGGTTTATCTTCCCAGCAGCTCTTGAGATTGCCTCTAACAAGTTTGAAATAGGACGAGAGTCGATCCTTGAGGAGCTGAAGATATATGGCCGGGACCCCAACTGTGCAGATCCTATCTTCACCAAGGAAGGCATCAAGACGCTAGTCAGACATGCTTTTGACAGTACGTCAGTCAACACCTCGCGCGGCGCCCTCAGGATACTTTGCAATACTCTTCTTCTTGAACCAGAGACGCGACAAAGATTCGTCGACACTGGATATGCGGCCAAAGCAAGTGAGAAGCTGAAGGAGGATAACTCCGACGATGAGTTTCTTGTGGCTAGGCTGCTTCTTATCTCCACATACAACACCAATATCGATCTCCCCAAGCTCATTACACAGCATGGCCTGGCGGACTCCATAGCCAATCACCTCGCGAGGCATGCCAAACGACTTTCCTCGACAAACAGATCGACCACTGCAAATCCTATGGATCCAATGGCCCTAGAAGAAACCCTCAAGCTTACCTTCAACGTCAGCCAATTCTCTCCTAATCACCTCGCCTCTTTCGAACCAGCAATTCCTCATATTATCACTATCCTGTGTAGTCTCGACCTACCTTCCCCCCACACCAAGACCCCTCTTGGGCCGCCGTTTGGACCCGCAGTCAACGCCGTCCTAAACCTGGACCTCTCAACCCCAACCGCGAAGGAGTACCTCTACCCCGACAGCTCACCGTCCAGCTTCTCGGACCGCCTCATTAAGCTCCTTTCGCTCTCTATCAAGGCCTACAAGAACCCAGATCTCGAGCAAATCGTCACTCCTCTGGTCTGCGCCCTCTCCCTGGTCTACGAGCATGCCCCGGCCTCCGTCAAGCAGTCCATTAAGTCTGCTCTCCTGCCAACAGAGAAAGATCGCGAAGACGCCCTCGGCAAGGCTGACACCTTGCAGGGCCACCTCTTGAAGAACTGGTCCAACCCCGAAGCCCCAGAGCTAGGCAAAGCGATTGCACACTTGTATTTTGACTTGTCGAATAGGGACCCGCACAAATTTGTCAAGAATGTTGGTTATGGATATGCTTCTGGTTTCTTGTTCCAGAACAACATCAGCTTCACCCCGGAGGAGCTCAACAAGGGCGGCGAGACTGAAGTGGAAGGCGAGGATGGCGTGAGGGAGATCAAGAGGCCGATCAACCCCATCACTGGGCAGTTCTTGGATACAGAAAGGGTATCTGAGCTGCCAGAGATGACGGATGAGGAGAAGGAGAGGGAAGCGGAGAGGTTATTTGTTTTGTTTGAAAGGCTTAAGCAGACCGGCATCATCGATGTGCAGAATCCCGTGGAGCAGGCCATGCGGGAGGGACGGTTCGAGGAGCTCCCTGACGACAAATAGTATGGGTGCTTTTGGAGTAGCTTGGCTGTGAAGAGGGGAACGGGGGATAGTTCAGGTGGCAAGCAACCTCATCTCGGGATGATGGTTGTTGACGGCAACATTATCCAACAGCTGGCACTGGTTTCAGACATATCTGTTTATTCGTCGACGAACAGGAGCATTACCTAGGCAACCACGATACCTGAAACCGAAGCTTATAAGATCCAGATTGGTCCCATGTAATAACAAAACAGGACGTATGGTCTAGTGGTTAAGACGTCTCGGCTGCAAAATGTTCGTTGCCTTGAAACTGTTACAATGATATGACAGGTGAAAGGGTTCGAATGATACAATGCTCCCTGAGAAGGTCCCGGGTTCGAACCCCGATACGTTCAGTTCCTTTTGGCTTTTTGGATAATCTGCCACATTTGCTCCTTGCACTCCGGCCCTTCCCTTCCGGCTGTGGTCAAGGAAGGAGTCCGGGCTTGGCACGATAAAGTGGGTCTCCGGTCCCGAAGAGTGTGGAGCTCCTCCCTCGGGGAAACTGGTGATTTCATGACGTTGCACTTTTCCGTCGCGTTCAAATTACCTTCAACTTTCCAGCCCAACAGCTCTTTTTTTGACAGCTGCAGCTTGCGAAGATTACAACCCACTACTCTTCTCTTCTTACTACATACGGTCATTTCAGGCGATAGTTTATTCATTGGTTTATTGTTTATTTCTTCAGTACAACCAAATGGACGCCGTACGCACCGCCCTCCAACCGATAACCCACAACCTCCCTGCCCCGATTCGGGACCTGGGCGTCTCGATCATTGGGGGGAAATGCTACAAATCTCTGCTTCTCGATATTGACGTGGAGGACACCGAATGCCTCAAGTACGCGATTAGCAAGGGTCTCGGAATTGGCATTGTCGGCGCCTCAGCGATCGTCAAGGTGCCGCAAATTGTGAAGCTTGTCAAGTCCAAGTCCGCCTCGGGAGTCTCTTTCCTCGCCTACCTGCTCGAGACCTCGTCGTACCTGATCAGCTTGGCATACAATGTTCGGAACGGGTTCCCCTTCAGCACTTATGGCGAGACGGCCATGGTTCTCGCCCAGAACGTGCTCATCACAGTTTTGGTCCTGCACTACAGTGGAAAGGCCAGCATGGCGGGTCTGTTTGTTGCTGCTTTGGCGGCCAGCGCCGTCACGCTTTTCAACGAGCAGACCTTGGGCATGAAGGAGCTGGGTTGGTTGCAGGTTGGAGCTGGGGGCATGAGTGTGGCCAGCAAGATCCCCCAGATCGCGGCCATTTGGAGCCAGGGAGGTACTGGGCAGCTCAGTGCCTTCACTGTAAGTTCATTCGGCGGTTGCAGTGTCAAGATGGGAGAACAATATGCTGACGGCGGTGAATGAACAGGTCTTCAACTACCTCCTCGGCTCGCTCACCCGCATTTTTACCACAATTCAAGAGGTGGACGACAAGGTTATCCTCTACAGCTTCGTGGCTGGCTTTGCACTCAACTTGGTGTTGGCGCTCCAGATGGTGTACTACTGGAATGCGCCCTCGGCGAAGGCCCAGGGCAAGCGCAAGGAGGCCCTTCCCCCCAACAGCGCTCTCGCCCCTTCATACGCTGAAGTTGCGGCGACCTCGACGGCGAGACCTCGCAGCAAGGGCCCCACGACTCGCCGCCGTGGTTAGGAGCTGGATCCCTTTGTTCGAGAGTATCCAGCTCATAGATTTTTCATGAAACGCACTGCTGGATGCCTCGTCTTTTGTACCATTGTTGGGTTTTGCTTTTGGGCGGTCAAATTCACCATCGCGGCTTCGTTTGGGTGACCTCATTTATTACCGGGCTTCTTCCAGCTATCGTGCTCCCTTTCAGGGTTTTTCAATGGTTTCTCTTGGTAGCCATTGGGTCTGTTCTTTGGGTGATGTGGGTTGCCGGAGCTGTTGTTCGGGCGATATGGTGTCCATATTCGCAGCGTTTCTTTGGTTTTCTGCTCCATTGGTTTTTCTTTTTATGTATGATAAGGGTTCTTTGACAGCGACACAGGGAAAATGGTCAAGTGACGGGCTCATATGAATGACATATCTTTTTACGAAACACCTCAGACCATGGTCCAATTTTTCGACATGGGGTCCGGGAGACTGCAGCGAGAAAAACGGCTTGTCACGGACTTCCGAGTCTATGTATCGGGCAGATGTTCCGGAAGAGCCCCGCGGCTCCGGTGAGCGGAGTGTCGTATGCAAGAGACGACAGAAGCAGATCACGAGAGATATCGAAAGTGGTTGGGGCATGAAAGTGTCTGTGGTCCAGACCTCATTCGGCTTCGGATTGGACCCCGATATTCCCCGCAGAGATTTGCATAGGCACACAATGCAAGCTGCAAAAATTATTGATCCTTGACTGGGTTCGCCATCAAAGATAAGGGACATGATCTGGGAAGTCCATGTTGCATCAGCAGCCGCCGAAAGGGTCTGATAGGGAACGACAATAGGGTTTCTGGGGTGGTGCATGATCAACGCCATGGAATTTGTTCAATGACTGCAGGTTTTCGGCTTGTTCCATCTTCTTTGTTGACCACCCTTTGGGACATGCCCACCACTCATGGCCCTTCACCGCCGCCTTTTTACGAGAAAGTTTCACCATCAGCAACGATAACTTCTCTTGACCCCCTGGAAGGAGGAAAGGTAGCGAGCGGTCTGGCTCTTGAAGAAACTGTTGCCAGCAACGCCAAGGATCACACTACAGCGAAACCGCAGGTCCACTATCTCTCTTTCCCCCGTCCGAATGGTCTGCTGCATGGCAGCGGTCCCCCCGAGCTCCTTTTTTTTTTTTTGGGGGGGGGGGGGTGTGTGCTTGCGCATTGACAACTTGACAGGAGGTTTTTGGAATGCTTAGTACTGTGAAATAAATTGGAGTGGGCGCCCCTTCCTGTGCTTTTCTCATCCCGTCTCTCGATGGCGCAATATCGATAAGCTGTCCCACGATTGCGTCAAAGAAGAGCGGTTGCGTGATCTTGCGAGCAATCTGACCTGCCATCCACACACACTTTCCTGAGACGTTTATACCCCCCTTTCACGTTCTTCGTGGGGGGTTCTCTTTTCGTTTTCCCCCCTTCTTTTTTCTACGCTAGTTTGTGACATATTTCCCCCACGGGAACAAGAACAACGCCACCATCGACATTCACAGAAGTTATTGCCTATTTGGTCCACTTACACACGGTTGAAAGTTTCCTAACTTGATATTGGGCAAATTCTTGGCGAGGCTTTCTTACGCAATCCTAGAGGCCACCACATCTCTAGGGCTGAATTAGATACTTTGAGATACGTGGGAGGACCACAAGCAAACCCCCCAGAAGCAAGCTTATTCACACACCTTGACATCTTACTCGTCGAGAGAGACATAGATACATCACCATGTCACCCGATCTCAACTCCCTCCCCGGCGCTGACAGCACCCCATCACCAACACCACCACCACCAATCAACAGCACCCGCGGAACAACAGCTTCCAATAGCAACGGCCACTACTTTCCCAACGGCCACCATGATGGAGAAAAACGCCCCAACATCCTCTACGTCATGGCCGACCAGCTAGCCGCCCCTCTGCTCAAGATGTACAACCCCACCTCCCAAATCCTCACCCCCAACCTCGACGCCCTAGCTGCAAAATCAGTCCAGTTCGACTCAGCCTACTGCCCCTCCCCGTTATGCGGCCCCTCAAGAATGAGCATGATCACGGGGCAGCTCCCCATGAAGATAGGAGCGTTTGACAATGCCGCCCAGATATCAAGCGATATCCCGACTTATGCCCACTACCTTCGGCTGAAGGGGTACCACACAGTTTTGGCGGGCAAGATGCATTTTGTCGGGGATCAGCTGCATGGGTACGAGACGAGGCTGACGAGCGATATTTATCCGGGGGATTTTGGGTGGGTGCCGAACTGGGAGGAGCCGGAGACGAGGCTGGAGTGGTATCATAACGCGAGCAGTGTACTGCAGGCGGGGAGCTGTGTGAGGAGTAATCAGCTGGATTATGATGAGGAGGTTATGTATAGGAGTAGGCAGTTTTTGTATGATTTTGTTAGGGAGGGGGAGGGGGGAAGGAGGCCGTTTGCTTTGACGGTGAGTTTAACCCTGCGCCACGTTCGTGTTTTTGTTTCGGGGAGGGGGGCGGGGTGTATGAGTGACCCCCACGGGACCCGGGAGGTGGTTATCATGTGGTATGCATGATGCGCTGCACATGACTACTCGGCCAGTGGCTGTTGGGTCGCAGAGGGGAGGGGGGGGGGACAATATGGGGAAACGACTGGTCATTCCAACTACACGGTGTGCTAACGTCCACTCTCAGGTCTCCCTCACCCACCCCCACGACCCCTACACCATCGAGCAAAAGTACTGGGACCTCTACGAAAACGTCGACATCGACCTCCCCCGCGTGACCATTCCCCAGGAAGACCAAGACCCCCACTCCAAACGCCTCCTCAAAGTCTGCGACCTGTGGGACAATCCTTTCTCTGACGAGCAAATCAAGCGGGCCCGGAGGGCGTACTACGGCGCCGTCTCGTACGTCGACGACTGCCTCGGCCAGCTCCTCACCCTGCTCAAGCAGCTCAAGCTCGACGAGGACACGATTGTGATCTTTTCTGGCGACCACGGGGACATGCTCGGGGAGAGGGGGCTGTGGTACAAGATGTCGTATTTTGAGAGCTCGGTGCGTGTGCCGCTTCTGGTGAGCTACCCGAAGAGGTTCGAGCCGAGGAGGGTGAGTCAGAATGTGAGCACGTTGGATATTTTGCCTACGATGTGCGATTTGGTGGGGACGAAGCCGTGGGCGTTGTTGCCGATGGATGGGAGGAGTTTGCTGCCGCATCTGGAGGGGAGGGAGGGGGGGCATGATGAGGTTTTTGCGGAGTATACTGGGGAGGGGACGGTCAGGCCGCTGATGATGATCAGAAGGGGGAGGTGGAAGTATGTGACTTGCCCGGCGGATGGGAGTCAGTTGTTTGATTTGAGGGCGGATCCGCTCGAGTTGAGGGATTTGGTGAAGGAGGGGGTGGTGAGGACGGATGAAGAAACAAAAGAGGTTTTTGAGGCGTTTGAGAGGGAGGCGAGGGAGAAGTGGGATTTTGAGGGGATTACGAAGGAGGTGTTGCATAGTCAGAGGAAGAGGAGGTTGGTTTGGGGGGCGTTGACGAAGGGGAGGTTTGAGAGTTGGGATTACAATCCGATTGATGATGGGAGGGAGAAGTAAGTTCTTCTCTCTGGCGTGATGAGGATGTGTACTAATCTGTTGTGATAGGTATATCCGGTCGCATATTCCTCTGGATGACCTCGAGAGGCGGGCGCGGTACCCGGCTGTGGATGAGTCCGGCCGGGAGACAGGATCGAGGATCGTGACTGATCAAGCTGGATCTCACGGGCAGTAAACTCTGTCGACATGTGCTGGTGGCGCTTCAACTATTACGACGGTGATGAAGAGGATGTGGTTCAACCCGGTTTCTCATAGCGAGTTTTGCTCTTGGGCGCACGATGGAGGTTCGAATGGTTAAGGTGGACGATATACGCGAAGGCATCTTGGGACATGTTTAATTTGGCGAGCGTGCTAGCATTACTCTTTGTCAGTTATGCTGATAAAAAATACAACCGATCATGCAATCTGCACTGGTAGACCGTATATGTATCAGCGTTGATGATGTTGAGAGCAACCATTGAGAACCTTGATGAGCTAGCTGCCTGAAAATAAAGTAGGCTAGAGATCTGCGCTAGCCAAATAAGGAAGCGACAACCCGGGCCTGTGCTCAAGCTCCCCCGCGCGCGCGACAGAATCGCGAACTTAACCATCATCATCAATTGCGCTTCTCAACTTTTCCATATTTTGATCGCAACAACAAAATCCCGACTGTAGAAATCACCAACTCTCACCACCAATATCTAACCCTTCCCACATCCAAGTCCACCCCCACCTTACCAATCCGCACTCATCACCTTTGATCTCGCGCAAACAGCAGCGCGAAAGCGCAATACCCAACTTCCCGCGACAGCAACACTCATCCACTGACCACAACCACTTTTCCCTCAACCGCCAAAGATGGCCTCCCTAAACCTCCTCCCCGAAGACCTCAAACACCTCGACCTCCTCCGCAACCGCTTCGCGACCCTATCTCTCAACCTCTCCAACGCCCACCGCAACATGGCGCTCACCTACCCCCTCCCCTCCCAAGAATCCCTCCAGGCCTCAGCAGCAATAATCCACACCTCGCTGCTATCCCTCCAGTCGATCCTAACCGACAAGTCAGCCTTGTTCCACCGCATCGCTGTCCACCCGTCTACCAACTTCCCCGGGCGCACCCAGCTAGACTTTTTGTCATCGATGCTAAGAAAAAAACCGGAACCGGAGATCGAGACGAAAATGGAGATGGGGATGCAGAGGGCGAGGGAGGTGGGGGTTGATGAGGCGGTGTTGGCAGAGATTGCTAGGCGGAACAAGAGACGGGAAGGGGGGGATGATGAGGATTATGAGGAGGGGGGTGGTGGTGGGGGTGGGGATGGGGACGAGGGGGAGGATGAGGAGGCGAATAATGAGAAGTGGGCGGATTGCTGGTTTTTGTTTGATAGGGGGTTGAAGGAGTATATTAATGTGCAGGAGGGGAGGAGTTATACTGTGGAGGAGCAGGAGATGGGGGTTGAGAGGGTGAGGACGGGGTTGAGGAGGAATTTGTTGGAGGAGGAGGAGGAGGAGGAGGAGGAGAGTGATGATGAGGAAGAGGATGAAGATGAAGAAGAGGATGAGGATTTAGTTATGATGGATGGGAGTGGTGGGGGGAGGGGAGGGGTGGGACAGCAGGGGGTTGTGCAGCAGGCGAGGTACGTGGTAGGCTTCATTGACATGTTTTTGGTTATTTTGCTAATCGGGTGGCCTCCAGTGGAAATACGGGTGTGCAGCCAGAGCACTTGTTTTGGTTGTATGCTAGGGGTAGGACAGATCTACCGCCGAGGATAGAGCTCGAGTCCAAGAGGGCGCCTGCGAAGGGGCAGGTGAAGAGACTTCCGCCTAGGTAGTGGGGTGTGTTTCTCTGCTCCTGGTTTTGGGAAAGGGGCGGCCGTTTATATATTCATCTAGCATAGCGGGGAATGGGACATGGTGTTTTGGCGACAGGTGCGTGGCTTTGATGGCTGATGGCTGTGGCTCTGAACGCCCCTTTTGATCAGGAAGGTTTCTTCCTCCTGAGGTTAAGTCGGGTGTGGACTGGTCATGATAATCAAAGGAAAATACCCAACTTCGAAGTCATGCAATTGCTCTTCAACAAGACTTTCAGTGCTTCGCAGGAGGATTGTCATGTCATAGAAGCAGTATGCAGAACTAATATATGGGAATATAATAATTTGCCTACCCAATGTAAGACATACATACTATGCCGACTTTTGTGTTACCCCGCTTCCAACGGTTGCCTACCAGTTTCAGTTGCCCTGCTTCCAACAGTTGGTTGCCTACCAATCGCCCTATTTGAGATGGCCAACCCGAAGCCCTATTCGAGGTGGCCAACCTGACGCTTGAAAGCGTGTGGTTCTTCACATTCTCTTTTTTTCTTTCTTTCTATTTCGCCAAGCCATACCCCCCTTCATCACCATGACCTTCCACCTCTTGTCCCTGCCCCAAGAGATCCGGCCCGCGATCTACCTTCAAATACTATTCGTGAACCCCCTCACCTACCACAACGACGAATGTGCCTACCCGGGGAAACTAGCCTCGAAGCCGCCATCACCATGCATCTACGAGCCTGTAACACCCGATGAGAACGGGCAGCGACGACAGGGGGTGGTGGTCAAGACGTCATGGTGGTGGTGGTGGTCGTCGTCGTGACAAGTTGCCATTATTATTATCACCCTACCGACCGCACGGGTATATCCCTACTGCCTTTCTGCAGACTTGTCGACAGGTTTACACCGAGTGCCGGATGATGCCCTTTCGGGAAAACGAATTTGTTTTTGCGAGGTGTCACAGCTCGGGGGTTGGGCCAGGGCTGGAGTTGACGGGGAAGTTGTCGGGAGAGGACACACCAAAGCGGCCCAGTTCGCAAAAGTGATCATCTGGGCCCCCCGACCTAGGGATTTGAAGATGCCCCCGCAGCTTGAGCTTGGCTCAGAACCTTCTTGGCAGCTGGACAACTTGAGATACTTGCGCATGTTCACATATCAACAGGATCTCCTGGGTGCATCCTTGCCTTCTTTTCGGAGTCTTTGCGAGCGATTGCCTGGGCTTAGAGAGCTGAGGCTGCACATTAACCCTGACGAAGAGGGACCCGTGGGTCCAGTCTCGGATTGGTGGTGGGGAGAGGTGCTGGATGATAGTTTCACTGAAGAGCAGGCGCCGATACAGGCACGGAGATGGATGTGGGTTGATTGTGGACTCAGACAGCTGAAGGGGTTGAAATATCTTGAGATAGCGGTGGGTATGTATTCCACGCTGTCGGAAGCTGGGAGAAGCAAGTAGGTTACGCTGTTGGAGCAAAGATTGAATGATAAAAGGGAGGAGGCGCAGAAGGTGAAGGTTGCTCATGTCCCCCGTACCATCGGGTCCAGGTGGGTATGATAGAATCAGATATAGTCATCTGTTGTACTCTTAAAATGTCAACACACATTACAGTATAAAAACCGACAAGGGCTGGCTGGGCTGCTTGGCAATATGACATATGCCAAGCCGGCACACACGTTCGAAACATTCTCCGCTGCAGATCTCTGGAGCTTGTGCGTGTCCCAAGGCACAGCCTGCAACTTGGCAACAAACAACAACAAGCATGAGAATCGAACTGGCGAAGATGCTATCTTGCTCTGCTGGCCACGCTACTTCAGAGGAGAACGGCTCGCTGTTTTAAGAATTGTCTGACCCATCATGAAATCTTTTCAGCTGTCAGCGGCTAGAACCATCATTGGAGGCGTTTCCTCATGTGGCGTTTCCGAAATTGTTGCATGTTCAGCTCCCTGCATCTTCCTGTTGTTCTCCTGGGACCTGCAGTTCAGATCAAGCTTCACAGGCCGATCCGTTCCCCTCCTCTCCTGGAAGCCCCTGCATGTCCGACGGAGTCTTTTGGGCCGTCCTCTGAGACCTGGGGGAGCTACACCGCCGGGTGAGGTGAGGCAATGGGTCGGTCGTACCTGCCTGCCTCTTCTGTTTTTTTTTCAGGGTTCAGTTACTAGGTGCTCGGTGAGACACAATACACCGACTTTGCTGCTTGCCCTCTCACAAGCGGCTTTCGCTTTTATTGTGTTTGCTGAAACTCATGCCGGAATAGGGCAACGCAACGACGCGCGGATCAGCCAAGGGCCTGGAACATCTTTTCCAAGCTCGGTAATCTTGCCAACCCCTGATTCAGCAAGCCTCGAGCCTGGGAACGTCACTAACAACGGCTGCCATGAGACAATGGTCCCTGGAACTAGCGACGAATTAGCGTGACGGTCAATCGGTGCACCGCACCTTGTCATATCAAATCCCCAGGAAACCAAACGTTACCCACGCCTGACACCGCCACCCGCTCTCCTTCAAAACACACCTTGTCCTCGGAGCTCAGCTTGGAGCTCCCCCCTTCTTTCCTCGTCCTGGGCCTCAACTTCGTACATACACACGCACACAAGCAGCCACCTTCCTGTGGCAGCCCTCTACCATCTGACTTTGTAGACTTTGACAGTCGCTTTGATACGGAATTTGCCACCAGTGTATATCATCACATCACTCATTCAGTTCAATCTTCACCTCACCATCAATACCGCTTGTTTTATTCCCATTTCCAACCTCAGGGCGGCGGCCCAAGCCTCTCATCACCAAGATGTTATCACCGCCCACCGCCAGCCTCCCCAGGCTTTTCCTCCCTCGCCAAACCCTCTTCAAAATCCTCCTCGCCCTCCTCCCCTCCTTCCTCTCGGACCGCCTCTTCCCCGACCATAAACCAACTTACCGCGTCCATCCAACCTCGTACCTCGACGGCCTCCGCGGCATCGCCTCCATCATCGTCTTCTTCTGCCACTACACCGAAAACAACTTTTCGGCCCTGACGCCCTCCCACGGCCTCAACGTCGACCGCCCCTCGTCTTTTATTCAACTCCCCTACTTCCGCATCATCTTCTCCGGCAGACCAATGGTGCACATCTTTTTTGTCATTTCCGGCTTTGCCCTGTCGTACAAGCCCATCAAGGCTCTACACGCCCGAGACCTGGACAAATGCTACACTGCCCTTGCGTCGTCCACGTTCCGTCGAGCGTTCAGGTTGTTTGGACCGTGCGTGGTGTCGACGTTTATGGTGCTTTGTCTCCGGCAGACGGGGTATCTGGGTCCGGCGCAGGAGACGCTGATGGAGGAGGTGTGGAAGTGGAAGGGGGCGGTGTTTCACCAGATTACTTGGGGGTGGGACTGGGATAGGGATTTGAAGCCGGCGTATGATATCCACTTGTGGACGATACCGATTGAGTTTGCGCATTCGATGTTGTTGTTTATGGTTGTGCTGATGCTCAGTCGGGTGAAGCTGCATGTGAGGATGGGGAGTGTGTTGGGTTTGATGGGGTACTGTTTGATGTGTGGGAAGTGGGCGGGGTTCGAGTTTTTGGCGGGTTTGTTTTTGGCCGAGGTTTTCGTGCTGAAGCAGGAGGGGAAGAAGCAAAAGGAGTGGGAGGGGGAGAGGGAGGGGACCAAAGAAGGGGGGATGGTGATGGGGCCGGGCATGTTGGTGAAGGGGTTGCAGGTGGTGATGATACTGGTGGGGTTGTTCATTGGGGGTTGGCCGAATAGGAGTGCGGATAAGACGCCGGGGATTAGCTGGTTTCTGGAGAGGACGCCGTTGCCGTTTGCGGAGATGGATCATTTGGCGCCGCAGAAGTTTTGGTTTGGGCTGAGCGCGGTGTGTACGGTGTGGGCGGTGGGGGAGCTGGATTTTCTGAGGAGGTTCTTTGAGGGGGGGCTGGCGCAGTATTGTGGGAGGATCAGTTATGCGATTTATATCATGCATGGACCGGTGATGGATACCATCCAGGCGTCGATTCTGGGGCATGTTGATATCGCTGCGAGGGGGAAGCCAGGGGATGCGAATTTTAAGGAGGCGCTTCCTGCTGCGGGTGTAAAGGGGTTTTTCGGGGTGAAGACGCCAACTCAGATCACGTTGAGCTGGTTCTTTGGGATGTGGATGATTGGGCCATTTGTGTTTTGGGCGGCGGATGTGTTTTGGAGGGTGGTGGACAACCGGATTGTGGACTGGGGGAAGAGGTTGGAGAACTGGTGTCTGGATGAGGACACTGGGCCTAGCCCGAGGTCCCAGGGGTATTCTGTTGCTGCGTGAAGGCTTTGCAAATGTTTGGGACCAGGGTGAAAATATCATGGGAGGTGGGTGCTTTGATGGGTAATTATTAGCAGGCGGGGCGTTGTTGGGAGGAGTTGGACTGGCTGATGATTAATTTCTCTTATGTTCTTTTCCCGCTCTTTGCTAGATTGGCGGCTTAGTGTTCTATACCCAGACTTCGTTGTTCACAATACAGCTTTGCTTGTTTTATGGCTTTGGAGAGAAAGATGGAACAAGAGATGTTTGAGTTTTGGGATGAAAGGTCTCAACTGTTGGTGAATTTCTTCCAAAGCAAAAGAGCGAGTTGAGATCCGATATCATGTGACCACGCGATGCTGACCTGCGGTTGGGGGTGGTTGTCGACGCGGGGGGGAGGGGGAGGGGTGAGTCACGGTTGTGCAGGTTGGTCTTTATTAGTCAGGAAGGAGGTATGACTGCATTGGATATTGCCTGGGGCAGGTCAATGGGGATGATATAAACATGTCTGAGGGGCCTCAGGCTGTATTTTTTTTTACTTGAAATCTTTTGTTCTTGGTTCATCGGAATCAATCAATTGATGAGGTTGAGAAAGAACCAATTTAGAAAACTGAATACGACCCCTCACTTTGCTACAGTTCTTTATTCTTTCCTCCTCTCTCTCCGGTCTTCGGGCACGGCACACGCCATCAATTGAAGGATAGCCGTGGGAAACCGCTCTGATCCGAAGGGGCGTTGTGTTATTGGGATTGAGTGGATGAGATCTTGGGGTGTAGATTCAGCTTTTGACTTTTGGGTGTAGTAGGTAGTTGGAGAGGTAGGGTGTTTATATGGGATTTGTTTCCTGCTTTCATGTTCTGGTTTATTCCCTGTTTTTGGGTCACTTACACCTTTGTCACAGCCTCACCACACGACCTTCTCACACAACCTTCTCCCAGCAACCCCACCATCTCAAATACCGCCATTGAACCATCACCCAAACCAATTAACTCACAATCCTCATACCAACCAGTCAGTTCTCAACTTAACCCAAACCGAAAATGAACGCCTCCTGCCAATGCGGCTCCATCCGCTTCAAAACCCCCCTCCCCAAACCCCTAGCCTTGTATATCTGCCACTGGTATTACTCTCCCACCCCCCACCACCCCGGTCTATTCTCCATCTGCCCCTTGGTTTTTTAAAATTTGAAAAAAGCTTAGTTGTG